TCCTTCATCTCGACGTGAATCAGGCTAGCGGGAATGAACGGACCCTCATGCTCAGGACGGACTGACAGCGCGTAGGCAATCATCCGCTTCAGGTCGTAGACGCTGGCATCTTCGCGTGGCATGTCATCCAGAGCGAGCACGTCCCCAGACAACATATTTTGCACCTCGATGTTGATCCTGATCTTCATCTCATGCGCGTTTATCTCATGCGCGCTCGTATTTTTTCCGGTTGTATCCGACAGCGACATCTTGAGACGCTTTTCTTCTACTTGATCTTGATGATAGAAATGGGCTGGGGTAGTTCTTGTATCTGATCTTAAGTTTTCAATTACAACCAATGTTGACTGACACGTATTTTAACTTAATCTGTTGATTGGAATTCGAAAAGTTACAATCTAACTCGGTTTTTCTAAAAAATCAACAAAGCCCTTGTGGTCCCAAGCTCCTGCTGCGTACTCGAAGATCATGACTGACTCGCTAATATCTTGTTGGGTGTTGGGAAAATGGAACGCGGATGATATTCGCATTGGAGCCTATAGAAATTGGAATGCCCGGACTGAGAATGACTGTAGTTGCTCTGCAACAAAAATATTCGTACGATATTGATTCATTTATTCATTCACTCATGAAAAAAGAAGAGCAAAGTCCAGATGCAGGTTGTGGTTCCAATTCATCATGTGTGCATAGTTTGGGAGTGCAGTGAATATTCGAGGCAATTGTTTTTGTTTAAGTGGGGCGGAGATGAATAATTATTAAGAGAAGAGCAAACTTGAAGCCGAAGGACAAGACCAGAGGCAATTAATGGCAACAGCACTGAAAGAATCTGAAGTATTCAAAAACAACTTAGACCTCAACAGCTGACAGTGACAACTAGTCGCCACATGCTGACTTAATCTCGAGCAGTTGCATTTTTCTCCATGATTCCTCATCGCGTTTACTCTTTTGGGCAGCATTGTGAGCGACATCTTCATGGGGTCAGAGTCAATCTCCAAAACGACGCTTTTCCTGCCTGCGGGGGTTCTTCACTGCACCAAGCGCCAGGCTGGCCAGCTTGCCGACCCTTTTCACCAGCAACTTGGCCACCACTTTTGCTCCGCCTTGTCGCCTTTACTCGGTTTGAATCCGCTCAGTTTTCCTCTTTAGCTGGAGTCGCGCTTTTTCTTCACTTTGTTTTCTATTCCGATGTTTGTCGTGTAATTCTATGGGACGCATGAGCTTCTTAAGCTGTTCTATCCTTATTCAAGTCAATTTTTGCGCTTTTCAAGTATCTTCATGGGGTTATAATCAGCTAGAACAAGTCGTATCCGACCTAATGAAACTAGCCCCATTATAGGCCCAACCGCTCGGGAAAGATCTTGTTATAGATGATTGCGATTTGACTGATTTTCGATTGGCTGATTGATTCAGAGAAATGAGAAGACGTAGATGATACAACTCATCGATCAGCGTCAAACTGTCGAAAAAAGAAGAGTATCCTAATGCAATTGAGGTTTTTTTGTAGCTCGAACGCATCTGGTATGCCGCCCGATATTCGAGTTCTAAGACGAAGATGCTCGCAGAAATCAAATCATTCTCCCGAGCTGCGTGGCCTTCCTCTCAATAAATCAAAAGAAAAGGCTGAAGCTGAACAAACTCCAGACTCAAATTAAAGCTCAGCATTCAGTGGTCACTGATGCTGAACGGAAGCGACCCTCTTCAAAGCTCTCCCCTTTCCCTTCCTTTTCCCCTGTTCTCTAAAGGGGTCGCTTCTTCGATCTCAGTGACCAACCCCAATGACCATTGAAAGCTGAGCCTTAATCAAAAGTACAATTTTTCTACCAGTTGGGACTCCTTCATTACAAGTACTTACGAGAACACGTCGGGCGATCTTCTTCTGCGCTCCAGGAGAAGAGAGGACTTACAAGAACACGGGCGATCTTCTTCTGCGCTCCAGGAGAAGAGACCGACGGGTCTTTTGCATGTGCGATTCCTGAATTTCTCCGAGGACAGGCGCAAACCGATGATGGAACGGTGAATTTTCGTACAGGCCGAGGATAGGCATCCAAGTTGAATCGTCTCCGAGGAGTCCACCTGAGATGGAGAGGCACACAGCTACGAAGAAGGGGCATTGGGAGACCAACGGCACAGAATCGTCCACAGGAGTGCCCGCCAGCTCTTCCTCCGCGATACGTTGAACGGACGCGACACCCATGCGTTTAATGACTTCAGCGACGGCTGCTTCTTCTGCGTGCGGAAGCATCGTCCTCATGCGAGAGGCATCGAAGCCCGCTCCAACGAAGAGATCCGCCAGTTTTGTTCTCGCATCAGGAAGAAATTTCATCACCACCTCAGCCGGCAAGAGCACGCCACGCTCGGAATTCCGCAGTATCCGCTTCCATTCTTCCCACGAGGTGCGCACGTCATCGGCGGTAGCAAGTAATTGGTACAACACCTCGGTCACCACGTCGGCGTCAGGATATTCCTCATTGGCCATTTCTTCGCAGAGAGTGACCGCCGAATCATACGAATCCCAGCAACACCAAGGATTACGCTTCCAAGTATAAAAAAACCTTACTAATGCACCTCTCAGTTCGAGAAGCGTCGCCTTGACCGCTCGCAAATTTTTGAGAGGGAACCGGTTTAGTGGCGGCTTGACTAGGTATATAATCTTATGTGTCTTTGAACAATCGCCTCCCTTTTCTCCACTGTCATCTTCATTCTCCGGAGCTTGGCAGCATTGCTCGTCCTCCTTCAAACCAAGAAAAGACTTGAGAGAAACCGACTTGGCGCCATCCACGAAAGCTTGGATTCTTTCTCTCACCGTCAGCTCGCGCTGGTCCACTTTCGTCGTGACTTCTTGATCCTGAAGATGTTCTTCGGGTCCACGACTCGCCACACTGCCACTGTTCCCCGCTTCTTCCTCGGAAGCCTCTTCCACTTCCACATCGTCCTTCATCTCGACGTGAATCAGGCTAGCGGGAATGAACGGACCCTCATGCTCAGGACGGACTGACAGCGCGTAGGCAATCATCTTCTTCAGGTCGTAGACGCTGGCATCTTCGCGTGGCATGTCATCCAGAGCGAGCACGTCCCCAGACAACATATTTTGCACCTCGATGTTGATCCTGATCTTCACCCCATGCGCGTTTATCTCATGCGCGCTCGTATTTTTTCCGGTTGTATCCGGCATCTTGGGACTGTTTTCTTCTTCTTGATGATAAAAATGGGCTGGGGTTCTTGTGTCTGATCTTGAGTTTTCAATTACAATCAATGTTGGCACGTATTTGAAGTTAATCTGTTGATTGGAATTCTGACAGTTAGGATCCAAGTTGGTTTTTCTAAAAAATCAACAAAGCTCTACTTAATACGTTTTCGTTTCCACCTATGAAAGAACTTAAAGAAGTTACAAGATCAATTTGACGAGCACGAGGATCGCATAATTTTGGATCGTTCTTCACTCAACACAGCGATGATCTTCACCATTTTCACTGAAGTAGATCATTCGTTTTTAGGAACTGCTTGTCTTGATCGAGATCGCGACTGCTTGATCCAGGATCTTTGTTTTTGTGGGTCATGATAGTGAGACTGAGTCACTCCTTCTTCAATCTAATCGAGTCAGAAAGACGCAATATTTTCTGTTGTACTAATATCACTAGCCGATCTTATGCTTATGGGTCCCCTCATCTCTCCGACAAATTAGGACTGTTGCTCCTCACTCTCCCTTAGTACGGTCGCCCGGGTCACTGATCTCTCATGTTCGTGCCCATGCAGAAGTTCAACTTCATCAGACATGCTGATGTGCAGTCAATACCTACTGGTACTGCTAGAAGTAGACTCAATAATTGTACTAAGCTCACGGACTTGACTGATGTCACGTCGACGCACAAACGCATACTACAGAAGCCATCCTATTACGACTCAGTCTCTGCAAGTCAGATGATCTTTCCCAATCCACCACTGCTCTCGGGACAGCAGGAAGCCGCTTCATCCATTGAGTCCACCGTTCGCAGCCAACACCAAGTAAGTGCCCTATATATAACCAAGGGCAGCCTTCTACTATCAACGGGAACAAGGAAATCAATGGGTCGATATTTGTGTTGGAAATGAGTGTCAATGTGTGTCCTCTTCTCAATAAAAAACCATCTATCAACGAACTGAAAGTTTTTGGAATGGAAAGGCACAGCAACCTTCTTGGAAATGCGTAGCAACTTTCTTTAGTGAAGAGGGGTACTCCGACTCCTGACTCGCTAATATCTTGTCGGATGTTCTTGGAAACATGGAATGCGGGTGGTCGTATTAACACCTGTATATTCCACGAAGATACAGCTCAAGAACATCAAATTTAGTTCTCATAAAAGTAACGGGGGGTCAGCACATTTCCTTGTCTTTAAGCAAAAGACGACGGAGCATCTTTCTCTTCTGCTTGTTCCAAATTTCTCCGGTGACGGACGCAAACCGATGACGGAGCGGCGAATTTTCATACAGGCTGAGGATAGGCATCCAAGTCGCATCGTCTGCAAGGAGTTTGCCTGAGATGGCGAGGCACGCAGCTACGAAGAAGGGGCATAGCCAGCCCAATGGTTCTTGGTCGAAGTGAATGATGAGAGAACGACAAGAGCGAAAGTGATTTCGCCTGCAGGCCAGCACTTCAGACTAACCCACAAGCCCCGAGCGCGAAATGGATGCTGCCAATTGAAGCGTGAGAACATCCGCCGGGGCGAGTGGGCTGTCGTGTGAAGTGAGGACTTCGTTCGAAGGGAACAGCATGGACCTATGTGCCACCAGTGAGGGGGCCCCCCCCGTCTTGTGGATGGAGCGGGGGCGGCGTCCGCGCGCCCTTTTTTCTGGAGTGGTGACTGGTGACATGTGACGACAAGACCCCCAGGGGCGAAGGCCTCAAAAGGCGGAGCCAGAGTCCCCTGGCGGCTCTCCGCGTGTACAACCCCACAGGCGTCCCGACTCTTGGACCCTATCAAGGGGACAGCCTCCGGGAGAAGAAAGCCGCCGAAGGCGGGTACGGTCGCGAAGCCTGGCCCCTTTGGCGCTTACCCCCCCCAATTGGGGGCAGCGTCAGCCGCCAGCAAACGCCCGGGGAGGTGAGGACCGAAGGCGCGAGGAGGAGGGGGGACAGGACGTGCCCGCCTGGGTCCTGTCGGTTACGTGCAGCCCGGCGAAAGGGGTGAAGCCTTGCCACCTGCTGCCCTCAGAGGCCTCCCACCTCCCAAGGGGCTCCCCCAGTGAGGAGCCCGCACGCGGGAGGCCTGTATGGTACATGCAAAACAGCATGGGAGGCCTGTCGGGTACAAGCAACACCGCAAAGGGCTCAAGCCTTGCCACCGTTGCTGCCTTCGGAAGCCTTCCATCCCCGGCCGTCGGTGCTTGAACGGCCTCAGGGGTTTCTTTGGCTTCTGTAGGGTACAAGCCAGAAGCCACGAGGGCCCGAAGGTGGGCACTGGGACGCCTTCCGGCCCGGCAGTCCCTCGAGAAAAAGGGTCCGAGGCTGGAGGCCCCCCCCTCAAAAAGTTAGATCGGGGGGGCCTCCAGCCCTGAGCCCTGGAACATATATGAGGATAATTTGTAGGCGTGCCAGATCCAAGATGGGATGGATCGGATGGAACGAGTGGCCTTCCCATCATTTCGAGTAGGGCTGGAAGAGTTAGGGGGGTCGACCCGGTCCATCCGATCCACCCAAGTCCATCCTACACACGTTCGCTAAATTATTCGAATATATGGTGAGACGAGAAGGTCGAGAATGGCAACCGCTACGGCGGTTTTGGGCAACGGCCAATTTCCGAGGCAAGAGCGCCGAGAATTGCCTGCGAAGTGAGAGGTGCCCAAGCCTGGGAGGGAAGTGTGGGAGAACAGAGAAATAAAGAATACTGTGAATCGAGAATCAGAGAAAGAGGACAGAGAATCAGAGAGGAGAGAAGAGAACGCGAATGGAAGCACTGCCGTGACTTGACAGCGCTGCGTGTAGGATGCGCAGCCCCCAAGTGAAGAGAAGACCGAACTACCGGCCCCGACGCTGTTCCCTTGGTCTAAGTAGTCTCGCTCAAACCAGCATAAACGAATGGCGGCGCCGTCCTTGCAATCCTGGGCCCTCTCCCTCGTCCTCAGGAATCCTCTTACTCACCTCCGCCAGCTCTTCCTCCGCGATACGTTGAACGGAAGCGACACCCATGCGCTTCAGGATTTCAGCGACCTCTGCTTCCTTTCTATACGTACGCGGCCGCTTCATCTCCCTGGCCCGTGTAGTTCCAACGAACAGGTCCGCCAGTTCTTCCCTTGCATCAGGAAACAATGTCATCACCATTTTAAGAACCGGCCGCACCTTGCATGTCCACGCAAGATCTTCCAGTATCGCCCTCCACTCTTCCCACGGCGTGCGCACGTCCTCGGCGTTGGCGAGTAATTGGCACAATACCTCGGTCACAAGGTCGGCGTCATCATGTTGCGCCAGATGCATGTGTCGGCAGAGAGTTACCGCCGAAGCCCACGAATCCCAGCAGCACCAACAATGCCAATCATCCTGGTCCAATTCATACGAATCCCAGCTGCAGCACCAACAATTCGATTCCCAATTCCAACCACAATAAAAGTTCTCTACTGCATCCCTCAGGTCGAAAATCGCCTCTTTCGCCGCCGGCAAAGTCTTGAGAGAGAACTGGTTTAGTGGCGACTTGACCAGGTACGTAATCTTGTGTCTCGGAACCTCTTTCGAACAATTGCCTCCCTTTCCTCCACTCTCATCTTTACTCTCCGGCGCTTGGCAGCACTGCTCGTCCTCCTTCAAACCAAGAAAAGATTTGAGAGAAACCGACTTTGCGCCATCCACGAAAGCTTCGACTCTTTCTGTCACCGTCAGCTCAAGCTGTTCCATTTTTGTCGTGACATCTTGGTCCTGAAGATGTTCTTCGGATCCACTCGGCACGCTGCCATTGTTCCCCGCTTCTTCCTCGGAAGCCTCTTGCACATCCTTCATCCCGACGTGAATCAGGCTAGCCGGAATGAACGGACCCTTATGCTCAGGAGAGACTGACAAAGCGTAGGCAATCATCCACTTCAGGTCGTAGATGCTGGCATCTTCGAGTGGCATGTCGTCTAGGGCGAGCACGTCCCCAGACAACATATTTTGCACCTCGATGTTGATCCTGATCTTTTTCTCATGCGCGTTTATCTCATGCGCGTTCGTATTTTTTCCGGTTGCATCCGACAGCGACATCTTGAGACGCTTTTCTTCTACTTGATCTTGATGATAAAAATGGGCTGGGGTAGTTCTTGTATCTGATCTTAAGTTTTCAATTACAACCAATGTTGACTGACACGTATTTTAACTTAATCTGTTGATTGGAATTCGAAAAGTTAAAATCCAACTCGGTTTTTCTAAAAAATCAACAAAGCCCTTGTGGTCCCAAGCTCCTGCTGCGTACTCGAGCACTTAGCTGCAAACTCGGTTAGGCTTAATATTCTAGCGGGGACGTTATTCCTTGCAATTATATCATTGGCCTGTAAGCGTTGGGGATAGTCAACATCGGTCATGTCTTTAGGCTATGCCTATGCCTTTCATCATCGTATTCAGTAGCTTAGTGCCTTGTTGGCTCTCTCCACCTTCTTATTCTGTTGCGCTCTCTCTCTCTCTCTCTGTCTGGCTTGAACAGAACCACTAACTTACCTCGTTACAGAATAGCATGGTATCATACTGACCACAGCCCTACTTAATACGCATTCTACAACTTGTAGGTGGATGCGTATTAAGTCGAAGAGCTTTGTTGATTCTTTGGAAAGATGAAAGAATTTAAAGAAGGTACAAGATCCATTTGACGAGCACGAGGATCGCATAGTTTTGGATCGTTCTTCACTCACAGCGATGATCTTCACCATTTTCACTGAAGTAGATCATTCGTTTTTAGGAACTGCTTGTCTTGATCGAGATCGTGGCTGCTTGCTCCAGGATCTTTGCTTTTGTGGGTCATGATAATGAGAGTGCGCCCAGATCGCTCAAAACAACACCGTGAAGACAGAGGAATCGGAATCTATAATGCTTTTTTGAGTTCTCTGCCTCGTGTGCAGGAATAGCCCTGAATAAAATAGACTTCCTGCATTACTCAATCATCCACAAGATCAAGATGAGAATTCCCATGGAGATAATATACTTAGTCTTGCTCGTCTTGCTCTTGGTCTTGGTCACGACTAAGACTATGACATCAGCGAGATCTCACATGCTTCTCGATGAAACCGAAAACATGAACCTGTCGTGTGCACTTGTTTACCCCAGCACGTAGATGTATGAATGTGCCCCCGCCATCTTCATGCTTGCAGAATAAGTTTTGAAGCAGATGAGTAGAACTCACTGCTTGAATCTGTTCTAGATGTACATCTAGTATCAAAACAGCTTACCCTAGAAGTAGATGTACAAGCAAAAATTTTTTCATGTTTTCACAATTTGTTCAAATTATGATGAGCCGAGTTCTGCGGCAGCTAGGCTACATTATGACGCATTCATCTAATATGGTTATGGAACATCCTAGTTGAAATACACTTACAAAGGTCTGAGCTACTCCCCTACTAAATATGATATCATGGAACGTTTTCTATCTAAAACTAAAGATATCAAATTCCCTCTCGCTCTCCTCCCTTTCTTTGTATACTTATTGGAATGCGAGTGATGTATTGTGAATCACATGCATAATTTTGATATTATGGAAAAGCAAGATAAGTAAAACTAAAACAGCTTTAACTTGCCTTGCTGTAAAACATAACGACCTGCTTCAGTAAACTCTTCACCTTGTTCACGCGACGGACCTGCTTGATATATCTATCCTTGCACTTGCTCCACCGCTTAGGGTAGGATGCTATAATCCATTTAACGACGCACGAACGCGAGCGGCTTGTTACAACCTCGCTTCTTTCGGCCATTCTCGCATTACAACCTCGCTTCTTTCGGCCATTCTCGCGTGGCGATTCTGATAGCAAGGTCAGCCATAATCTCCTCTGAGCCTCCGAGGATGGATGCAAATTTATACGCCGTCTGGAAACCTTCCATGAAACGACCCATGCCGCCGAATGTTAGAGAAGAAAGTGGAGATTCAATAATCAAACATGCATGACGCGACCACCCATTCCGCCAAATGTTAGGAGAAAGTGATTGAATAGACATGTTTCCTAGGGCTAGAAGAAAGTGAAGACTCAATAAGCTTTGAAGCAGAGAGAATAGAGCGGAGATAACGGGTAGCCTATACCTAATCCAGTTTTAGAATTTTAGTAGTGGTACTCGCTCCGTTCAACAAGTACAAAAAACACAATATTCGTCTCGTCATAACTTGGTCAATGCCCGGCCACCAAAGATCTGGCAGCCTTCGTCTGCCAACAAGGTCATTGTGCGCGTACTGTTATACTTCAACAGCGAAATGGGTCCCGCTAGTTTTACTGCTTGAGAAAAGTAGTCCAATTCCCGAATGTTTAGAGAATGTCAGGTTGTTCAAATTCATTCATTTAGCATTGTTAGGGGAAGGATCAGGATGTTGGTGCTTAGTCGTGAAGTTGTTACGACATCTTGAAAATTTGCATTTGCTGATCGTGATCAGTAATAGCACTAGTACTAGTAGTTGTATGTTGTAAGTATCTCAACCAAAGAACTAAATATTGACTCGTCTTTTATTCAGGAGCTGGCGTCTCGATCATGAAGATCATGATCCAACGTCCCGTAAGTAAGTAAGTAAGTAAGTAAGTAAGTAAGTAAGTAAGTAAGTAAGTAAGTAAGTAAGTAAGTAAGTAAGTAAGTAAGTACGTCCAATACTACTCTACTTACTTAGACTTACTCTTCAAAATAAACTTGAAACACACACAGGCCACAACACCATAACATTTGATAGGTCAACGCCTCCAAACTAGCGCCATTGGCCTCAACTGCAGCTGTCATCTTCCCTAATTTTTGACGGATAACAGGTTCTTCTATCAGCCGCTTGCCGAACACCTTGCGCTGAGTTGCCCACTTAAAGCACTCGGTCAGCAGTCCCCGCATGGCGCCTTGAACCGAACAACAAGGAGCTTAGAACAAGAAGAGAGAGGCTTTGAGGAAGTGTTCTTATAATCTAGAGATTTTGATGAAGTGCAGCTACAATAATCTTGTAGGAAGATTCTTCCTATAGTCTTGTAGGAAGAGGAAGCTGAGGAAGCGCTATCTTTTAAGAGTACTAGGAGGTGCACGTGGAAGTTCCATCTTGTAAGGAAAAGAGTCGAGAAATAAAAGTGAAAGTCCGCTACTTGATGATCAAGGCAGTTGTTTTTCTTAGTACTGTGAAGATGTTGTAGTGATCTTTATCATTTCTTGATGTTCATAAATGTACCATCTTTCGTGGTTGAAGTTGGCCATGATGCACTTGAAACCCTTGTTTTCTTCACCTAACAGGTTCTCCACTGGCACATAGACATCCTCAAAATGTACCATGGCCGTTCCAGCATTAGAGTGTGTTTGAGTTCATTCCATTCTTGTCCCTACTTTATCTCGATCGGATACTACCTTTATTTCCCTGGTTGTGTTCTCTTATCGGAACAAGAGGATACTGCCTGCTCTCTACTCTTTACGTTTTATTATAGTCTATGGGAACAAGTCTAAGACGATACCAAAGAGATGCTGGGCCAGATGGATAAAAACTGACCACCATAACAGCACACTTAGCGTAGCTCGTGGTAATCTGCCTCGTCTCTACCACTCCACTGCTTGCTGGAGCGCCAAGATCCTTTGCGGGATCAGAGATTAGATGACGCTAGAAATTGATGCGTCACAATTACCACTTGAATACGTTAACTTGGTAGTAGATTGACTTCATCATTCAAATTCAACAGGATTGCTCTTGCTTTTTACTTTCGAGTCTCTTTATCGATCACTTTGTCGGGCATGGGCAAGAAAGATAGGAAACGAGAACCACAGAAGAAGATGCCAATTATCACATAACTTAACCCTTTCGATGAGTAGGAGTGAGATGCCACGGACGCCTTGTTTACCTGTGCGGACAGCAGTCACGAAATAGTCAGCAAACATTCCGTTCGTGATCCATTTTTTAATCCCATTCACAATGTAAAACTTGCCACACTCGCTTTTGCGAGCGGTTGAATGGTTAGAGGAGGATTAGTTTTTGCTTCTTCATCTTGCTTTTTACTTGTAGCTATGAATATTCGAAAAACTGAAATCGCTAAGATACTGAACAAGAAGGTGGAAGCTAGCTCTCTTATCGCAGTCACTAACGCGGTCACTTCAAGTTTACAAGTAGACGTGATGACCCTGTTGCTGCATCTTCAGCTTTAGAAACAACTAAGTACTTATGATGAGCAGCAGAAGAAAAACTTCCGAGAAACTTCATGCTATTGCTACCTGCTATCGTTGTACTTTTTAAGTGGCTTTCCTGTGATCACCATAATCTCAATAGCAGCAACGTCGCTTCCTGCAGTTGGCTCAGAAATTGCCAAGCATATGCGTTTATCTCCGAGAAGACAAGCAGGAACGACTTTGTCGATCACATTGGGTTGGGCGAAATGCAGAACTGGAGGTAATCCAATGCAAAAACCACCACCTAGGCCGTCAGCGAATCCAGGATACCCAATCTGACCCACAACCATGTGGGCAAGCATTTCATGGAAGGCATCGAATTTCTCAGGTTCTACACCGCCAGGCAATCGAATACGACCAGACTTTACTAGGGGGGCGACAGTCTGTGGTAGTGTGGTTGATTGGTTACATTTTTTCTCTGGAGGACAGTAATTCGCGATGCAGCTGCAGATATCTATGATATTAAGACGAGAGTAAAACAACAGAAGCACCAGCGACATCACCTAATCATGACTTCCATAGTAGGTACAACAACAACAACAACAACAAGGGACTCCACCAAAAAGTCGATACCTCCATACAAGCAGTTCCGATTCTTGCTGCAAGTAAACCCGATCTGCCCATTTGCTGATACAGTTCTAGACTCGGATAAGCGCCACTTCTCTCATCCGCTTCTCCGAGTGGTCTAATTAAAGCTCAGCACTCAATGGCCACTGAAGCTGAACGAGAGAGACCCCCTATAAAGCTCTCCCCTTTCCCTTCGTTTTCCCCCCATCTTTCCTCAAGGGGTCGCCTCCTCGATCTCAGTGACCAACCCCAAGCATGACCATTGAAAGTTGAGCCTTAATCTAAGCTGTCCAAAACAGAAGTTCCTCAAGTCTGCGTATGCAGACGCATGCGACTCATCCATCCATGGCGATTGCGCCCACCCCTCCCGAAAAGCGTGGATTTCCGCATAGGGGACGGAGGACAACGGCGGGAAAGAGTTGGCGGATTCTAGGAAGGAAGACGAAGATGCTGTTGTTGAAGTTGTACTTGTAACTGCTGCTGTTGAAGACTCTTCTTGTGCTGCTGAGGTGGAAGGTGATCTTCGCTGTTCTCTATTAGAGGCCGCTGCGACATTTTTACATTCGTCAGAAGAACGTCCGCCCTGACTTCTTTCCTACTGGGAAACAAGTGAAGGATGGGAGTGAAGAATGCAATTGTAATTATTTGGTACTTAACCCTTAACTTTCACAAGCGTCCCAACCCACAACTTTGTGTGATACTTGTTCAAAATTTCGCTCGCATGTAACTCGTAAAACTTTTCTGTAGCATCCTTTCCCGCAAACGGCAACAAGGTGACGCGGCCACCTGGATGAAGCTTGGCAAATTTTGTCAGATCATAGACCTCTCCACTGATGGATAACCACAAATCGTCTTTGGTGTTGTGCTTTGCTAGTTCAGATGAAGTTATGCCGGTTTTAGCATAGCTTGTCTGCGGAAGCGGAGAGGAGGTTGACGACGACGTACCTGCGGCTGACGCGCTCATCGTAGTTGTACCTGTGGCTGACGCGCTCATCGTAGTAGAAGGTGACGACGACGTGCTTGTACCTGCGGCTGACGCGCTCATCGTAGACGTGCTTGTACCTGCGGCTGACGCGCTCATCGTAGTAGAAGGTGAGAGATGAACACCGGTGGCAGTGCTCCTGCTCGAGGTGTTGGATTTCATCCTTTTATGTTGTAGGACTCTGACGTGACGAATATTCTCAAGATTGACAAGAAGAACTCTGGGAGTCAGTATGCAAATCTTGAAACTTGAATATATTAATGGATACTAGAGTAGTAATTTCCTCGATGTTGGCGTTGGTCTCCAGAAAAGTGATCCGCATGGAGCGTCACTCAGGTTTAGGATAGGATACGATTTTTTTCGCCGTCCACAGTTTGACCTGTATCCTCAAGCGAATGTATGCAGCCACAGAGGGACTACCAAGTCTTATCTATCCGGATACGGAGAGGATCGGATAGGAATTTATTCGTTACAGGCTTTCCATCTTTTTTACCTCCACAGGACTCTATCTCTAAAGCTCTCGTCCTTTTTGTCTCTCGTCGGACAACCTTTTCCTCCTCTCTTGCAATATCTCGCTCAGCTAGCTAGTCCGAGCCCTTAACGTAGAAGCGTCTTATAGGAACGTCGAAATGCCACGACTCGCTTTAAGGAGGAAAAACTAGGCTTTAAGGAGGAAAAAGGTTTATATGTATCTGAGAAATATATACTACGTGAGGTGGCCATACTCTCTCTAAAGCTCTCGTCCTTTTTGTACAAAGTACAAGTAGGCCCTATCTGTCGTCCTTTTTGTCTCTTTCTTCCTCTCGTACAAGTAGGCCCTTCTACTTAGTAGTAGTACTCGAGGCTACTTAGTACTTCTAAAGGTACCGTTTTCTGTAAGCTGGCGGCCTTACTGTTTCAACGTTTCTCTTTCCGCAGCTTCGCCATCCGATAGTAGGTTCAATATTGTCATATCATGCGAGCGAAATCGAAATGCAGACTCATAGCCCTTGTATGTACTTACTAACCTCCGTCTTCTTCATGTTTCTCAATATTTACAACGTTCACATCAAGGCAGGTCCTGTAGTACAATCATGCCATCTTGGATGGTCACATGTCCGCTCATTCCTTTACAAATCGTGAGTGCAATTTAGAAAATGACTTCTGTCTGATTGACGTCTATCTGAATCTGATATTGATCGACTTTGAGTTTGAGACTGCATCAATAATTGTTCATGTTCCGGAAGCTTCTGAAAATTGACATCAGACACATTTGAAAGAAAAGTTAAGTAGCGTGTTTCTATCGATGATGGACTATTCAGCTTTCCATCGTCTTCATGATGTAGTAAATGTATACAAGTTCGTTGTTGTGTTTCTGGTTCTGTATTTACTCGTACTAAGTGGCATGCTTTATAGTACAGGTATCTGAGTGTCGCGATCAGTGATAGTGCTCTTTTACAGGCAAATTGGCTTGATGAATTTTTTTTGAGGTAAGAAAAATATGCACAGTCGAATTTCTATTGTACTGAATCTGAAGTCTTAACAAAACCCACCTCTCCTTGATGATAAAACCACAACTAGAAGTTGAATTATTAGCGAGAACTTCCTACAAAACTTCATCTCTTCCTTCCCGTCTCTGTGCACAGAGTACTCGAGTGTTCAGCTTACGAGGATCTACGTCATCGGTTTGCAGCAGCACAGGCGGACCCGCCTGATGCGGCTGACACGCGGTGGTGATCGTGCCGAAAAGACACCCTGGAGGGGCCCGACCAGTCGATGTCCCACAAGCGTAGGGTTGTTAGAAGAGAACGAGAATAAACATTCATTTGTTATAGCAGACTAGCACTGTAGGTACTTTTTTTCTCCAAGCACTAGATCTAGGTTTATTTGGGGAAAAATCAGTAACCACTACTCAGTAAAAAAATGGAGAAAAATCGTCAGTAAAAGAAAACCTATAAGTCACGTTGGTCATCTTCAGCAGACATGGAGAGAGGTAGACTCATCTTTATCATAATCTTCCGTTCCTCCAAACGTATACGACAGTCCCGTTGCATCGCATGTGCACGTGGCTGTGTAGAATTCTTGAATCTTCGCGTCCCCCACACTATGAACCAACACATCTCGAGCGTCTGGTTTGCCGCAGATAGCGCGTTGGTACTGCTTCGATTTCATATGGATGTCACGAGCTCGAGTTTCATATTGACTGGTGGGTTCCAGGAGGTTTTGGCAACCGTCGGGAGTTAGAGAGTGGTGCGCAGAAAAAGGGAGTTAAGGGTTCTTGATAATTATAAGGAATCTGTCTCTTGGAAGGACTGACACAGACACTCCAAAAAGCGAAATCAATGACCCGAGTTGATTCTAAACTTTAGCAACCAAAACTACTAACTGCAACTTCCTTGATCAGTATCACTTATTCTCTACAACACCAGACTAACATATTTATTAAGCATCAGTTCGTTGTGACCAAATCATAAATGCAACATCTCTCCTCCGACACACAGCGAGTTGCAACTTCCCTGATCCGGACCCGAGACTTGGAAGACTTGCGCGCCACAGCTACAAGTCCCACCCCACATGGGGTCGTTACTTAGAGGTAGAGCTTCGGTGTTTCTGTTCCCCGTTTGCTATGTCTTTCCCCATTAGGAGAGGCAAAACAAACTGTATAAGAACAGAAACATCGAAAAACTACCCTTAAGTTGCGTCGCTTCTTCTGCTTCTTGATCTCCACATTGTAGTTACTGCGAGAAGAAGAGTTGGCAACCTCAGACGAGGTAGACGGGCGTGCCAGAGACTTAGAGTTGCCGCCTTTCTGTGAGATACCCAACAAACTTGCGAAATAACCTTTGACGCGACCTGTTGTAGTTAGGATTCATTGTGGAGGCAATAGTATGTTGCATGGATGTCAAAATATTTACGACCAGGTTCTTTCACTGTTGACAGAATTCTGAATTCTCGAAGATGGAACATCAGATCATCTCTGACGAAAACTGACGTGTAGCCTCTGCGAGCGTGAGAAGATGATGTGCTCCGAAGACAAAAATCATCATTACGTGGAATCGCTTGGATGCTGGTCAAGACTAACGCATGAGCGCCTGTTACACTGCACGTATCGAACTGGAGACCATTCTTATGCCTCGTAGTTGGCATCTCCACATCGTTCGGTTTGTCGTTGCTCGCCAAAAGCGATCCCAACGATGTGCACTTCGCGCTGCTACCTTGACGACAGTTGTCGCCGCAACACGGAGTATGAAAGGAGCTCAAGTACTAGATCAAGATGATCGGTCAGGTGCTCTTCTAAAAGTCCTCATTGCAGCAGCTTGTGTTGATGGTCCTATTTGTAAAGTTCTTAGGATTTGTGCAGGAAAGATCCAATCTCTTGTTGAATACGATCATCCTGTAGAAGTGGAAGATTTTTTTTTTTTGCACAACTACTTCATAACAATTTCTTTGGACATTTCTTTCGACAACTTCATAACAATGACACGGATGATTCGACCCAGCTTCTGCGTGGCTAGTACAGTCGCCCTCCTCCAGGAATTGCTCACAGTTCGGCGTCTCTAGTAGCGCAGTCCCACTACTCGAGATGGCGCCAGCAGCGCAGCTATTGTGTCCTAGACCGTTGTGGCTCCGACCATAGTAACCACTGGAATCCATGAGGGCCTGATGTGGGATCACCGTTGATGGTTGTTTGGTAGTTCATCTCTAATATACTAGGACTAGGAGCGCGAGCGAGGTAGCTTTTTGGGTTTTTTGACCGAGGAAAAGATGAGAATGAGTCACTGTGACTCGAGAAACTGAAAGTCTTCTAAGTCTCATATTAACTTGATAATATGGTAGAAAAAGCTGTAAGTAGTACCGCCCACGACTCGCACTTGCTCCCCTTGTCAGCTGAACACGCATGTCCACAGCACCAGTGGCATGGTGAGTCTGCAGCGGTTCGATGACGTAAACATTGGTCTTCGCTTTCCAGCATTTCACACGGCGAGCCTTGTTGAAGCCTCTGCAGCAACGAAATCATCTCTGGTCTAGATGATGGCGCAAACATCGTGGTTTCGACGATCGGTCTGGCGTGAGGGCTACGAGGGGTCATAAAAGAACCACTACTGCTGGAAGGAGACGTAGATGTTCTTGATGCTGGTGACATCATACTAGTTGCACTAGCTGGCGTCATAGCACCCATTCCTATACTAGAAGAGGTGCTTCTTGTGGCTGATTTGAAGTTCAGCTGGTTGGCTGCTACGTTGTTGGAGCCGGTTAATCTGCTAGGCGATTGACCTGGGACCAGAACCAGTCTGGAGTCTACGCCTATGAAGGAGGATGAAGAAGATATAGCTATCGCGGTGACTGCTGAACATTGTGCTGCAGAAGGCCGCGGCCGCCTAGATCCTCGCCCGAGCCCCATTGTCCCCTTACGCCGTCGCCGCAATTCTCGGCACGCCGTCGTAAGACTCCTCGCTAGATTTTTCTTCTACCAGTAATTTTGGTCATTAGATGTTCATCAAATAATCAACAATCAAAAGCATTCTTCATTTTCATCGTCAGGTTTCTCGTTCAAATTTTTTAGAAATAAAGTCATCAGATTTCTGTTGGTCTACCTCCATAGAGCGGTCGTATTGGCTTTGATTTGAGATCGTGAAAGATGAACTACCCGCTTTAAGTACGAGTAACGCTTTCTTTATGCCACAATTGGTTCACGGGTCCGAGGTGATTATCGCTCTCATGCTTCCACAGTCCTCGCGGTCGCTCACTCTCATGATCAACTCAAGCTTCATCATTCTCTCGCCATCTTTTTGAAAACCAAATTGCATTAGCCTCAGAGGACACAGTTTTACCTCATATTACTTTCTAAATCTCTGTCGGTGTCGCGTTCCACCTTTATTCCTGCTTTCATCTATGTTGGCAGCCGATGCTTCCACAGAGGACTGGTAATTTTGAGTCTTCTGCTTCTCAAGGGAACAAGAAACACTGCTAGAAGTAGAACTACAAGATGCTTGGAGCTGGAGAGTTCCATTGAAGCAGCAGTCTTCTTATTGTACAAGAACTTGTTGCGTCGATATAAGCTTAAATCTAACTCCAGTCAGTTGCTCGAGCTTCCCTTCACACTCCACGGTGCTACCGTAAAGAAGCCACAAGGTTTTCCATCCTTAGCTGGATCACAGCGGTAATTATACTGCCCAAAATTTTTTCCTGGTACTATGTTACATTGCAGCAACTCTTGATGAAGATGATCATTAGCTTTGGGAGGAGCTTGAGCTTTACTTTTTTTACCATTATCTAGTCTCCATTTAGCCCATGATCGCAACTCCGGTTTCAGATTACAGTTTGCCTGACACTCGCACTGTGGCGTCAAATCTGCGTATTCTGGCCTTTCCATGCGGAAGGTGAAGTTGATTCGGTCCTCAATGGGCTTGTTTTTGCCGTCTGGAGATTAGAAGCGAGTAGATGGAGGTTGATGAATCCAGATCCTTGGTTGGAGGTGCAACAAGAATTATTAACTATAGGACTTACTAGGTTTTTTAGAAATTCATTCTTGCAAAAGATAATTGCGACATCAAAAAAAGAAAATGAAAAGCTTTACAGAGCTTCTGTTTCGACGTTCACGAACTACACCTACTCCTCGCCTACTTAACAAGTGAATTCTACATGTGACTTGTAAAACAACTGAATAGAACATAACTTCGAATAATAACATGCGGCACTGGGCCACTCCCAGTAAATTAATATTTGACATGAAGACCCGCCCATTCCCATAACTCTGAATGACATGCGGAACCGGTCCACTAGGCATGCTTGGTACGCTGTGCTGAAACTCCTCTTGGCATGGCGGCCACATGATACACACGTCACCATGCAAAAGCATCACACTTAGCTTCTCATGCGTCGCCCTATGCTTGAGCACGAATTCTCGTCCGGCGCCTAGGCTGAGCGAGACAATCACTGGACAAGGACCTAACTTGGCGAGAGAGTCTTGGTGCGGTCCGACGTGGTCATTGCCATCGCGGTACCAATTTGCTAAAGCATAAGAGGCTTGCCACTTGTCTGGCAGAGGATAGTAGCCAGGACCTGCAGCTGGAAGACTTTGAGATGTGGAGGATGTTTCTGCTTCTGTTGGTGCGTTGTCCTCTTCTTGTTCCGCTACTCTCGAGTCGTCTTGGTCCTGCTGCTCTGCTTGTTTTTCATTCCGCTCCTCTTCCTCACTCGTAGAAGTGTTCATTTTAGTCTTCCGTCTTTTACCACCTCCCGTCTTGCTTGCTCCTTTTCCTTCTTTTCTTTTCTTAGACGTGGCACTTGTTGCTGTCGGCGGATAGCACAATCTATACAACTCACCTGCTTTCTCTTTTCGTTTTCGCTCTTTGTTGACGAGATCTTCTATGATGTCCGCTGCCTGTTTCATCTGCGTGTTCCAGTCCTCTCTGAGCCAGTTGAACGTCTTTCGAGGTGTCTTCCCCTTCTTACCATGCACCCACCAACTTTGCTGCTGGAACTTGTCTCGGACGTTAGAGCAAGAGGATGGGCATGCTGAATTGTCACTGGTGATAGATACAACTGTGCTGGTTTCATTCATGTGCATCCCAAGTAGTCCTTCAAGCCTACCGGCGGGATGAACTGTGCTGTTAATATAGATACATAGCCATCTCTTTTTTTCATAGGGCGGGCCCCTAAGAAAAATAAAAGAGATGGGAAAAATTATTAATATTGATTTTTATTGCCATACTCAATTCCCCATACAAAGACTGCCTCAGCAGTCGCGTGCACAAGGTGTCTGGTAAGACGTTGCGAAACACGGTGACAAAGCAAGGCAGTTGCGCATCTTGATGTATGGTTTGACAGGCTGGAGGCGGTAGTTTCTGGAACTCCTTGTCGGTCAAAGGGACACCTAACATACTCTCCAACAAGTTGCTATCCAAAGCGTTTCCCGGAGCAGGCGGCCAGTACTTTGATTGGGTCTGCAGAGCACGAGCCTGGTGGAGCCAAGTTGGATTCTCCGTTGCTCCAGGAGGCCCTGTGATAAGTCCCGCTGTGATCGAGGTGGAATTACTAGAAGTAAAAGATGTTGTAGTCGTAGAAAGTTGGATATTGGTGTTTGTCGTAGTGGTTGTGCTACTGCTAGACGCTCCTGCCGTGGTAGGTTGTCGTTGTCCACCTGCAGCATCTGTACCTAAATGTCCACCTGTCAACAATGTTGTCGCTGTAATAGTTTCGCTTTCCTGTTCTAGATCCACTACAATAGCCGATGAAGAAGCACTTATTGATGTGTTCAGAAACGAAGTGGCATTAAGCAGATCCGCACTACTTCCTCTTCCTCGTGCAGTGGGTACCTTGTCGAGGGAGAGGCGACTTCCTTGCGCGCTTTTGTTCAAGAAACCTCGTTCATCTTCCTCCACTTCCATAGATGTATTGTTCACCTGTGTTGATTCACCTTTCCATTTCGTCTTTTGTTTGAGAACGTTGGCCAACAAGGATGATCCTAAGGAAGGAGGTACATTAGAGGAAGCTGATGATCCTTTCCTCCTCTTATTTTGCTGCCGATTTTCCTCGTCCTGGAGAAACAGTTTTTGTTTGTCGCCAGCACTTTCTCGACTGCTGCTTGTACCATTTGCAGCAGCTACTTTCGCTGCTTCTTCTCTAGCCGCCAACAACCTTCGTTTCTTACACCTTTCCCCCTCTTCCTGAGCTTTTTCAGTGCGCTTTAGCTTCGAAATGACGTCCACCTTTGGTGGCCACTGTTGAGACGCTGAGGGACAAGACACGACTGATGGCGTAGCACCCTCATAGTCGACTATGGGATCATGAGAAAGCTCGCCAAATCCGAACATGGCGCTTCGGTCATAGTTGATGTGCAAGCCACTAGAAGATGAACAAGCGTTGTTATTTTGCGCATCTTGTTGTTGCTTCTTTTTCATCTTATTACCGCCTTTCTTATTTGTAGTCGTGGTAGTAGAAGTATTGTGCTGTTCGTCGTTGATGTGGGCGTCCGTCTTACCCATGCCACTCTCGTCTGAGGCTCCTACTAACAGAGGGCTCTTGTCCAGCTCCTCGTCCTCTGCAGCTTCTGGAGGATTAGTATTAGTTCTAGGGCGCTTCGGATTCTGCTTCCTTTGCGGTGATGTGGAGGCCGCAACAACTTCATCACTCTTCTTCTTAGGAGACGAGTGCTGGATATTGGAGTTGGACTTCTCCCCATCACTCATAATGCGTATGCCGTCACTGCTCTCGTCCTCGTTCTCGGATGCCATTGTCTTGGTCTTGTTTACCGATACCACAATTGGAATCTGAATAACTACTACGCTAATTAAATATCCTATTTTTCATCTAGAAAGTCGCAGTCTTCTACGATCGATGTCCGATTTATGTACCTATGCTCGTCTTCACACCGCTAAGGTGTCAAATCAATAAGCACAAGTTCTGTTCCATTTTGACCACGTATTCGGATTCGAAATCAAAGGTTCATTTGTTTATTCACATATCTAAGAAAGAAGAAAAACCTGCTACTTCTAGTAATCTAGTTATTTAAGCGGGGAGAAAAATCGTGCGGTAGCATAGGAACGGGGTGAGGGAAAGAGGTTTGTTCTTGGACTTTGCCTGCATACGGAAGTAGGGAAAAAAGACAGAGACACATAGGCAGGCCTCGCGGCATCGGCAGTCTACCGGAGAGACCCACATACTGGAACAGATCATAAGTACTCACTCGACAACGGAATCTTTGAAGAAACTTGAACTTCAACAAGACCATGAATTCTCGAGCAGAATCTGAACACTCGCTGTAGAATGGTGGAAAGCCTGTGCTTGTGGTGCAAATTGCTCCTCGTAGAATCTAGAGCTTTGCCGCCACCTTGGGCGAAAACCAAGCAAGCCAAAGCCTAGTTTTGTTTCTACCTCATGACGATTATCCTGACATGACGCCATCAATTTCGTGTACGACACCGTTCCAGATCATCCCGACATGACGCCATCAATTTCGTGTACGACACCGTTCCAGCATCTTGTGGACCTCAAGATATGACACTTGCTATGGCCTACTGCCACTCGTCTTGGCAAGCCGAAGAAAAACTGATCTTCAGCACTGTTTTTGACGAATATAGGTAGTCGTTCCTCTGGTTTTTCCAAAGTCCGAAGCTCCGCACCTGCGAAAGTGCTCTCGTTAATACCGTAGGGAAGATGTCTCCGGAATCTGCCTTGTTGCAAAGCGAATTGCACGTCGGAGGCAGATTCCTCAGCAACTAAAGCGAAAGGATTCACGTCGTCTTCTTCGGATTCGACCAACGAACTAGAACTTGTTCCATCTTCGTTCTGCGCCAGTAATGCTGTCTCTTGAGCAGAGGCCTGTTGTCTTCCAGCGCTGGCCGATGGTATTGCACCTTCGTAGTCGGGTAAAATATATCCTGCATTTGCACGTTCATAGTGTTTTGCGTAGGAATGCTCTAAGTAGCTGTCCATAAGGGCGCTCTCAGGATGCAGATAGGAAACAGGTTCTGAGGAAAAGCAGAAGAGCTCATCTTGTTGGGGTCGTTCTTGTCCGTAGTTGGTTTTATTTGAAGCTGTTGTTGTTGTTGATGGATGGGAATTGTTCAATACGCCGCCTCCTGAGCCGCCACCAAATGCTCCTGGCAATCTGCTATCTCCATCATTGATGTCTTCAACTTCCTGTTGCTCTCCCTCATTCTCATCTTCCCCATCAGGACCACCCATAGAGAGTTCGGCTTTCGTCGTCACAGCATTCATAGAATTCACCATCTCCGCAAGCTCGAATTTTCCCTGTACAACATGTCTTTTTAGAAATCTTAGTAGCAACTTCGGTTCAGCGTGCATGCGATCCCAGCTGGCACCACTAATTTTCGCTAAAGCCGCATTCGTTGGCACAAACATCGTAAAGGGTCCACTGGTGGAAAGGATGTTTATCAGTGAGGCCGTGTTAACGGGTGCACCCCTCGCGAGTTCGTGCTCAGGCGCAGACCAGCAAGCTCGGCCACGGGTTCCCAGACGTGGACGGGGCACTGACGTGGAAGATTGCAGTGTGTTAGAGGTGGAAAGAAAAGGTAATCCTGCCTTCAAGTTTGTGCGCTTGTTGGTACAGTTACAACTATCTTCGGTATAGTCGAGCAGAAAATGATGAAAAGAGGATGAGGATACTAACATATGCTACACAATAAAGCCAGAATGTCACCGTAACTTCCCCCGGAACCCTTCCCTTCAATAATTCGTACCACATCCTACACCGTTTCACCTTCGCCGTCTGATTTACGATCGTCTTCCTCAACAGTCTATGCTCATGTTGATACCATGCCAGTGTGTTCCATTTAGCATTTGGGGTGTTATGGAAAAAGCCTTTGTGAATTGCATGGCGATCGTGCTTTGATATGTAATTCCTTGTCCATCTACCGTTACATTGGGCCTGAGCTACGAGACCACCAGTCTCACCTCCCATTCCTGTTCCTGCTGCTTTCAGACGGCATGGGGAAATGCGAAAGAGGCCTCCACCTGAAAAAGCAGGCGAGGAAGCAGTACAGGAGGAGGAGGAGAACATCTTCTGTTCTTGAGTCGCTGACTGGTGCAATGTCGAGGTAGAAAAACAGGACGAACTCGAAGAGCTACTTGAAGCAGATGCGCACGATTGCACAAGGGTCAGCGCGACTCCTGCTGGTGGAGAACGAGCCGGAGCAAGAAGCATTGTGTTGTTCATAGAGACACTCTCAAGATCGGGTGTTCTGAGCAGAGACTGAGTTATACTTCTTACTGTAAACTTGTTCTTGTTGCCTCTTTTATCTTCCTACTCGTTCAGATGAAGACCTTGCTCAAAAAGGACTGTCTGCGTCGTCACTCTTTTAGGAAAAAAATCAACATGAACCTCAGTTGTAGAACCCGCTGCGAACCGTTGATGAGTGACATCAATGAAGCAGTTAGTGGATTCTACTTCATTTTCATCATGGTGATCTTTGCGTTCGAAATATCCAGCAATTTGTTCGAAAAACACATTCACATTCAGTTGGTTAGGAATGGGAAGGGGAAGGTGACGAAATCTCATGAGGGGAGAGGGTTCTTTCATAGTCGTTCTCGTCTGAAAAACTCGTGTGTTTTGTTTACACGAGGAACTTCATGACCGCACTGCATCCGCTGGCGCTCCACCTCGTTCTTGCTATTTACCGCAGACCGCAGGCACAGGCATCAAAGGCGAGTCCGATAGACAGCATACTTGGTTACCGAAGGCACGCAGTGGCTCGGCTAAGCAATTTCACGAACGATGTACACAGGCCCATACGCTTACGTCCCTGTTCGATTGGAAATATCAAAAATGTGCGTGTTGAATTTCAGGAGCATGATGACTTACACTATTAACAAAATTTCAGTTTACACGCTGACTTGTAATTTTACGCTAGCTACAATCTGCCTGAAAATGCGACTTCTTCGCTATAACAATGAATCTGCATAAGTAGATTTAGATTAGGCATCAACGTCATGCGACTCTAGGAAAAATTTTACCGTCAAATTTTATTGGAGAGACCACATCAGATTTTTTTAGTGCATATCGTAGCAGCAACAATGGAAGCGAGGGGTCTGGAGTCTAAAAGGTAGCACTTTCGACACGACGACTTTGCGTAGTAGCTGTTGAGTTTTTGAATGGAAAGTTTTTCTAGTTTCATGATTAATGTACGGAGAAGTTCTTGAAGTGCAAAAGAAGTTTTCCGCTTGTTTTGTTAGCTCTTTGTTGAAAGCTTCTCTTTCTCGTCGGTGTAAAAGAAAACGTCGAGATATGTGATCTTAGTTGTTTGAGGTCGTGTCTCCGAACACGGGTGCTCGTGCTGGAAAATTTATAGTAATGCGTTTTTGCACTTCTTTTAGACGACGCTCTAAGCAAAAGCGTGCACGTTGCAGCTCCAACTCCTGTTCTTGTTCACTAAAACTATCCGCATTGTCCTCCTGCTGCACGTTCTTCGGCGGGTAGCAAAAAGTACCCTTTTTCCGCTGTGACCAAAGCGTTTAGGTTTACTATGTATGTAGCTGTACATGCAAGAAAGACGAGCTTTCTTCAAGTATTCATTGACAAATAATTAATATTTTTTTTCGAAGTTGACGAGCAACATGATCATTATGGAAGGAATTGCGTGAGAGAAATCAGTATGTAAGTATTAGAAGAACCTACATAGATCCTTTTTACGTACGACTTTGAAACTAATTATGCAATACTAGAATCTTTCTTGATGTTGATACCAACAGCGCCTGAGGCACAAAATTATGCTTGTGTAAAAGTAGCAAGCCGTGCACGGACCTTGAAAAAACAACGCAGGCTCCTTCTGTTTTCATCATGTTGCCGACAGCGATATCATCCTGCGTACACGTCGAGCAGCGAAGTCGGGACGGCATCTCCTGGTAGATAGAGGATGGTTTAGAGGTGACTGCACGTTAAGTCGAGCATTTTGCTAAGCACAAGTGCGTGGTTAGGAATCGATCCGAAGGATTACATTTCACTGACTGAGGATCTGGTTTAATGAATCTCAAGAACCATTCCTGAATAAAATTGCTTGCCCCAACTAGGTAGTTGTACTTCATCTACCTCATCTTGTAGTTGTAGTAGCCGGTGAAATCATAAATCAGGAGTGTTGTAAATAGTACTTCTACCTCATCTTGTAGTAGCTGGTGAAATCATAAATCTGGAGTCTTTTGTTCTCGTCCAGTGAAGATCGGCTCAGGGTGACGAATCTTGTTGTCCCGCACCCGCTTGCGGTTGCATCATCGCCATCACTCGCATCATATGCATCATCATGTGAGGATCGCCACTTGCTCCAGGAGGCGCCTGTGGTGGAAACGTTGCTGTTGTACTGGATGTTGTAGTTCCATCATCGGTATTTCTCTGTCTACTTCGTGACCTTGATCTGCGTGCTTGACTAGAAGAGGAGTCAGCTGCACCTGGTCCTTGTTGATGCCCTTTTGAGCTTGAAGCTGAAGCCTGTGGTACTCCTGCTTGGCTAGACGCTGCTTGATTTCCCTGATCTTCGTCGTAGTTCATCATTCCCGCAGCAGCTGGATTACCTCCCATCATCATTCCACCTGGATGTTGTTGCGGCATACCTCCAGCACCTCCGTTCATCATCATCATGTTGTTCATCATCATCATGTTCATGAACGCAGGATTCATCATTTGAGGGTTCATCATCGCAGGATTGTAAAAATTTGACGAACTAGCCCCACCACCCGCATTGTTCCACATCATGTTCATCGCAGCCTGCTGTTGAGCATTCGCAAACTGCTGATGTTGTTGGTAATAATTCGTCTGAGGGCCTCCATCGTGTCCATATTGTCCTTGAGGCCCTCCAGCTCCACCATGATTTCCACCGTAGTTTTGGTAGTTGTTGTACTGTTGCGCTGCGGGTCGTAGTTCGGAGGCTCCGTGAGCATAGTGGCAGGAGTCACCCCATTGGCAAAAGCCGTTCTGATGCTTTTGACACAACTTGGTTTTGTACAGATGCTCCTTCCCACTAAAACAAGCGGGAACGGGTCTATTCCCTGGAGGACCGCCATTTCTAGCCCTCGCAGCTTCGGCATCACGTTCGGCTAAGGAGATTTCTCGGATTAGATGACGTGTTGGTCGTGTGCTGTCGTGACAGTGTAGTTGTGTAGTGTACAGAAAAGTAGACAATGTTTAATCTAGTGCGTGGGACGAGCAGTAAACATGAGGCACAGGCACTCAATCTGTACATGCAGATGTACATGTAGTACATTTAATGACACTCTACTATTAGATCAATGAAATAGGAACAGAAAACGTTTTTTAAGATATATAATATTCAAGGTTGAAACTCTGCACTCAGCATAACTTCGCTCCTCTTTGCGGAAGGTCGTCGTCATCGTCGTCGTCATCATCTTCATCGCTGTCCATCCAGGCAAAAGCCTTTTTTTTTCTTTTTCTTCTCTCTGCTTTCAATTGCCTCTTCCGCTCTTCCTCTTGTTCCTTCAACAACGCTTGCGAACGTCGTAATCGCTCTTCTCTGTCCTCCTTTTCGTTCTGTAAACGGAATTCTCGAAGCTCGGCCTCAGTCAGCTGCACCTCCTCTTCGTCTGAGTCATCGTCTTTTTTCTCTCGATTTCGTCTCGACGTAGAAGAAGATGCGGTTGCTGTTTCATTAGTTGTTCTACTTGATGAATAACTCGACTTGTTGTTTTTGTCGCCATTGTCATTCCTGTAGTTGTTACTGCGGTTGTCGCTGGTGCGATGATTACTCCCGACGTTAAGATTCACCTTCACTCCACCTCCTGATGTCGTTGCAGCTGAAGATCCTTGCTTCTCGTCCGCGTCCTTCTTGCTCTCATCGTCCTCTTCCACACGCCAGGAGGGAAGCTTTTTCTTCTCTGGCGGCCCCTTACCCAGACGCTTACGACCCAACATCTTTTTTGTAGTTTACTTCTATAATGTTGTTTACTGTTCTTGATCTTGGGAAGCTTTGCCTTTCTTGAATGTATTCACAAAAATCTTTAGCTCGAACTTTTATGGTTCTTCTTGTCATACATATACTGGTATGTCTATGTCGCTAGTAGAAATAGATTGTCAACATCAATGTCATTGACCGCGTTTCACGTACGACTTCTCTGTAGGTACATGAATGAAAAATACAAAATAATTGAGATGATCCTTGTAGAAGCACGTTGACAGTAGAATCAGAATCAGATCAAACAAGCATCACAATGTGAATTATGGATGAAAGACTGATGGACATGGATCGAAGAAGAAAAACAAGAAATTGCAAATTAATTGAATTTTCGGAAAGCAACAAGTGCAGAAAATTTTAGATTCACGGATGTCAGTGGCAGTCGCAAATAGAGATATTGACATTCCCGATACGATAATGCAGCCATCGAATTTCAATTTGATATCTCAGATCGTCGATATTGGCTCTAAGTTGTTAAGAGCCAGTTCCGAAGTCATATTTTAGCGAGTGCGTGAATGCAGAGCAATAATATATTAATCTGCGGGAACAGGTCGGAGAGCATGGGGATGAAGCTGCTTTGCCTCATGTCGGAATAAATCTTTTGCTTGAAGAAGACTTCTTAGAGCCGCAGTCATGATAGTGAAACTGGTGGAGAGTGGATCCTTCTACTAGAAGAAAATGGCTGTGATTTTGATTCTCTCACACGACAAGGTAGTAGAACTAGAAGGAGTAGCGTCAACGACTGTCTTTGGAGATTACATCTCCTTTTATCCTCATCTACATCTCGAAGTAGTATAGATACCCATGATTCACGTCATCTAGTAGTCGTTGACCTCCTTATTTCATCCTCATCTGCTGGTGCATCTCGAAGTAGTATACCCATCCCATTCATCGATGAGGCATACTACACTCGACTCCATTTTTTGTCATCTACTCTCGACCATGAAGTGCTGCATGCATTATAGGTCCCATTGATCTTCTATAGGACAAAGAGTGCTCTGGAACATGACCTGCATCTTCACCACAGGAGTTGTTCACAGGATCTGCATCTTCACCACAGGAGTTGAAGTTCTCATTCATCACATTTACCAAGTGAAGGCTGTTGAGAGTTGTATGTGGAAGTGGACTAGTATTGCTTTCCCTTCCCCGCTGGCTTGGATTTTCCAGCGCGAAAAGTTTTTCTGACGGTGCCGGCAACGGCTCTGACCACCTTGGTTCCCTCAGCGGTGACTGCCGAAGATGATTCATCCTATTGGTTTCCAAATAAGGACCGAAAAGTCTCTGCTGTCCTCTTCGAGGCGTCCTTGGCTGAGAAGCTAATCTCCGTCTTTGGGGGGGTTCGTCTCTACTGTGGTCCCTACAAGAACTACGATTATCTTCATGAAAATCTTGATCCTGTCGTGCTGATGGTGCCCACGACTCCTCATGATCTCCCTCGTGAACATGATAATCGGAGTCCGCCTTCTTAGATGAATTGTTCTTTCTGCTCCTCGACGCTGTGCGTGGTTCTTCCCGTTCGTCTTGCGGATGACGTTGACGACATGGTGTCGAACAGTATTGGTGTTGAGCAGGACGACGAGGAGTTTGAGGATGAATTTGTAACTATGAAAGAAAAAAGTGCACTCACACTCAAAAAAAGTGGCTATTTTCCTACTTAACTCCTAGCCAATTTCTTGAGTGTGAGTGCACTTTTTCGCTTCATAGTAACTGATGCCTTTGTACTACATCGTGCTGGTCGTCTTCTGCTCGTCCTCTGTGCAGCTCCTCAGACGACCTCGCAAGCTCAGCTCGTATCCTATCGGAGCAATGAACACATAACTGGATGTGGCCAGGTTCTGGTTGGTGTATTTCATGGTCTCCTTGTTGTTCTGCACAAGGCATTCGGTTCGGTGAATACGCGTCTCCATAACCACGCGGCCCGATCCTACCTGTAGTTGATCGCGATAAGTAGAGCTTCATGGTTTATATTATTTGTCTTCGTTCTATCTCATTGAAGGCATAACAGTAGTCCAAGATTGTCCCTGATCACGTAGCAGCTTGAGGGTGAAGAGCATGTCGTAAAGTGATAAGACGAGAAACATTTTTAATTAAGTCACATGATTTGTGAAACTGAAACACGGGAAAGAAGCTATATAATATTGACTGGGGGAACGTCGACCAGATGAAGACAGGAAAGAAACTTTAGATAACTTCTTTAAAAGAGAAACGGGAAATTTCATCCTGTTGAGGTGTGGTATTGAAAACGACAAAGATCGCGCTCCGACAATGAACAAAACTTCGACGCGATACATTGCAAGTAAGTACATACCTCCAAAGCCAACGTCATGGCCACTTCCACGAAGCTGTTGCCCGCTAGCCCGACAGCAGAATATCAAAAACAAAAACGGAGCAGAATTATGATTTTTCAGTGTGCAGGTGCTGAGCGTGGGATGGCAAAGCCGAAAAATCTAATTAACGTCGCGGCGTTCAATATTCTTTGATGCTCAAGAACATTGGAGTTTGACATTCTTGTCACGCTCGCGGCGCCAGCATTTTGTTCGTTTGTAAACAACAAGATAGCTTTAGTCACAGGAGAAACGAACACAACGTAGGAACCCGTGGAGGAACAGAGACTACACAGAAATCTGCGCGTCTTGTTGTTTCACAGGAAGCAAAAAATATGTGTCATGTCTTCAATATCAACGAAGGGTCGAAGTCGTTCGGAATAGAGGATGCTGCATATTCAGTGAATTCATGTTCATGTTCTAATTGCTTGCATTGCCTCCATTGCAGAAATCGGTAAGGGAGTCAATAGCATGTTGTCTGTCACTGCCAAGGCAATTTTTTTGTCCTTTGCGATTGCGTTCCCCCAGGACCCCTCACTGCTCCACCTTGGGTATTTCTATTTATCTGACTTTGATGTTGATGAGGTGGGAGATTACCTCCCATACCACCGTGTTGTTGGAAACCTTGTTGTTGAAACTGAGATCCACCTCCACCAAACTGTGAACCTCCTCCACCAAACTGAGAGTCGTCTGTTCGCTGTCGTTTTGGTGGTGGTTGCAGACCTTGATTCTGGTACGAGCTGCCCATTTGCATACCACCTCCAGCCATGGAAGAGGACGAAGCTCCTGATGCTGGTTGTTGCTGAGGCGGCATTTGCATTCCCAAAAATCCACCTCGGTTCTGTGGCTGAAATGACTGCTGCACATTATGATCCGACGGACTCGATGAGGCCGATGGGGCTTTAGCCTTCGCTTTCCCCTTTGCTTTTGCACGACCTTTGGCTTTAGCTTTTGCCTTCCCTCTTGCCGGTTGTACGGGTTCATCCATGGGGTCATCTAATGGATCATCTTCAAATCTAGGTACGCCAGATGCATTCCCGCTCTCTGCCACGTAGTCTGGATTTGCCAATTTTGTTTTGACATCGTTTCGGATTTGTTCCCGCTTGTGCTTGAAGGCCATCAAGATGTCGTTGGGGTCTGTGGTGGTAGTTTCGGTAGGAAGAGCCAATAATTGCTCATTCGTTGACTCTATCGTGGCTCGGACGTAGCGCTCAATGCTGCCGGCGTCGCCTTTTTCGACGTATTGGGAGGGTTAGAGAAGTGGGGGGAGGACAGAATCATCTTCGTAGACGTAGTCGCACCTAAGTACTATAGCTAGTGCTAAGCATACTAGTCCAATTAGAATTCAAATTCTTTTGACGATGGCTATCACTACCACTTACACCCAGACCCATCATCTCCATCCATAAGTAACAGCCTCCATCAAATCACCCTGCGAGAACAGGTCCAGTTCTACTTTCGGCATTAGCCCTGCTAATGTTTCCGCCATTGAGCGCCGCTGTTGCTCACGGGTCAACAAATTGATTTCCTTAGAGCTTCCTGGAATCCATCTTCTTGAGTGTCATCCTGCTGCCTCAAACTTTCTCCTTAGGGGCCAAGGCTCTCCTTAGGGGCCAGGAAGGCCCCAAGGAAGATGGCATAGACCACTTCTGGAGATGGATTACCCGAAGCCTTAATTTCCGCAGCCGCTGGATCTTGTTCCGCTTGTTGGTCGTCGTCTTCGTAAATGACTTCCCCAAACTCGTCCAACTTCGCATTCCCATTCTCATCCAAAGCGGGGACTTTCTTCTTCGGCTTAGAAGTTTTCTTGAAGAAGTACAACACAGAATCGGGATTGGCTACTTTGTCCACAAACTGCTGCCCAAATCGGTTGTTACCGATAACGTAACAGGGGAAGTCTGTGTAATTCACGCGGAGGCGGACGCAGATTAGAGAATTATAGGAACTACGATCTACGAGGACTCGAGGACTCAAGGATGAACTTATTGTGATGTGAATATTGATACCAGAAAGCAAAACTACGTGCTCAAGCGGATATTTGACCGTCTACCTCTAGTCGAAGCCGAAAAACGACCAAAAGAAAGCCAAAGACACAACATCAACAACATAAGAGTGGCAATTTATCGCTTCGCATATTCTCGTCCATCTTCTGCGCCTGTTCTTCAGCATTCAAATCTATCAGCGCTTGTACATGTTGGGTCAACCTATCCCAGATCTGCTTCTGGTCTGTCGGATCCGATAGGTACTCGTCTAAGCGTACCTCGTCCAGTTTAAAAGGTCTGACGCTCGTCAAAGGCGACTTCAGCGTCTGCGGATTAGAGATGGGTATTAAGGTTGTACGGTTCAGCCCTATAACGGTTATAATGTTGCTCATGCTGTGGTCGAAATAATCAATTTTTCCTAGACTTTTAGTTACAGATGCAGGAAGTTCTGTCAGGAGCCTTAATATATTGCGTCCCTTTCAGTTCCATGTACAAAACTTGCTTCGGGACTGCTTCTGCTGGAATGAGGCTCGTTGCTACTGAGGATCCTGGCTGGATAAGGTGATAGCCAGCTAAGCTCTCCACAGGATCCACTTTGCATTCGTGTTCGTGACCCCAAATAACCAAGTCCAGCCATTCCGGTAACGATTCTTCTCTCACACATTGCTTGTTAGGGACGCCACCTGGTGTCGGTGTGGGGAAAACAAGTCCGGAGTCTCTCCGAGAAGCGCTGCAATTTTTGCAGACCCATTATCATCATGTGACAGCAATATTAACGCAAGCATGGACAATCAAGTAGTTGTAGGGCGCGTCAATAAATATAAATATAGGTGGCTGCTTTTACTTTGTGAAACGTTCACGCCTTTGGTCAGAACACCGAGGGGCCCAAAAATGCTAACTACGAGAAAGCAAAGCCCAGCGCATTGGTCCCCGTGCTCTCCTGGTGATTGGCCTCTGGCTGTCTCCTCGCGTTCAGCCGCTGCCCACCAATAGCTCCCTCGCTCACTCCCGCGCGGCCTCCTCCTGTTTCGTCGCCGCTCATGGCGCGCCCATTGGATCGCGCCCAAGCTGAGCGCCTTCCGAATTTGTTGCACCTCCAAGGCGAGGACAGGCCACTCGCTCGATGAGTCACCTGCGCGGGCCTCCTTCATCTTCATGCTGCTTCAGAACAAGCCGACCTCTGCCGGCGCAGAGAGATACCTGGCACAAGCTGCAGCCTGCTGACAATGCGCGCGAGGCGTCAATAACTGAGAGAGAGAAGCCGAACAGCGTAAGCAACTCGAGGGGGGGTGCAGGTGAATCGTCCTGTTCCACTTGTTCTACTTATTCAGTTGCCCATGGAGTTCCAAGCGAGGCCTACGGAAAAAAAAGGCCACGCAATGGCTTCCGCGCCAGCGCTCACCTTTGCCAGCCTGCTTTCACACATTCCAGCGCTGTGGCTGCTTCAGACTGGTTCGCGAAACTTCACGCACACAGTGCCCAGCGGATTACGGGCCCAGACGCTGCCTGCATTCACAGCGCCAGACGGTGGCACCCGATGCGCCCCACCATCAAAAGGGCGCTCTTCGCTGTAGCGGCGGCGCGCTCCGCTGCTGTACAGCGTCACGCCGTCCGCCGCCCAGTGCCGCCCGCCCGTGCCGTGTTGTGCCAATTCGTGGCGGGTGTGCTGTGGTGCTTTTGGCTTATTGGCGGTGCTAGAAGATTACGAGGGCCATGGCTGGAGTCACAGGGCGCCTTTGCACATAGCCTAGAATCTGCGCCCGCGCGAGTCCGGCAAGACACGCCATCAGACGCACGCTATAGAAATGTATGAGACTGACGAAAGGCACTAAGTACATCCACGACTATCGCAGGCTTGCGTCCCTCCAGTAAAACAAGCTCAGATAGTAAACGCACCATGAACATAACAAACCAAGTAGATCCATGACTATATTAACTGTAATACCAAAATTCCCCTTGAAACGATTCTGATGTATCAGAAAGATGTTGAAGTATCGACTTTTTCCTGCTCTAACATCCTCTGCCTCATCAGGTCGTATCCACCTGACACGATCTTGTTCAAATGCGCGGTTCAATCGCTCGTCTCGGACGTTGCCGAGACCGACGGGTTAGATAATATTATCGGGGATAGAAATATAAGGATTGTAGCTGTAGGGCTGCTGAATTACAAGTGGGCTCAAACTCGCGTGCTTAATATACCTGATGAACCGTCACAGTCACGACCTTCAAGATTCTACGCAAGAACGTCGTCGTCCGCTCTTCATTCCACTACTTATACACAACATGATACATCACTTGTATGTTGAGTTCTTGGACTTTTCAAGGAACACTAACTCCTCCATGGTCAGTAGGTGAGAATTATGCACATCTAAGCACTTGAAGAATAGCCATAATACAACGCAATTCTGGTTCCGTTTTTTTCGATACATATAGCTCCAATCTTGATGTCCTCTACGTCCTCCTGTCTGCCAAAGTAGTTGACTAAGCAATTCGCACTCAATTCATCGTTTGCGCTGAGTTTGTGCATGCCTCCTGGATCGTCATGGTTGCCGTGAATCATGAACATTGCTTATGAAAGGAAAAATCGTAGTACTCATCGATCCTCAAGACAATAGGCACTTGTTAATGCTACTAAGTTAGTGGTGAAAATAACAAGCGGCCTCTATTTTTGAGGATCCTATGAGTATGAAATTTATTTTTTGTGTCATATTGGGATACTGACATTGTAGTTCGGATTGTAGAAGTTGATGTCAGCTGCAGCGAGATTGGCGTGCTCGTCTACGTGGGTGACGGAAATCGGAATCGTTCGGTCCCCGAACAGATACGTAGACATCAGGGGATATGAACAAGGGAAATAGAGGAAAGGAGAGGCTATCATGTTGATAGAACTGAAGTTAGTATCTAGATAAAACGGAAAGGCAAAGGAGAGCTTGAATTTGATATTATTAGCACTCGAGAATCTGCAGTCTCTTCAGCAGAGAGGCAATGGTCGTTATCAGTACTTTTCGTGCAAGCCACAGTCATACTCAACGACGTGTAGAGTACAGAAAACGGGTGAGAGCCTACAGATGCTACGTGCGTCTTCTATAATCGGTCTTGTTGTTATTAAGAATATCACCCAGACTTTTTCGGCACATAAGTTGAACGTCCGAAACATGGTATTCCGACTCGGCCGATTTTCGTCGAAGAGGTCACCACTATGAAGGATCATATCGACTTTGTTCGTCTTCGCAAGGTTTAGCATCTCCTCGAACGTGTCCATAGCGTCATTTTCTAGCACCGGATCCGTATCCTTGTACCCCAAATGCGTATCAGTGAAGATCAATATGCGAATCACCGGAGATTCTTGGTGAGCTTTTTCTCGCTTTTCTTCTTCCGACATAGGCACATCGGAGACCACTTCAGGGCCTCCTCCACGACCAGAAGACCCAGGCACAGGGTGACCCGGATTCGCACCAGCGTTGACACTCGGCATTTTGTTCGAAGAACGACGCCTCATTGGAGATGCAGAAGGAGAAATTCAAGAATACTAAGTACGTACTAAGAAAATACTCCATGTAAAAAATGTGTAGATGTAAGGTCGGTGGCTACTGGTGCAATCAAATCTAGTAACAAAAGGAAAAGACAACTGCTAATGCGTACTCAACAAAGAAGTTCTAGATCGTTTGCATCAAAGGAAGTTCTATCTAGATCTATTGCATCAAAGGAAAGACTTCTAGATCTAGTGCATACTAAGGGAGAGTGAGTAGAAGATCAGGGTAAAAAGACATCCAAGACTTTTCTTCTATGAGGGCTAGATCTGGACAAATTACCAACATCCAGAAAAAAGATTGCCAGGGCTCCCGATACTAAATCAGTGATGCATTCACAAGTACTTAATTCATTTTTGATGCACTCCTGCGGTAGCACAGACAAAAGATGATCTTTCTTCTTGCTTCTACGACGTCGTTTGATGGCGTTCCAATCACGCTTTGCCTTTTTACACCTTCATTGATTGCTATTTCCGGATATGCTGTTTAGAGGTTCAGAGGGGTTCCCGCCTCAGCCCTGCGCTTCAAGAGAGAAGCTAATATACATAATTGTGGAACCGAGAAGCCATACATATTTGTGGAGGAACGAACAGACGAAGAATTAGCACCCGCCGTCTTCGTGGCATAATAGCGGCACTCCCGTGCCGGAATTTTCAAATTCGATGAAGCGAGGGCGTTCAATCATGTATTAAGGTGATTACGTTTGACTGTGCGGCGCTTGCAGTATAATCAGTGTCGGGGAAGATAACACCAAGACGTTCGTGGGTTTGCTCGTCTTTGTTTAAATCTTGTCGCTGAAACTGAAACATCAAGATTCATATTAGCCTGCAACAAATTCTATTCTATCCTTTGACAATGATTATCTTAGTCCTTGAGTGACGAAATAGCATGTTCTCCACCCATGATATTTGAGATCAACCCGCAAATGTCATTCAGTTGCCGTCGCCTGTGTCCGTCACAACAAGATGAACAACCTTCCCTCGGAAATGTTCACGTTGTTGGTTCTTTTATACAAGTGTAAGATACTATGTATGAGTTTGAATATGATCTTCATCATAGCCACCCCTAAAAACAGTAGAAAACAAGACAGGAAGATGTACGACGAGAAGTCAACGCCATCGTTAACCTCTACCGGGATCAAGTAGTGCATAAATTATCTATAAAAATGTAATCTCATAACGATAATGACAAGGTGGAGGTGCACTCTCATCCGGTATCAGTTCAGTGTTGTTCAGGCTTGTCCGTGTACCACCACCCTATCAAGTTTTCCATTAAATACACAGTCCGTCAAGTATCGTCAACTACTATTTAAACTACTAGTATTGAGGTGTTCCAATGACCACTAGCGTGAAGACAGTTCATTTGAGTTTTTGATTCATTTTTCTACGCAGAATCATGATCGTGCGGCTTCTTCCAGAACGAGATTCCTAGAATTACAGTATATATTTTAGTAGCGAGGTGGGGCGGGAGGTAGGGCGGGTTCCTTAGATTTACAACTACATGCTGATTTTCATTTTGACGTGCTGTTGACCAGGAGCTTCCCATGAAGATCTGACATACACATATGCTCGTGCTGTTGCACTTGATGACTTCTTTTGGCTTCCCTCGACCGCGAAGCCCCCGTCGAGCTATTCTTGCTACTACATACTACTTTGGACCACTAGAACTAGTATTTTGTTTCATTCAAATTCTGTCCTTGTTTACCTTCTCTTCTACGCATCCGTGTCTCCAACCACATCCCGATAACAACTCGTGGTCGCTCGTATTGGAGGACGCGATAGTTTACAATTCTCAGTCTTCACCCTCGACGTTAACGTTATGAACCTCGTCAATGTCCGAAACTTTCGTGAGGTGATGTGTCTGACAAGTGCTGGAGGAGCGCACAGGGCAATTGGCGACAACGATAACCCAAAACCCTGAATACTCTGTTAGTAGATTCTTTCTAGTCAATATTTTTCTAGTAGAACCAGAGGCTAACGACAACCCATGTTTACACATTTTTCACCAATTTTGCTTTCTACTTGTTCTCTTCATTTTCGTTACAACTGGGGAATAGGCGGAAGTCATCCAGCGAAGATCAAGATGGTATCCAAATCTGTAGATGGATTTTACCCCATATCATTTTTTCACTACATCTTGTTCAGGTGCTGCAAAGTTAGATAGCGGTCGCGCGACGCGCGATCCTCTTACGATGCCATCTAAATATTTTCACGTTATTTTCCCGTGGCACTCTTTAGTCAGTCCATTCATTCTATACTACATCTTATACGATGAAGGTACCGGTCATGCTCATGCTTTTCGTCATCTTCTAAATGCTGTAGTAATTGATCCATCTTCATGTACCAAGGGCAATGGTTTTTCTGTCTTCGCTTTTTGATGCCTGTAGACTCCAACGGCGTTGATAGAAAAGCTAGTTCTACTTCTGATTTTCTTCACCGAAGTGGAACATCTCAAGTCCAAGCAAGATCGAACCCGTTTAATGGCGAAGCCTGTCGATGTGTCGGCGTCTCCATAAAATCTTTTACCACAGGATCCGCATCAAATCGAGACTTGCTCTTGCTTGCCCTGTTTTTATAGCGACATGTAAAAAATGCCGAACCACGTGGTCATGTGAGTGCCCCTGATAATATGGCTATAGTATAATTCTTGACCACAAGCGTGGTAGAGACAAAATGGCAGCCGATGCCGACAATAAGGTCGACTCCCACAACAACCGATAATATATGTGAAGGGACTACTAGATTGTTGACCGATTAAGGACAAAGCATAGCCGACAATATTCATAATCTGATAATGAAGTACATTTTTACCTCGCAGCAGCAGTCGGCCCTCCTCGCGAGCCTCCCTTCGAAGGAACCGCAACCATCGGGTCCTTAGGCGATGGAGCATTGATCTCGCCGTCATCGTTCTGGCTGTCAGCGAGAAACGCCAGAGCTTCAGGCGTGGTCAAGTTATTTTCACTGGAAGAATTTGGCTTACTGGAAGAATTTGGCTTACTGGAAGAATTTGGCTTACTGGAGGACTGATGGTGTTGTTGTTGCTGTTGGTGCTGCGATATGAGTCCCGCCGCACCCGATTGTCTGCTGTGATATGAGTATGACTTCTGCTGTGCTGCCATCGGAGAACAAGTAGTACGTGGATGCTGAGGACCCTGACCTGAGGTACTTCGTGTCACACCTGGTAGTTGCGGCTGTTCTGCTATAGTTCCCCTTGTCTGGCAGGACAGATCTTGTTCGTAGTCGTAATCGATCTTACGATCATCTTCTGGTGGTTCTTCGTCAAATTGGTGGAAAGAGGATTAGAGGAGAGGCGCTATCTTCGATGTTGGGTGAATTGTAATTGTTTTCTAGCTCATCGAGCGTCGTCTTCTCTCAGGAATTCTAGAAGGAACGCCAAGGAATTCTAGAAGGAGGACCATAGAAAAGTTGACCAGAGTAGTCGACAAGAGTACTTCTAGGAGTACCTGCGAGTGCAAAGATATTGGATGAACTCTGAGGTCTTGTCTTAAAAAAATGGAGGCACAGCTTCTCTGCGACCGGTAAACAAAGACGCTGCGTGTCGACACGACACTGACCCACTTGGGTGATGTGCCAGCGCAGTGTCGAAATTCGACCATAGTTGAAAACTGGTGTTACTGCGCACCCGAGGATGGGTTTGGAGATGGGTTTGATAACCCTCGTCGCCTTGAAAGCGCAGTAAATGCAAAGCACCACGTTCAGCAGCTTGCGGTGACGCCATTGGCGACGGCATGGGAGACCCTCTCCCCGCTAGCTCAACTGATGTCGTGCGTCCACCTTTGTTGTAGGGTCTCATACCTGCAGCCGTGGGCGAAGCCGAAGCATACCCAGTTGGCGAGGCCGAAGCCTTGAGCGTATTATAGGTCATCGACATGGCTCTGGAATGCGGCTGATGATGCATCGGATGGTGCGGTGAAGGGTGACCTCCGACGTGTTGAAGAGAACGTGAAGTTGGTTGCTGGATGCTGTGAACGCCTCCGGACATACCAGATTGAGGAGGACAATAACTTCCGTAAGAAGAGGGCTCGTTGTATTCTTGTAGTGTCAAAGGCAGATACGTCATGGGTGACGACATTTGGCCGCTGGCAGCAGAAGCGGCCAGTGAGGAACTCGGAGACGGAAAGGGCTGCTCGTACCCTGCTGCATTTGAGATTGAGTTCACATGTTGGTCCCGTCGATGTTGGTGTTGCTGTAATTGACCAATGTTGTAAGATGACGAAGAGTCCTGATGGCTGGGGAGATGATATCTACTGTTTTCTGCTGTCGTGGTGGTTGTGTAATTATACCCTGAAGTTGTAGACGATGAGGACGCAGCGCTCAAACCAGCTTGCGGGTTAATACAGGAGCCAGAAGATGAACCTTCGTTGTAGTTCAACATGATATCATGTTGCGAGGGATGTAGATGTTGTTCATGGGTGATGTAATTATTCTTTTGTAGTGCTGCAGTACTAGTAGTTGTCCATGGATAAGAACCTTGTCCAGTGGGATCCTGATGGGCTGCGCCAGCATTGAGCAGCTGCTGAGGAGAGCAAACCTGAGACATGTTGCCGCCACCTGTGCTCTGTTCGAATAGGTGCTGTGCTAGAGACTGAGATGATGTCCCACTGGGCGCGAATTTGCCAGGACAAAGACGCATCAGTTCAGCCATGCTGGTAGAGGTTGTCTTCCCGAGTTGTTCGTGTTGCTGATAGGAGATGGATGCTGTAGAAGCTGCTCCTGCACCTGGTCCAGTCTGTCCCTGACTTTGTCGCTGTGGTCCTACATCGCTGTTGTTCAACATCATATGGTGCGCCAAGTTGTAGCCATTCGAAGAGACACTACAACCACCTCCATTTATATTTAGGAGTTCATTGTTGAGCATGTCGTTTCTGCAAGGGGAACTTCGGTTAGCGAAATAGCTATCGCCTGGAGGCGTCATAGCAGTTGGCATACTTCCAGGAACTCCTGCTCCCACTGAAGAACCTCCACAGTTTTGATTAATGTTCATAGAGCTATTGTTCTGGTCGTTGTACGGGTTGATGTTGTTGAAATTGTTCGTGTTGCACGTCATGGCTGTGCAGTTTGTGATTGTTTTTTCCATCTTGCTGACGGAACGACGAAAATCAAAATTCAAGTCTTCTTCGAGCGACATAAAACTTTCAGACCCTGCTCCACCAGCAGTGACATTCGCAGCATTGTCCTGAGAAGATGTTTGTTGGTCCAGCTGGTGATGTCCTCCCTGACCTTGAGTGTGTGTGAGACTACCTCCTTGAGTGACTGGATGTTGATGCGCTCCTGAAATAGATGTTGAAAGCTGTAGCAGAGCAGTAGTATTCAAATGACTTGGAGGTTGAGTAGAAGATTGTTGTCCAGCACTGTGTTGAAGCTGATGCTGTTGATGTGAAGCAGGAGGTCCTGTTGCGCTTGCTATGGATATTTCTTGAGCTGCATTCATCATGTCGCGTCCAGAAGAACCTTGTTGTTCGTTGTTGTGCGTACCGAAAGCGAACCTTTCCAGACTACTCATTCTACTCACAGTAAGCCCTGGACCTCCTGGTCCGGCTCTGCCTTGTTCATACAGATGATGATTTAGATTCTCCTGATGTGTTTCATGTCGCTGACCACAGCTGTTGTAATTGGAAGCATGTTCACGTCCACCGTGTTCAAATTGTTCCATAAAGCTACTGTTGTGATGCCCTCCTCGGTTGTTGGAGGCACTGTATTGGGCACTATTTTGCGACTGCGAATGTTGATTGTAAAATTGTTGATTGTGTTTGTAGTATTGTTGTTGGTGATGTTTCGGAATGCTTGTTCTGGTGTGAAGGTGGTGTGGGTGAGTCTCTGTCATGTACTCATGCGAAAAGCCAGCTCTGCTGAAATGACTGCTTCCAGCTGCGGGATGGCCTGATATCAGTGGATAATATGGTGAAGTGCGCCGGGTCGTGGTGCATTCATTTACAGCAATGAAAATGAAAAAGGTGGAGAGGTGTATTAATATTTAGAACTAAGACTAGGAGTAGTGACGAGACACCTTCCTGCAAGCCCGAGAGTGGGAAGCTTTCCTTGGCGATGGTTGCAAAGAAAGTTGACGACGCAGCGCCCTTCTACGCTGACTACCTACTCAGCCAAGAGCGGCCCCGCCTGTAGAAAGAGAAGCCAGACCCGACGGCCCGACAGACTCGCCTACAGCCATGTGTGAGAGACAGAAGCAGCGGGCTCATGATAGCGTGCGCCACCCACGCGCTAGCCTGGTCGTCATCAAGGAGGCGGCCGCGGGCATGCACTTATCAAAAAGGCCCCCAGCGGTGAAGAAGCTGCCCAAGAATGCGCAAGCTATCGACACAGATCGCCTGAGACAATTCTGGGCGACGCAGATGCCCTCGAGCTCGACACACGGGACAGATATGGCCGGCGAGTCCCTGGCCGTCTCAGTGACACCCTTCGAGAGAGTAGAAAGCCACCCAGGCGCGACCGCAAGGGTGCCGAGTGTCCTAGAAGATTTGCGGCGCTCTTGACGTTGACGCGAGCGAGTGCAGCTATTGACCCCAACACACGCCAAGGCAGTGGAATAGCGCACGCCATCAGAGTCCAGCCCCAATCCTGACGCGCGAAGAGCTTCGCGCCGGTCTCTAAGTTATCGGGTGACAGCATAAGTCTACCCACCTCGAAGCTAGACGCAAGAAACAATGGAGGGCGTAGAACCCGAGGCGAGGGCCTCGCAGCCCCTCACCGTTGATCTGTTTCCCCACCCGATCAAACTCAGCAGGGCACTTTGGTGATCTTGGTCCTGGGTGGGCCTCGATGATTTGGCGGGCCTCTTGTAGTACGTTCCTCACTGAGTTGGTCTGGATAATTACGCGCGCCGTTTTGATCGTTGGCTCCAGCCTCGTCCACAAAAATCCCACGACACTGCCCCGAGGGATGTACGCAGAAGAGGCTGCCCACGTGTGTTCTCGCTTAGGAGCTCCGAACTCGCTAGATAAGTGAGTCGCCGCCCCTTCCTGTCTGTGGCTCGGAAGCTAGCAGTCTCTTCGTCGTCGCTCTCTCCTGGGGCTCTCACCCAACACCTCGCCAAGCAAGCTCGCAGGCCTCCCTGCCCTTCCCCTCTCTTTTTCCTTCCCCGCCGGCTCCCCGTCTGCCTTGGTGCTGCTCCTGGTCCGCCTTGGCCGCAATTGCCGAGACTGTGCGGGACAGCATTCGGGCGCGGTCGTTGTCAAGCAGGCGGCCCCCAGCTTCGTCGTGGTAGCCTGCCCCAGGCAGCGCCGCGGCTGTCGTGCTATCCGATTTGTTGCCGGGGAATGATTCAGCAAACGCGAAGGGGCGCGATTCTTTTCCAAGGCCCGGAATGCAGAGGAGACCACACAGCACCGACGTAAGCCGATTGCGCGGCGTGTTATCCTTCACTTCGACGCAGTGTAGCGCAGTTAGCTCGGCTAAGTCTATGGCGGTGTATGTCAGAGCACCTTGCACATTAATGCTGGGAAGACTAAAGCCTTCGGCTGCATCACCCAGAGGGTCCCGCGATGCTACGATTGCGCCGCAAGATTTCCTCGACATTATCACGAATAGGTTAGGTTGGCTGAATGCAGTGAGATATTGATATTTTCCGTCGTCGTATCGAATATCGAATACTAGAGATGCTCTTAGTTTCATTCACATATTAGAATTACCTCCATGTTGTAGTTGTGCTGCACCTGGGGTCGTGGTGGGTTTCAATGTCGTCGAATTCTTTACTCGCGGAGTCACGAAGCCTGGCGCCCCCATCGGGCCCACGCCCAGACTTTGCTGTAGATTCAGCTTTTTTTTCTAGGTCTTAGAGGAACAGTTTTGAAATGGATTGCTTATCAAATCGAAGAGAAATTGAAATAGTTTGCAACAATGCTTTTGCTGCAGGCTCCGCAATGAAAATATTATCAAATGATGTAAATCTAAATGTATGTTCTAAGATCAATGAAACCATATCCATAACTACAAAACCCACTCCAGTTTGACCTCTTCCCCCGCTTGCACCTCCTGACGCAGCACTGCTACTTCCAGCAGCTCCCCAAGGTGGAGTAGTAGAAGAATAGTGAGGCGTGCTTGTAGTTGTATAATTCTTATTCTTGTTGTCCGACGTGGACGTGGACGACCCAGCGATGGCTTTCGTTAACTCCACGTCCACGACTTGCATTCCATCGCCTCTGACATAGCTTTCCAGCAACACATTGAGTGCCTGCGGTCGTTTCGCATCGGATAGGTCTAGGTTGTAGGATAGCTCCACAACTGGAACTTTCGTCTGCCCACTTGGATGGCCGCGGAGAGAAGACGCTTAGAGCAGGCCTCCGCAATTCATCTTTGACCACCTTTTTCTGGTTCTGCCTTGAAAAGCTGTATCTTCTATAGCACGACGAGACTACTCCAGGAGCATGCTGTATTTCAAGGATGAATCTTTGTACCAAAGAAATAAAATTGATCATCAATTATCTATTATAGCCTTAAGACGAACCACGGTGACCAATGTACTCGTTCGGGACTTGTTCGGCGAAGGCGAAGTGCTTCGCATGCAAGAAGATGTCTCCAGTGAGGGAGCTTCCGGCCGGCGCTGTAGTGGTGTTTTACGTTTCAAGATCAGGAACGTAAAATAGATGACGAGGAACAAAACAAAATAAAAGTGGACACAAGGAAAGTGAAGGTGAACGCAGGTAATCCATGAAAAAAAAACAATGAGGATAGGATAGGATTTGTCTTCTGCTTCGAACGAGGATTCCTAACGCTAGTACCAGTGACAAATCCCCAACCCTTCGACGGGTTGTACATACGGATACGCCCCCTTTGGCGCGGAGCTGGCGCTGAACAAGGCTCCATGATTGCTAGTTTGCCGCTGAAAAAAAATATTTCACAAAAAAGGAAAAAATAACGAACACGAAAAATGTGTAGAAGATGATGTCAATCTACAAGAATATAGAAAATAAAAGAATATCGATGATCTCACATGAAATTGGAGTGGAAAATCGCAAATCTGGAAAAACTAACAGGAAGATGGATATCAATAATGTGTCTACTCATTAACGACTACATAATCAACTGGTTTTGTACAACAGCGGAAAAGATGATTTCTAAAAAAAAAGATCTCGCGTGGCATGTCGCATGCGCATTCGAAAACGATACTCTAAATCATATTAACCACGACAATACATATTCATAGATACAGTTGCCTCAAATTCTCTAACTTTGTTGATCCTAAAAAATGGAGCGCTTGTTTCAATTATCGTAACGACGCGTGCTTAGAAATTGCCTCTGCGGCCCACTGTAGATGCTCGCTCCTAAGCTTATCCTACATTGAAAAAAAAATTAACTCCGTATAGAGCGATAACCCAGCGGAAAATCACATGACGAGATACACTACCACACTTCGTACTTATCACTATCGTTTTATTGACGTCCCACTAGGTAAAGCAGGAAGAGACTGGCAGTGGTAGCAGAAGACTGGCACGGTAACACGTATATATTGTCGAAACAATATTACACTTACATCAATCGGTGTTTTGTTCTATTATAGACTACATAAATGACAAGCATGAAAATATTTTCAATTTAGAAGTATTAGTAAACTACACTTATTCTTAGATAGAAAAGAGAAAACTAGTGATCTACGTGGAATGAATACCAGCAACGAAGCACTAGACCGTTCTCGCAGAAGACCTGACTGGTGTTTTCGAAAATAAAAGTTAGAGCTAGAAGATGAAGAGGTTTGGTAGAGTGGTCACGATGGTGCGAATCTATTCGGCAACTCGCCTAAAATGTTCCTGGTAGAGTGGACATAGAAGAAGAGGCGTTGCTATCATTGATCTAGGGATCGCAGCAACTGCAGTGGTGTCTATATCACAAACATGTAGAGGAATTGGATGGATGTTGTGCGCTTCTGAAGATCCTCTTGGAAGGATTGAAGTGAAAAAGATTACGAGAACATTTCTATCTTCTGATATCGCAATGACAACATCACTGGCAGATAACATCTTACTGTGAGGACAGACAGGACGTGGACGAATGGAGATGAGCCGAGATTTGTGGCTGAGGCTGACCACCACTTATGCAGCAAGCTGAGAAGATGAACTGCTGCAGCTGTTGAGACTTTCACTGCAAGAGAAAACTCCTCAAGATCACGACGCTGAAAGAGAAAACACGCCTTGATCACGATAATCGCGCTGGTGGAACTTCTGAAAATCCAGGTTTCACGGCCAGCATCATCCATGAGGGCCACAGTTCCATGGCACATGGTGCTCTTGAACACAGAAGTTAATGTCTGTGGTCATGCAACCAAGAAATGTACATGTTTTTTTACATGTAGCATTTATAAACCACAACGATTATTAATAGGACGAGAAAAGACGAGTTGAAGGATGATCATGATTCTAGAGGACGAGAAAGCAAGCGAGAAGGATGTGGAGACATTGTATTAAGTTAATTAAGGGTACGTGTGCAGTTGGGAGGGAGGGAGAAAAGGGTCGTTTAAGTACTATATTATAGTATACCAATGGGGGTGCGTCATTCCTTACTCTAACATGAAACAGGGAACTGAAAGGAATGTGTGAAAGGTCCAGCACTACAGAATTCTAAACCTTGCCGGCCGCCAAATGTGCCTATGACAAGCTGCGGCTTTCCTGATTTTGGATCGGCTAGGGTAATGTTTGCTACTTTCGAAGATAGAGATTCTGCGCTGGTGAGCACCTTGTCAACAACTTGAGCTGGAGCTGGTACCTCGGGCTCTTTGTTTTTCGCCTCGTGCGCTTGTTCGTCAGTCATAGGTCGATCACTGGGAGTAAAAGTAGCTACAGCTGCAACACCGTCTTCACCGCTTGCGCTCGCCGCGACTTCTCCTCCACCTTGCTCTCCACCTGCAGCGGCACCTTGTTTCTTCCACTTTTCTTTATACTTGCTCCATATCTTTTCCAATTTTTTCTTCCTCGATTTCGGGATTTCTTCACCTGTCTTCGCGTCTTTAGTCGGGAAGCCATTTTCATCGAAATCCGCATACTCGCCATCATCAAAATCTTGCCAACCTCCAGGTCCGAATGTCTTGAAAAAGAGTTCCGGGGCCACGTGGAGTTTGTCCTCAGGATCCTTGTTGTTGCCTCGTTTTTTATTACCAGGTGCTCCGATCCCATTACCTCCAGCTTTGCTTCCCGATGTAGTTGTACCTCCTCGACTAAGTGATTCAACCAGTACGTCTGCTAAAGCTTCAGCGAAGGCTGCAAAGAGCGTCTCAGCTGCAGATCGGGGACATTGTGCGTGGTACTTGAGATACTTGTCTCCTGGCGTCAATTTTGCGACCAGGCTGGCTTGAGGGATGGGAATTAGATCATCAAAAACGCCTTAATATAATACCATCTAGTTTTTAGATCTTGACCTAAAAAGGTGTATTAGGTTCGTTCTTCATCAACACACGGAGTCATACCAAAACAAGGCTCTGCGCTTCCCCACTTTTCAACAAATTCAGTACAGAGTCAGCGTCTCCATGGTCCGCTTGCCATGCGCCGGTCTTGGAACTCAAAGCTGCTGAGAGTAACGACTTCGCGATACGTTTGAAATAGGAAGATGTAGGAGCAGATGTAGAAGATACGGTCTCAGAAGATGCCCCTTCGAACAGTCCACATTCGACGGCGCATTGTTTTGTAAACGAGACATGGAAAACCAGTCCACGACCAAATGAATGCCATTCGTCTTTTGCTTCGTTGGCTAAGAGTTTCCCAGTCTGAACGCGCTGGGTAACCACGCGAACGCTGTCGGTAGCGCCAGAGTCAGTTATGGAGGTGGGTGGAGCCATTTTGTACGAGATAGGAATACAACTTGCGAAAAGGTGTCTAGTAATCGAAGTAGATGTAGATGCTCTATTCAGATCAAGAAACTTCAGAAGTGGGCTGTTCAACATGCCCAATCAAGTAGGAAGTTACCAGATTTTGAATTTCTCAGCACGTTAAAGGCGAGCCTCTGCTAGCTTTTATTGAAGAGTCGAAGTGACAAATAACTGCTCCTTCTTGTTCTTCACTTTTTTGAACAACAAAGAAATCCGAACTGCTGCTGGTCTTCACCTGATCGAGGCAAATGATCTGCAATGTGATCGAGAATCCAAACTGGCGTGTTCTCCAAGGTAGAAGAACATCGAAAACAAACTGTACCCGTGCCCGGTTGTTTCAGATGTTCATTTCAGGGGTTTCACGCCGGTGCGGACGAGATAGCAGTGCGGGTTACGCATTACACTAACCGGGAAGATTCATTCCACCACAAGAACATCTTCAGGATGAGAGTGTAGCAGCATCAAGATTCAAGAACTTTCAGTCATATGAATATGTCAGTACGTCCCTGCTGGTGAGACCAAACTAGTAGCGAAAACGAAATATATATTTATCTTCATGTGCTGCGCGATCTTTGTCCACAGTTGCTTTCTAGGACTACAGTTCCCCACTTTCTCCTTCCTTTGCTTCTGGCTCTACTTTCCACCACCATACGCCGTCCATCCCATAATTGATGGTACGTGACCACAAGCGCTTGTCGCTGACACCCCATAGAAGTGGAGGATGCACGCACGTGAAGTCGTGACCTGCAAGGATACCGTTCCGCTTGACAGCGCGCTCGAAGGCCAGGATGGAGGATGAAAGAGGCAAGGGAGAGGGAAGAGGCGAGGGAAGTGTGAATTATAGGTAATGGTTCTCCGAAAAGATTCTGAAACAGATCCGACCTGATTCTTTCTAGTAACTCGCTTACTTTCAGTCAGTATCTCGGTTATTTTCAGGTTTCTAGTACAACCTAGGAACGAGGACCTGTTGTACAACTTCTAAACGAGGACAAGTAAAAAAGTGTGCTCAACAAAACCCCGCCATACATCATGATTTACTTGTTTGTATGTGTGCGGTCCGTCCACGAACACCAGGTCAAATTCTCCTTCACTAAACCGTTCTACCGCGTCCTGAGAGGTCATAGCCAACAACGTATACCGTTCTCCAGTAGTCTCGACACTAGTATCGTCTTGCTTTGGATTGTTGCTGCCGAAGTTTTTCCTAAACCGTGCTCGGACGGGAGGAGCTATCGTTGGATCGACTCCGGTGTAGTGGAGATTCGGATATCGGCTTAAGAGGTAGTTGCCGTTTTGACCCACAGCAACGCCAATCTCTAGAACTTTGAGCGGCCTGGAACGAAGCTTGATGAGGTCCTCTGGATGGCGCAGATTAGCAGGATGTTTATTTTGGAGAAGAAGGAAGCAGGTGGAGGCTTCAGGAATATCAGATCTGTATCTACTGTAACTGTTAGAAGCACATCAAATTTCCTGATCTTTTAGACCCATAACTCTCAACAAAAATCTCGTATCACGGTCAACCAACAGTGTCGCCGGATCTTCAGAGTGTTCGCCCAATAAGAGGCTGTCCAGCACATCCCAGTGTCTGCCATATGCAGTCGGTCGGAAATAGTAATTTGGTGGAAAATTATGCGGAACCGCCTCCAAACCACCTTCTTGAGCACTGGTGACTTCCTGAAGCACCATCTTGATGCCGATACTCGTTCTGGCGTTGATCATTAGCAGTCGTGCGACCATGCTGAGCTGCATCGCGAGACCCGTTTCGTAAGCGCCTTTGCGGACGGGTTGCGAGTCGTAGAGCGCGCAGGATTTGCCGTGATCTGAGAGGGCGTTCGGACCGCGGTACCCAAGGATTTCCTTCACGGTGGCTGCCCAGCGGTTGTATCTTATGAAGGGAGCAGGTGGAGAAGGAGAACAGGAACAATTATATCCATAATGATCGGTACAACCTACTGTAGAAAACTGAGAAGCAGGGTCTGACAACATGCTCTTTCAAATCCACCGTTCATAAAGATCATCCGAATCGGCAATGCAGCTTCCTCCAACACTAAAGGTTCCAAAGCGCGGTAGTTTGCTTCCCCTATGAGCGCGTCGTCGATCGCGTATTCCGATGGATCTATGGAACTGTCTGCATCCGAAGCCAGTGCGACGCTAATCTCTTGGATTTGCTCGCACAAGTCGATCACAGCTGACGTCTGTGTCTGGATTTGAGTTTGAAAGTGGGAAGAAGTTGGCAGGAGGCGGCAGGATTTCAAAACTCCTAGGACGAGTAGCGTCATTGTCGATACTGTCAAAAATTCCTAGACAAAGCCTCTTTGTGCTTCAAATCAATCCTCTTTGTGGGTTTTGTCTTCAAATCAATCCTAGGCATAAGCTTCTGCCGCAGCTCCTTGAAAACCGTCCAAGATTTGCTGGAGTCCATTGGCAAAGTGGCTCAGTCCATAGACATGCCTGTCCATGCTAACCGAGACATGGTCCTGCTCGAAGCCCCAACTGCACAGGCGCTTATCCTGCAGAAATGTCAGCTGTTGCTCTTTTCGGGATTAGAGGATTTTGATGTGGCAACAAAAGTGAGATGGAGTCGGCTCTTAGGATGCATTTCATTTTTAACCTATCGTTGTTGACGAGTTTCATCCATATCCTCCAGCCATAAGAATACCCACAAAAGTTCAAATGCGGTATCAAGATAGTATTCCTCTCCTCCATCGCTGTCTTCGCATGAAACAGCTTCCAGGTGCCATCGTCAAAATCTTGCTGAGACACGGGCTCTTGATTGACGAGCTGCTGGTGAGCGATCTCGCTAGATCCCGGAAGCCGATTTTGCATGCACGAAGAGAGAAACCTCTGGTCCACAGAGAGGTCGCTCTTACCAGTGGATGCTCCATGAGCTGGCTTGGTCGCAATAAAGGTGCAGATGTCCTTTGGGAATTAGAAGAGCAACAGTCTAACTTTACATTAACTACATGGACATCAACATTTCTGCAGCTACATAATCATTTCAATCTCCTTCCATAAAGTGACCTGCCCAACTGCGTTTTCTCCACGTAATTGTGGCAGACGTCGAAGTTGCCAAGGCATATCGCGTAGTTTTCAGGACTTTTCGCACTCTGAATATATTCTGCTGTTGCAGGAACTACGGCAAATCGAGCAACAAAAGCAAGCAACGTAGGCATACGAGGTTTTTTCCAAGAACGCGTCATCATTTGTCTCTCTTTTTGCTTCAATGACGGTTAGGTTAGGTTGTGCATCCTTCTCAACGAGCCCCACATGACAATGTAATAAAACCATACAGAATCTTCATCTAGTTCCGAAAGATCGTCACGCACGATGTTGCTTATGCTCTCTGCATGGACATGTCGACGACTGTGCACCACAGGCTTCTCTCTCGTCTATCCCCTTCGCTCTCCTTCACGTCACTCTCATTCTCAACAGACACACATGTTTCGATCCCATTCGGCGGAGTGGTATTGCAAGAAAAAACCCTCCGCTTCTAAAAATAATGCTCAGTCATGGTTTAGGTTTCGGATCATTGGGTTTCTTTGCCCATCCTAGTACATCTAGTACAAGCGGAGGATTCGAACAAATATAGCAAAAACAACGAAAGTCAGTGGAGCCGTGACATGTGATATCAATTTTTGGTGAAAGCAAGGAGCATCATGCTGAGTTATTACGAAGTAGATGCAAGCACCTCTACAACTACAGTAAAGTAGACAAATTGTTTCGCAGACGTCGGCCTCAGGCTTTGTTGTACAGGAAGTGCCGTCTCCACGCCGTACAGGTTATGGCTTCTCGCGAAACCTAAATAACGCACCGTCGCCACGCCCTACAGCTTATGGCTTCGCGCGAAACCTAAATAACGCACCGTCTCCACGCCCTACAGCTTATGGCTTCTCGCGAAACCTAAATAACGCACATCTCCTAGCCTTCGCGAATACACCACGTAGATGTGAGTGAAGTAGAAGGCTGCCAGCAAAACCACACCGGCTGCAGCGAGGTAGAAAAAGCCAAGACGTCGATTTCGACCGCCTACCCAACTGCTAGTACCCAGCACCACTTCTTTTGTGATTTCGCTACCCACGTTGAAGCGAGAATAGATGGTCAGCCGCAAATGTCGTCCAACTGTTGCACCTGCCGGGATGGCCGAGGTCTGGTTGGCGGGTGTGGATGCCGGTTTAGAGTTTCTAGTGCTGCTGGTCGTTTCACTTGCGAGAATGTCGTGTTCATCTACGGACCAAGACTACTTCAAAATCCAGAAATAGACCTCTTTCTTTCCAACTAAATTCTCACATATTCATCACAGACAAAATGAAAACCCATCATCAACATAACCAAATCCGGTCTGCTCTTGTTGACTTTTCCCCACAGCTTCGTGAAAACGTTCGTTGCCGCAATATGGTACCAGATCGTGAAATGCGGTGATTCTACTCCCCAGTGTCTGCGTTCGACTAGTTCATACTCCGGTCCCCAGGCACTGCACATCTGCGCTTCGTAAAAGTACTCGAGTGAGACGGGCGTTCCGTTGATTAGAGTGATAGGATTTCAGTTCGAGCACGGATGAAAGGAATAAGGAGTCAGTGCTTCCGTCACGTTCAGAACGGACGTGGATCATACCGAAGGGTTGTATGCTAGGGGTATGATCTACGGATTCTTACTCGCTTCTAGTTTGATGTACTTATGAAGAATAGAAGCAAATGGCCAATTCAATCTCACCATAAACTTGCAGCGGTGGTCGAGGATGACGCAGTCGTCTGATTCCCCACAAAAAAGCTCTCCGATGTCGGAAAGGTTGACGCGTATTTCGCACTATTGAACCACATATCGGATTTGATATCCGGGTCTTCTACTGTGGTAAATCTTAGAGCTCACCCTTATCCATCTTGAGATTCATCCCAGGGAACTTTTTTTCTTGAAAAGCCTCTCTCCTACTAGGATGACTTCTCGTTCTCTGCAAATGGACCATTCATTATAGGGGAACCCTTAAAAATTGACACTTATCCGGATACAGTGGCCTAAAAGGCCCTTTCCTTTTGTCCGCCTCTTCGGCTTGAGGCTCCCATCTTGCGTCAGTGTAAATCGTTGTGCCATCCGCCGCTGTCGTCGGCGTAGTAATCCCTCCAGGTTTGTAGTACGCTCCACAAGCCCATTGCCTTGATTTACTGTCAGGATGAAACGGCTTCTTTCTCGCGAGGTAGAGTGGTGCTACATTGGTCTTATACCCAGTTGCCGGATCATGCTTCTGGACGCAGGACACAGGTGGCATCTCCCTGATGACCCACATGTCTGTAGCCTCCTCAAAGGACGTGGCTAGTTTGGAAGGAGAATTGAGTGCAGTAAGATGCGCACTTGACGAGGGATTCTTCAGAGTACCATCGCTTTCATATATCGCGTCTTGGGCTTGCGTGACCGTTGTAGAGCCGAAGATGAGGATTAGACTGTGGTGCAATATTGAGTAGAGGGAATATCATGATAGATCATGGGCACAATAAAAACTTACAGTACAACGGAGGACGCTCTGTGTTGAGAGTGCGCGTGGGAGTGAGCAACGGTTCTTCAGTCAGAGTTGTAGTCTTTTTTTTGTTTTGTATGGTTCTGCTTCTGGTATTTGGTATAGCCTGAGTTTGATCCTAAGGGTTCTCTTCTTGTTTTCCCTTAGGATCAAACTCAGGTTACCAAATACCAGAACCATTCATGTTTTTACTCTTCTTGCCGTTGCCATTCTTAACTTACTCCTTTCCTGAAACGACACTGGTTGTGCTTGATCGCTCATTCCGTCCAACGCGGAGGCAGGCAAAACAGGTGTGCCGGGAACTCGGACTCCAGACGGTATGTAATCCGGCTTCATCTGGAAGAATTTCCCGCTATCCAACTCCGGTTCTTTCCATCCTATGGATGCTACGTCATCGTCAATTTTGACTTTCCGCCAGACTGGTGGGGAACCGAGGGCACTGACGCTTTCCTCCAGCAACACCGAATCTTTCATCATCTCTTTCCCGGTCAAACCACATGGATACCGATTGTAGGTAAAGCCATCTTCGCCTGTCTGCTTGACTGCCTCTTCGCAGCTGTCACCCGCGTCGATCGCATCCTGGTAACTCTCGGGCGAGAAGTAAGTGGACACAGAGAGCTGGGTGGAGTCTCTGGAGTGGACGTAGCGTCTCAGATTCTGATGAAATCCACGAAAACCGTAGTAGATCCAGAGGTCTTTGTCGCCGATTAGAAGTGGAGTGGGGGGTAGAGGACGTGCTAGAAACTTTCTAAGTGGTGAGAAGACCATATAAGTAATTGAAGGTCTTAATTATTGATGACGTTAGTCGGTTCGGAATTGTCCTACGACTTCCCTGAGTCTCTTCTGAGTTTTACGGATTTCCCTGATGTTAAAATTGCCCTGAAGGTCTTAATTATTATTATAGAGCATATTGAAGATCTTATCACCAACATGTTGAAGAATCTGAATCTGATTCATCTTGAGATCCAACTACTAGCTGATCTCTAGAAGATCTTGAGCCATAACTGAATCTCCCTCTTGAATGTCAACTCTATTTGGAAAACCGTCGTTTGGAATTTAGCTTTCTTCGGCAGCAAAGTATCCCTCTCACTCTGCGGTACCTGGCTTTCGGTCTTGGTGGTTTGCGTCCGGTGATCGTAAACTTTCAATCCGCCAGTGAGCGAAGTCGAATCTGACTCGAAGCGGTGGACGGATTTGACCTCTACATCCAGTGGATCGCCTTCGAGGAACTCGTTGCCACTGGAAACCAAGATTAAAGCTCAGCATTCAACGGCCACTGATGCTGAACGGAAGCGACCCCCCTCGAAGCTCTCCCCTTTCCCTTCATTTATTTCCGCTGTTCTACTCTCAAGGGGAGGTCGCTTCTTCGATCTCAGTGACCCCAATCTCAATGGTGACCATTGAAAGCTGAGCCTTAACAAGAGTTTCGTCGGTATCCTCTGCGCATCGATACCGCTGTAATCAACGGCAACTCTAACGACGTCGGATACTGTCGCAATAATGACGATGCCGACGACGAAGGGGGAATGAAGCGGGGAAGATGTTTTTCGTCCTTTCTTGGATTTATTGGAGTTAATGGATGTTGAGATTGAGTCAATGAACACAAATTTCACATTTATTCATAAAGAATGAACGCTGTAGCGTAGAAAAGCTGCAAAACTCCCACTGGTGTTATCAACGGCTGCCATGCTCGTAGTTTCTGCTGTGAAAATCGATGCCAGTAACTGTTTTCATCCGGACGTCCACTAGTTTTAGATTCATCATCTTGCTCTACTTCAGAGGTAGAGACTAACGCTGTTGGATTCTCAAGCGGCGCAGAATGCTCTCCTTCTCTAAATTTCATTGCTCCTGCACCTGTTGAACCAGGTGAAGAGGATCCCCTTCGTTTTCTTCGAGCATCTGTGTCCATCTCGTTGATGTCCTTGTTCTTGGAGATATCAACACACAGTAGTTCATGCGTGCTGGCTGAAGCAGATGAGCCGTCTCTACTACTTCCCCTTCTTGCTGACTCCCCTGCTCCTCTGTCTTCGTGCAAAAGCAAAGGTTCCACTTTTGAGGTACCTCCAGGTACGGACTCGTTTTCCATGATCCTATTTGCTCGGTCTTCCCGCTGATATCGCATCCTTCTCCGAGTCCTGTGAGTGCCACGTAGTCCAGTAGTCGGCGGCTGTGGGACGCTACCTGCAGGCACTACCAGGACTGGCCTTGCTGGACCAGACTGCTCGTCTGGAGGTTGCTCCATGTTGTATGGATCGCGTTGCACCAAGGGAGAACGAGCGAACATCTAAATTTGCTAATCTAGAATAGAGGAATAATTAACGACATCAACATTAGTGCTCAGACACTCATTCATAAGGGTTCCGTTCACTGCAATTCCGCGTCTCCTGACAATGCTGTAGTTCCTTCATAGAACAAGAATAATCAGTCCGATAACAATCGAAGACTGTTGCGTGCTTAATACTGTAGTATGAACACGGGACGAGAGTTGAGAAGCATGAATGATCTGCCTTCGATCAGGAAAACGAGTGATAAACTCTAAGTTATATCAGAATATCATGTGCGCAAAGCGCTGCTTGTTTTACATCTGCGGGTGGGAGTGGGAAGAAGATTTTCTAGGAAACAAAGACAACATCGCGATCATCATAAATAACGAGCTGTGTCAGCATCATTCGTTTGGTTCGTGGTTCTGGGAAATCAAATAATAACTTTCTAAGATTTTACATATTTTTCATTTTTTTCCTTTACTTCTACTACGACTGTATACCATTTTTTAGAAGTCTTGCAAAAATAAAATTCAAATTGTGAATTATAACTACTACAACTGACTACACTAACAGGATTCATTTATTGCATAGGCATAAGTACTTTGATCTACTACGTAGAGGTCAGACATCGGAGTTATTTGTGGAAATAGGTTGAAAGCGATGATCAAACGCTGTATATGTTTGTAGTTCTTGAAAACTTATTATAAGTTGTGGACTTCTTCCTACTTAGTTTCTACTTGTTCATACTGATACTAGTTACAACTACTCCCTACTCAGAGAGATGAATAAAGACAGGGGAACCGCCACCTAAGTCGTAGCGAAAAGTCCATAATTTGCCTGAGCTTATAAGAAAGTAACGTGATCACTCAAAAAATACCACAACCTGGATTCATTTTTCGGCAAGCAGGATAAGGACACCATGATGATTTGATGATTACTTACACAAATACGTAAAACAACCCAATTCAATTGGAAAGATTCACAAAAACAAACAGCAAACAGCTACGCGCCTCTGTTTTCTTCTTAGATCCTTGACATTCCACACACGAGCAACGGTCTTTGATACAACCGCAGTCCTTGTGATAGCGATTCAGAAGATGGGTCTTCAGTTCCTGCTACCTGAAGGGCTCCTCTTGACGTCCTCGACGATAGATAGCCCGAAGTGATAGTCCACGCTGGCTCCTCTCGAGAACCTTCCCACAGATTTGAGATCGTCCAACTCGCCAACGCCGCATCAGTTAAGGAATTCCCCATCAGTGCACGCGGCTCATCGTTCTCCGTGTTGTAGTACAGGTTGAAGTAGTGCTGGGAAAGCGGATGAAGCTGGTGCCGGGAAACGTGGAGGCGCGTTGAAGCTGCATTAGGAGCCATTCTTGGTGACGTTGGTGTCACACTTGGTGACGATCGCAAGAGATTACCAGCACTACCAGGTCGCGTTTTCCTCATGCTTTTCGTCGAGACAGTAAGCGCAAGGCTGGCAGAAGCTCTAGGTGGCGGAACGATGTCTCTCGAAAGAGGACCACTACGTGTCGGCAGGCGCAACTTCTCAGCGACGAATGTTTCCAAGTCCATCGACTCTATCAGGACGTCCCTGGAGCTCATTCTTGCATCAGGAGAAGCGATGCAATCACTACCACGTGTAACGCTTATGCTACTGTTCTGAGGTCTATCCTCCTCTTCATCCTCGAAACCGGACATGACGAGAGAAGAGCAGTTTCTCTTGTTTCCCAATCGCGTTCCTCCTTCTGGTGTCCCTCCTGCTCTACTTTCTCCCCCATCCTCATTCTCCATATCCGACGGATACCCGTCACTGCTACTGCAACTCCTAGCAGGAGAGAGCTTGGCGCCGTTAAAGGCGCTACATGCGGCGCTAGAAGCATGGCGCAACAAGTTGTCATCCGATCCACTGATTGAGCTCAAGCTGCCGACTGAGTCTCCTCTTGGCGACACCGTAGCACAGTCCCACAAGGATGAGTCACCCTCGTAGTAGATCTCTGCCTTCATTAGCTCTTCGCCAACTTGAGCATCGACCACAGACGAGCAGTAGTAGAAACCGAGGTCATCATGTGGATCTTGTCTTACACCTAGGTTCAACTTCATCACGTCCTCATCATCCGCGGAAGAGTACGCGAGAAGAGGATGGAGTCCAAGTGTAACGTCTTCGACATACTCTTCTTCGAGAACGAAGTCGGGGGGAAGGTTGCCGGCGAAAGGTTGTTCTCGGTGGACCTGAGCATCAAAAGTTGTGGCTGCGAGTTCGTCCTCGTGTTCCTTTTGTTCGTGTTCGTCACCTAAAAATATAGCAGGCGAAGCAGCAGTAGCCGCGCCAGGAGTCGTACTATCCATGACTGGCACAGCGGCTTCAACATAGTCAACGTAGCTGAATGGCACTACAGGTCGATTTCTCCGACGTATCGGTAGCATCGGTTCCTCTAGACCGCCTGCGTCAAAAACGACGTCCTCTTCTGCTTGTGGTCTGTTCTCACCTTCACCAGACCTCGACCCTCCAGAAGTTGGACCATTAGACCGACCGCGTCGCATCCTTGAGCCCATCCCTGAGCCCCTTTTCCCCTTGAAAAAGAAGCCAAGGATGGCGTTGAGGATGCGTCAGCGGTAGCCTTAAGACCACTCGCATTTTCCACCTCTCCATCAGCATCTTCATGGTTCAACACTGCTCGATGCGGGAAAAACGCCAAAACGTTCTGGGTGTTCGAATCGTACAATCGGAAGATGTAGTTTCGATAGGTGAAGTCGAAGAGCTGGTCACTCAATTCCGCTTCCGAGAAGACTGGACGTGTGCCCAGTAGGTCAGCGATCACTTGCTGAGGTCCGTGGGAGCGATGCTGCAGAGGTCCAAATAGAGGGATGAAGCCGCGCACTTGCGAGTTTATGACGATCTCTTGCCCGTCATCATTGACGAGCCGATAAACGGGACCATCTGTCGTGATGGAGTGAGGATGTTTGGATCTGCGATAATTCTAAATGGAACTGCAAATAATAATTGTTTCTTTCTGCATAGCCATAGCCCAAAAGTAGGCAGTTGAAACTACCACGCTAGTGAACCGCCCCGACATCAAGGAGCAAAATAATCGATGAAAGAGCATCAAGTTAGAAATAATAGTACCCCGCACAATCGCTTGTCCGCCATTGCTATGATGCAAGGTCGCGTTTGACAGAAAATCTGGTAGCCAATGGTAATGCTCGAAGATCTGGGTCCAGTGATTGTGGGTCAATACTGCAAGACCCGTCAACTGGGGTAATAGTTCAGATCCACTCCCGAAGGGAGGAAGAAGGGGGACGAGGATTGGCATTTTGTTTTCAGCTTATAATTTTTGGCATTATTTTGTTTTAGGTTAAGTACTATTTTGAACACATGTATATATATAAGTATTTCGTATTCGTAAGTGGAATGGGATGCCTCACTTCTTTAATCTTGAAGATAACGACATGAAGGATATAAGAATTTCAGGATTGACATATGAATTAGTGAAGAGAGAGAGTTCAGCAAATAGAATTCAACAAACTACACAACAAAGCTCTCGGTGACAACAATAAATTGAAAAATCGACTTCTATAAGTCCTCGTAGCAATAGCTGTGACATTCAAACTCTTGCACACAGTATTCGTCATACCTAGTTAATCCCGATGTTCCTAACAAGGTGCCCGGCGACGTAGACTTCATGCAACATTGATTTACACAGGCATAGACTTGTAGATATTATAGACAAAAGCGGATAAAAAGCTCTTCACAGACAAGGTTGTGTGAGAAAAATTGAGGTGGTTGATAGACTTAGACAGGACAAAGTCACAAAAATGGATCACACACTCTCGAATATATCACCCCTACTGGCATTGTTTTAGATGGGATGAAGATGATCATGAAGACTGCATTTGTGTCTTGCTGCATGACAGTCGGTCAAAATGAAAACACCTTCACAACAACAACTCGTGAGTTACAGAACAACGCAACGAAATGACAAAGCATCTTAATCGACGTTTCTCTCCATCTCTGCTCACGTTCTCTCGTCAAAAGACAATCCGAACATCAAACATTCAATGATACTTCTGATAGTGACTATGTATGTTGTCCCTCACGAAGGATACATAGTTAGACGATGAACATGCATTTTGCATGCACTTTCGAATCAATGTCGAGAGTCTTGGTCTCTATTATGAACTTTGTCATAGATACTCCAACTCCTGCTCGTCCTTGGACATTTATCCTAACAAAGTGTCTTTCTTGGCAAACAGTCGAAAGTTGATGAACAGGATTCCTAGAAACTTCCTGGTTCTTGTCTTGCGATTTTTGAAAATAGATTTCTATACTATAGTTATTTTTTTTGTAAGGGCATCTGATAGATTCCTAGGCAAAAAATTGACTCCTTTGGAGATCTTTCCCCTTAGCCTTACGTCCCGATTCCAGCCTTGTTCGTAGATCTCTTCCATGATCACTTCACACTACTCCTCTCCCGGTCCCAGCCTTGTTCGTTAATGCCGATATGCTTATTAGGGTCGTTAGCGGCAATCAGATTGGCTTCACTACAGATGTGAATGTTGACCAGAGAGTGGTCGTTGAGCGCATCAAGCCAGTCTTTCTCTTGCAGGAAGCGGAAGTCATACTGCAAATCGACTAACTGTGTGAAAGGCTTACCGTTGGCTGTGCGACCACCGCGAACCAGCCTTGAGCTCTCGCCTACAGCCATTGGCTTGCGGAAAGTGTTCGGTCGATTGAGAACAGCGTGTTTCGCGAGGTTGGGGTATGAAAAGGAGCGAGGGATCGGGATTTTTTAGGGGATTCAGGCGTGATTCATTATTACTCATATCAAGAAATCATTTCATTTTGATGATTTATACATTACGATGCCTCCTCATAAGTATTGCGCCACTGCATACGGGTCGAACTTCAGCGCGCGGTCGAAGTAGTAGTTCTCCCTCAGCAACTGCTGACGTACCGACTGCACCTGCTCCAACATCGAACTACTCGCGCCAGTGGCCTTCTCCTCTTTGACGTCAGCGTCATTTGCATCCGTAGTATTGCTCTCAGGTGAAGAAGGCTTCCACGCACTGTGTTCTTCTGGCACGACCAAAGCCGACGCCTCCAGTGGCAACCTGCCAGTATATTTCAGTCCAGGCTGTTGCGGAGCTGAAAGACGATGAATCTGAGACGAATCCTCTGCTCCAGTACCGCTTTTGGACGAAGTCATCTGATCCGTCAATGTCGCTACCAAATGCCTCTTCTGTTCCCCAGACAGGTTCAAAGAGAGTTCTTCGTAGTAACTGCGTCTAGGCAAAAACCTTGTCTTCGTCAATTCTCGCAACGGCATCGGCAAGAACTCAGTCGACACTGAGAAATTCTCCACTAGTGCAGTCGAAAAAGCAACAGCAGCTTGAAAAAGCTTTCTCGATGTCGGGTGCAACACCTCCGAGGCAGATGCTATCCTATGAGCACGCCTGGCGAAGTCTCCAGATTCAGGCCAAGGGTGTGCGCCACCTTTTTCCACTATAGCGAAATGCAGGAAAGCGTCAAGGGGAATCGTCAATTTAGGCATCTCGAAGAACTCATTCGAAGAAGCCAAGCGTGAAGGATTGCTAGGTCTCGAATTGTATGCTGATAAACTTTGCAGAGCGAGGTCGAGGAGTAGCGTGGGATTGGAGTAGAGGAAAGAGTGCTGGTCCCCATCTGCGGGTTTCCTCTCTCCTGACGCAAGGCTCACTGCCCATAATTCCTCATGGATTGTTCCATCAGGCGACGCTTGTTCAACTGACCTTGTTTCAGCAATACCACGGACCCACTCCACTTCGTCCACTGTTGCTGGTGCGAAAAGACCTGCAGCTGCCGTTTCCAATAATGGCTTCCCCGCCTGCAGCATCTGATGCAGAATAAACCGGTATTTTTCGGTTAGGCACGTTTTGTCTGATAAGAGCCAAGTCCTTCGTCGCATCAGATCGGTCGTGTTCATACCTCTGGAAGCGCCTCTCTCGTCACCAACACCTGGTGCGCGGCTTGAACTACTTCCTGCACACTGCTTCAAAATTTCAACACGCCACTGCAAAAATTTCCGAGCGATATACTTGTGTTGCATCTTTATCAACGAGAAGCTCCAGAATCCACGTAGCTCTTCTTCGCTTAGTCCCTGGGTCGCTTCCTCTGCAACTTTCTGATCCATCTTCTGTTTCTCTTGATTCTCCTCTCCCTTCTCTTTCTCATCGTGATTTAATAAGCGTATACTTTTATCCAATTTCGTTTGCCTTCTCTTTTCCCCACGCGTCAAGAAAACGTCGTGATCACGTGCAAGATACAGTGTGCCTTGTGGCACTGCCCAAACTAAATGTAAAACTATAGCACGAAACCACAGATGGCCTACAGGATAGACAACTTGACGATCGTAGTCGGTATTCATAGTGGCCGCATCCGGTGATCCTCCTCGTGGCCCAATCTTCAATTCCTGTGGCACAGGAATACTATTCACAGGCGAAGCCCAACGATGATGTTGTTGCCAGAAACCATCGGCTGAATCTTGATTAGCAGAGGTCTCCTCAAGCTGGAGTTGGTAACTGTCTATGATTTCGGGGTCTCCTGCGACTGACGTAGTGCTCGGTCTACGGGCTTCCATGGAAGGGTAAAGAGTGTCAGGCTCACTCAAACTCCAGCCTCTCCGTCGCCGTCTAACTTGTCGCACCATTTCAAGGATATCTTCGTGTCGTATCGTTTCGCTTTTCGTTTTCGTATCTTCCCCTCCAGTTGTAGTTACAGTGGCTTTCACTGCACGTGCACCCCGATGCACACTATAGAAATCCTCTCTCCCACCCACTTCTCTCCTTATTTCCTGCGTCATCGCACCTCCACAGGCCCAGAAGAACAGCTTATCAAATCCTCCTTTCACTTTCCCAGCATCCCATAACAACTCTTCGCTGAAACAGGAAAAGCCCGACCCTGTAAAAACCGTCATTTGCATCTCAAACGTCCGACTCGTCCAACCAGGTGTGGCGTAGTGCAACAGCTGATCCAAGTATTGAGCTGGCTGTAGTCTAGAACTCGCAGAACACAACGAATGCGGTTGTAGAACGGAGAGATCGTTTTCCCACATGACTGGGAAGATGATGTCTGGATCGAACCGGAGGACAGCAACATCGTCTAGAAGGACAAGGACAAAGTCATATGTTGTTGTTGATTTGGACGTTGCAGTAGAAGGCGTGATCGCGGCTCCTGAGCCTGTAGATAGCGAGTTAGAACTGCGTGTGAATCCATTTCCCCGTAAAGCAAAGTACTTCAAATACGCGTCATACAATGCGTTCTGGTAGTGCGCGCCTTCTTTCCGGATCACTGCGCATTGGTGTACGCCTGTACCATTGTTTGCCTTGTTGAATGTGGTGGGATCTGCAGCTGCCTCTGGGCTGCCTCCTCTCCCGGAGGTTGCCTTCCCTATCAAGGTTTCCAAGTCATACTCTTCCCTTCGCCGCCAAGTGTAAATCGCACAGTCGAGATCTCTTGCCGAAAAGTACTGGGACCACGCGAAGGAGTCTTGAATGCGTTCGATGCTGTTCTTGACAAAGGGCCAGCGGTCGATATCACCATGGCCCGGGATCAAAAGTAAAAAACGCTTCCATGATGACCAGGTCATGCAGTTTCTGTGCTACTGGGGAGCTTCTCTCATTGTCGACTACGCTTTGGTGCTCGCTCTTTCATAGCGGCCATCTCTCTCATTACTCTCGATCGTCACTCCTCACATGCAGGAGCAGTTCTCTAATTTGGAATTTCATTATGCGCTACTACTCCAGTTCAACACTCTTCTTGCTCAATGGGCCTCTCCACCGAATTTATCCCGTTGGAGCGAACACAAGAAATCAGCCTAGGTCCTATCATGATGAACTATTTTGATTGCTTCATTTGATGTCCCAAGGGCGATTCAAAACCATCTTCATCCACTGTTACGCCATCAAACACAAACTGCAAATCACGCATCCCTCAAATCTGGCGCATCAACATTATCCATCTCAGTGCCATCAGGAGGCTTCCGATCCAAATTACCATCTCGCCACTGCTCAAACTGCCAAATGGGATTGTCAAGCCTTTCCCAGTCTGGTCTCGGATGATCGAACTCGCCGATAGCGTACCAGTGTTTTTCGCCTGAAGGGGATGGATGGGAGGGATTGATGTTCCAAGAGTTGATATTGAATTTGATAGAGGCAGAGAGGATCAGCAACAATGTGGAATTTGAATTTGTATTTGATAGAGCAAGAAAATTCAAAGTATCCTCGATATGCATCCAATAAGTTAAAGTTAAACTACACCAGTATTTCTAATTGTACCAAAGTATCGGTGTGCATCCAAAGCGAGTGAGAAATCACATAAGTAGGTTGGTCGTACCTGAAAACCGATCTTCCCGTATTTCTCCCGGCAGCTGTCCATGCGATTCTGGCGGCAAATACTTCTTCAAGGAACTGTCTGGCTTCAGCCTCAAAGTCTTCGGGAACAGCTGGTACGACAGTTCCGGAGGCATTTCTCCTGGTGGCACGTTCCTCTTCAACGATTTCGGATACAAGAAGTCGACATAATCCCGACAGGCATTCGGGAACCGTTCACAAGACGACAGACCTTCTGCACCCTTCATGGCGTAGACTGGGTTTAAAGCAGCGTCTGCTGGTGGAGGTATGGCGCCAGTTGCGCCACCGATGCCAGGTAGGAGTGTAGGAGACCACTGCGCTGGAGACCCGATGGAATAACCGGCGTCGGCTAAAGTCGATGCTAGTGCATCTGCGGCTGGCCCTCGGAAATGGCTGACGTCCTCTCCGTGCCTGCGCATGCGACGCCACATGTCTGGCAGTGTCGTAGGTCCGTTCTCACGACGCATAGTCTCTGGCAAATACTTAGGATAAATCGCAGGTACACGATCTACATCTTCAGCTTCGTGGTTTTCTAGACGATCTGCCTCATCACTGTTGTTGGAACCAAGACCACTAGAACTGATCTTACTCGCTTTGCCACCCGGTTTCGTCCTCAACCCGGCGACCGTCCCCGCTTCCGGAATCAGCTCTAGTCCCGCAACGTCTTTTGCTCCACAAAGAGCTAGTTGTCGTCGCGCACCTGGCGAAAACGGAGTCCGCAAATCAGCTGCACCACTGTACAGCACAGTGTCCTGCGTCCCTTCTGTCGTCATAGTCCACGCTGTACAACCCTCTGTCTTCGCACAAAGAGCAGCCGCGTCGTTGGTGTTCTCGAGGAAAACGTTCGGGACTACCCTCAAAAGATCTTTTTCATCGCAGTTGGCGCGAGCGTTGGAGAAGATCAGGCTGTCCCTGACCCCTCTGGTGCCACCTAGGACTCGATCGTAGTGCACACCAGAAGTAACACCCTCTTCGTACTTGCCGGTGAGCATTCCGCCAGAAGTGATGTCGTGGCTGGTTCGGGGGAGGCTGGTCTATTAGAACGTTCGATGAGTTTCAATTTCTCAAGTACTTGGACAAAATCTAGGAAAGCTTTCTTTAAAGAAGGAGAAAGACTTCTAGGATTCTACTTACATTGAAAAATAAGCGAGATGAGCGACCTTCATCCAGCCCTTATGATTCTCGCCATAATGATCCTCCCCAACTGTACTGCCTATCGGAACACCGTCATTGCCCAAGCCAGCAGGTGAGGATACAGCATGTCCCCCCTGACCATGTCCCTGGGTCGCCACATGTTCACACATGTGGACGTTCCTCCGTGTCGGATCATAGGCGAAATACCTACACTTCGGCTCCCTAGAACACGCTTCGGTTGCGTCTTGGATGTTGTCGATGTCGTTCTGAACACCTTGATAGTAGAGGTGCTGATCTCTTGCTTCTTGTCCATACATAGGGCTTCCATTGGGACCAGTGATGTGGTTGCTGATGTGTCTCAGACTACGAGGTCGTTCTACTTGGCATTCTACTCGCAAGTTCTTGAGGAGCAGAGGTCGACCGACGAACGCTTGATGTGTGTAGACCAGGTGTCTGCGGAGAATGGCTTCGCGACCTTGTACAGTGTCAGAAGAGGGCTCAGGCGCATTGCTGGGGTGTTTGTTTTTCCATAGCAGATCGATGATTCGCGGCTCGTGAGGCGTGGCATTTTTGTCCTTCCCAGTCGGTCCAAAAGGACCAAGTGCAAGTATTCCCCTTTCGACTCCTTTGGTCGAGTTGCCGCTCCTAATCCACGACAAAATCTCATCCGGGGAAGCAGTGTTGTGCGCATGCAACAAGCGCCCGACTATTTGACCCATGTTCTTGAAAATGATTCGTGTTATAATTTACTTAGAAAATCATGAAGGTTAAAAAACCACGGCATCAAGAGGCGGTACAAAAAATGTACAAAAAGGAATCATTATATCCGCGCTGCAGGTGCACTACGCGTTCGCGCCGTTGAGTTTGTGTTTTATGACATAATGTTGGACAAAAGCAACAGCGCTGACGTTGTCAGCGTTCCTTGTTCTAGCTAGACCAAGTGCTAGAGAACGATTTATGGTTATCGACGAGGAAATCGAATTACCACGGAAAACATGATCGAACTACGCAAATCGAGGACAAAGCTCAAGGTATCATTAAATAAATTGAAGGCGATAACTACAGCTACACTGACTCTTGCGATATTAACGAGTGGCGAATATAACAAAGACAACAAAACTCTGGTCAACATTGATGATGAAGATGAGGCAATAATGTGAAGAACTCGAATTATTTTCAATCGTTGTTCTTAAAATCGAAATTCGTTTAGTTCCAGCTATCGCTACATCAACATCTGTTGTTCCCATCTTTTTCAATCCCATGAATCAGAATCTTCAACCAAATTACTCGCATCAAAGTCTGTTGCTCAGTCGTTAGCCGCATCCAAGTCTGCAGCTATCCTCTGCATTTGCTTTTGTAAGCCGTCAATCCCGTTATGAATCTGAATTACGCCATGCCTCAACTTTTGCATCGTGTCCTCGACTCCATCTTCGTGGAGTGGCTCACCTAATGGCTTTCCTTTTGCTGTTTTCCCGATGTTGACCTTGTTGTTACTGATGGAGGACGCGAAGGAAGAAGAAGAGGGAGACGATGTCGGCACTAGTGCTTTCCTGGAGGACGCGAAGGAAGAAGAAGAGGGAGACGATGTCCGCACTAGCACTTTTGCTGGTGCTGGAAGATCTGTATAATTAGCTGTCGCGAGTGATGTACTTATCCTTGTGCTGCCGTCTACTGATGTCAACATCCGACGTCTCGATGATGTGGAACCGCTTGCCCTAACAAGGGGTAGGCCTTGAACTACATCCTCATCCCCAATGCTAAGAAAAGCCGAACTACTTCCTTCTCCTAGTCCTGGGACTACACCCAAAGATTCGAGGCTCCGATGTGCCATCATGGATGCATAACCTGCATGTTGCGCAGCATCGTGGGAAAAAATTTTAGCAGACGAGGGCCTCAACATCCCCGTCGCTCGCGCAGCCAAATACGAAGCTTTGTCAGTCAAAGCCTCGCTACGTTCTATGAGGGACTCAACAGAGGTCCAACCGAGGAGGCGTTTTAGCGAGAACAACCATTCGAAACTGAAAATTCCGGATTCTTTCACTGGTATTATAGCGTCAGGGCCAGTGCTGCTGCTGTCACTGCACTTAGAAGCGGAAAAGAGAGCCTCGTGGTGTGGATGCACCATCCTGGTAGTCGTTGTACTGGTATCTTCTGCTAGTACGTTGTAGTAGTAGTTACTTACTACTAGTAAAAAGTAGTACTACTCCTTTTCCGTACAAAGTTTTCAACCTATGAAAGCTACCTTACGCTTACACTACTTGGTCTACGTCTCTGTACTCGGAAGCGGACATCAATTGGAGATACAAGTAGAGCAACTAGTACAGCAGCAATCTGTAACGCGCGTATCTCGACCACCGAGCGTTGTCGAGACGCGAGACCAACTTCGAAGAAGTTGCAATCACACTTCTACGATGATTGTCGAGGACAATTTATTATAGACAAAACTTGTACGAGAACGACAAAGTTTTAGCGTAACACTGTTTACTAGTACTTAGCCGACGTACTTTCTGTTCCTTCGCCTGCGCCTTCTGAATGGAATCATTGCAGAAAATCATCGAATGCGAAGAGTATTTCCATCTTCACAGCAAGTCTTTGTTTACTGATCATCAAAAGAAATTCTTCACCTTTTCCAACATCTTCCCCACACCCGCTCCGTCCGGATCAGTCAGATCCATCAGTGCTCTCCTAGCCCTTGAAGCTGCAAAAGAAGCATGTGCAAACGTGTTTTCTAGCGTGGTTTGCAACTTGCTGCTATTCGTATGCGTTTTCGGTGCTTCTGAGGCTTTTCGGACAGCCTCTGTCGCCAAGTCGGCAGCTTCTTGCGACAGATCCGCTGCTTCCTGGAGGACGTCTTCCGCTGTTCTCGCAGTGGAGAAGGAGAAGAAGAAGGCAGTGGCATTTGCTCCGGATGTTCGTGCTGTCCTCCTGGAAGTAGTTCTCCTTCTTGTTAACTGAGTTCTGCTATCAGTATCATCGACGAAGGCCCTCCTGTCCGCACCACTTTCCGTGGAATGGCCAACTCGAAAAGTATCGGACAGCGTATGAAATGCCGTTCTCGAGGACGAGGAGCATGAGCTCGGCGTCCTCCCTGCGGTACGCCATACCGTAATGTCGTCGACGAGATGTTGGGCAAGCACTGCTGAGCCGGACATACTTTTTGTCTACTCGATTAGCAGCCAGGCCCCCGAGGCCGGCTGCAGAAAAAGCTTAAGCCACTAGCAATGCAAGTGTAACTGTAGTTCTTGATACGATGATGTGAAGCCTTACTCGGTTCAGTTTTTGTAGTTAGGGGCAAATTTGAGGATTCGTACAGGGGCAAATTAGTATGATCCAAATCTGAGGATTTGTACAGGGGCATTGACATCTTCATGGGGAATTTGCGGCAGTTGTAACAAGACGATTCATGACCGACAAGAAGCTACGGCTCTTCTATTGAACCGACAGCGACTATGTTGATTGTAAACGGAAAGCTCCGAAGACAGACTGATAGAAAACCGACCAGAAATTTGACCATAAGACAGGTTTCGACTCTGTCAGTAGATACAGATTTTTGCTGACAGAAGATCCGGATGTTGCACAATGTTAGAACACTTCTTGATATTAGTAGCAACAGAAAACTTCATAGTATTTCATTTAGCGTTCTTTCAACTACATTTTGAAATATTAGGGTAGCCGCGCAAAGCATAGCAGTGTCGTCAATTCACCACCTCTTCTTGTCTTCTCCTGACCAGATGGACTCCATTCTCTATGTGCGCTGTAAAAGGAAAATGATCCAAAATACTCCACTCAAATGCTACATGAGTAGATTTCAAGCGATCTAGATCGCGTCTAAGACTAGTCGGAGAGCAGCTAATGTACAAGATGTGATCGAATTGGGCTGCTAGTTTTAGCGTGATTTCGTCTAACCCTTCTCTGGGAGGGTCGACTAGGAGGTAGTCTAGAGGGATAGTCGTGTCTTTGACTTTATAGCATTTGGTTTTCATTACCGATCGTGCAAACTTCGCAGAAGCAGCACGAATCGCGTGAACGGTGGTTCTTGTGTCGCTTGCTGTTTTTTGGCTATGAGCACCAGGGGAGTCGGAGTCTGAGCGTGAACTGGAGGACGGCGTAGAACCACTAGAGGCTGTCGTTCTGGCACTATCAGGACGCGATGGTTCGATTTTGGTCGTTGTTGCTTCATCTCCTGCAGTTGCCTCTGCCTCGTCAATGGTTGCCTTTCCACCTTGTTCTACATAGTAGATTCCGTCTTCAAATCTTTTCTCCCTGATTCCTGTGCCTGTTGTACTTGCTGTATCGTTGTGGTGAACAGCTGCGGCAGTCAGAGACGACTTTCCTCCAGTAGTACCAGTAGCGTAAGCGTTCTCTGCAATCCTTACTTCGTCTGCGAGTGGTCCGTCCGCTAGCTTCAAGCGATCGCTATTTCGCCCAACATTCTGGCACAACATTTTGTGCAAATTAGGATCTAGTTCCACTGCTACTATGTTGTCGAAAAGGTCTCCCCCTCCGAGGACGACAGTGTGGCTACCTACACCGCAGTATAATTCTAAAAGGTTTCCGCGTCTGGTTGTACTACTACTACTCGGAGTTGTTCTTGGAGGAGTGTTAGGAGTGTTCTTCTTCTTGGCTTGTTTCGCGCACATATCTGTACTGTTGATAACCCTTCGCAGCCACTCTCCCGTTGCACAGGCAATATAAGGATTCGGGTTTGAAAAGGACCCAAAGACTTGGCGATAATTGCACTGTAGGCCCGAAATTTCTAACATTTCGTCGATGGTGCAACGCTGGATTACAGTACTACTAGCAGTTGAAGGTGTATGATGATCACTTGAGCAGGAAGTAAAGCTGGAGGGGCTGCTAGTGCTGAAAGTACAGGTAGAACAAGTATCAGAAGGCGTCTCTGCTATCTTCATCTCAGCCATCTTTGCGCACCCTTTTGCTGCCGCAACGAAGCGTACCCAGGGCCATTGACGTACCATGTTCGGTAAATTCACAACTTTTTCGTCTTCATACAAGTTTGGGTCACTGAATATGAACTGACAGGTCAAGCCTTGTGGTGGTAAGACAGTAGACCCCACCGATGTTGAAGTGGATGAATGTCCTTGTCGAGCTTCCGCTTCTTGACCTGCTGCTCCCTGTTCACTTTGACTACGAGCTTTCAATTCCCGTTCGAGCACCATAGTTGAGTGCAGTTTCATCCCTGAAAAGCCAAAAGAAGACGTTGACTTCCGCATGAGTTCACGCACAGGCCCGTTCAAAAACTCATCGTCTCTCAACAGTTCCAATATTCCTTGTGACAAGGTTTCTAGAGGCATGCGTTCTGGCTGGCAAGAACGGAGAAGGATTCTACTTCTGGAGGTCGTGTTCGCCATTGCTTCTACGTCTTCATGTACATGCTCTTCAACATCTTGAAACAGAATGAAAAGGCTGTTCGCAATACCCAGAAGATTGGAGTGCAACTCACAGTTCTCCTGGGTCGCCATCTCTTTTTCCACTCTCCCTCTCCTTTCTGCATCCTCCTCTTTAACCGCTTGCAGCCACTTCTTCGCCAGTGGATCTTCCCAGTACTTCTTCGCATTGTGCAGAACGGAGATGCGAGTCCGAAAACGGAAATGTCGTTCTGGAGATCGGAATTCCCATATTGGGATTGAACGTGTCGAAGGTGTGGAACGTGTCGAAGGTGTAGAAGAAGAAGGTGTCGTGAAAGCTGTCCCATTAGAAACTGTACCATTCAGTTCCGCTATGGCTGTAGTTGTTGTAGCTGTACCATCAAGAAGTTCCTCTCGAAAGTACTCCTGTACAAACTGCTTTTTGAGTTCGAACTCCTGCTCATAGGTGCGCCCAGCGACGTGCTCTGCCAGTCCTGGCACAACAGAGTGCTCAAGAGGTTTGAGCGCTTTTGTCGTTGTGGTTGATGTCATTTTGGCGTTGCTGGGGATTTCTAAAAACCAGAAATGAGACCACGACGAGGGGCCAAAAGTAGAGTCGTAGATAATTTCAATCAGTGAGTCCTCCACTCAACTACATTGATTAAAATGTCGTGTTCATTTCACCTCGGGTCCTGCTCCTGCTCATGTTGGTATCGACAAGCTATTGTTAAAAATGTAAGTAGGCGAATAAGCATAGGTACTCGTCCAGGATCGATTTCATAGGCCAGTCTTTTGATCTTCATCTTGGAACGTCTTCCCCCTCAAATCTTGATGATGACAAGAGGCCACGTGCAGTCAGGCTATGAGGTCGCCCTTTGATCGTTCGAAGGAGGATCTTGGATTGATCGTGTTATCTTTTTCATGACGATCGAATTAGATTTGGAGCGAATATATAATAATGGCTAATTTGCGAAACAACGCTGGTGACGTCGCAAAAACAAAGCTGGCAAGCAGAAGATGCTCACAGCAGGCGATGGTGCTTGCCTCTTGGTCTTCGTTTGGTACACGCTTACGAGGGAAAGTGTTGAGCTCTTGGGATGTTTCTACGTAAATGTTGAAAAGAGATTTGCGTTTGCGGGTTAGGGACGATGAGCATTCGAAACATAGCCATCGAATCACCACCAGGGGAGAAGGTTATCAAACGTCCAATATGGTGTGAGAGGAGGGACCCACCGTCTGCACAACATTATAACGCTTCAATCATCTCAAAAAAAGTGTCTGCGATGTCATGGGAACAGGAGAGAGTACGGTTACAAAAAAATCGCACCATTGTTTGAGAGCTGTCCTTATCCAAGCGAGGCTCAACCTCTTCGTCCAAAGAGTCCTCCCAAAGCACCAGCTACCTTTGCTCCAAGGTTACGGATCTTTCCCTTCTTCTGCGGCACCAGGTCGTTCAGATTTGGTGGCTGCAGTTCCATGCCAGCAAGATCTAGGATCATAGGTGGCACAGTGAGGGTCTGGAGCTTCAAGGATGACGGGAATGCGAGACCGCCACTGGAGGAGCTCGATGAGCCAGAAACTTCTGGGGCAGTCGTTGTGATCGACAAAGCGAGAGCGCGAGCGTGCCAGCTGAGAGTATTAATTTTCTTGATCATTTTAGTATAAATATAAGAATGAGTTCTGGTACTACAACTGGATCTTTTATAACTTGCTAACTTATCATTTTGTTTTTAAACGAAGGTTAGCGTTAGAGTTAGACGATTGCGGTCCACTCATCGCAATAGGTAGTAGGTAGAAGCTTTGTAAAACTATAAGTAATAGTTGTAATGTAGTGATGGAGCAGCTAACCTAACTAGGAAAACCCCTTCTGCTTCTGTAGATCATAGTAATATTAGAGGTAGGCTGTTGGTGCTCGCTTACCCCGCTTGTTATGCCTTTCTCCCTTAGGAGAGGCATAAAAAGCGGTAAGAAAAGCACCTTTAACCTACCCTGCTTAATAATAGAAAAAATGGACATTTACCACGTCGCTTTGTTCGGCAACTCCTCTCCCAGCTTTGTCAACAGTTCCCCGAACCTGGCTAGTGGTTCCGAAAGTTCCTCCACCTCAGTGCCTTGCATCTCCATTCGTCCACGCACTAATTCCAAAATGGATGCTGCCTCAGTGTACTTCTTACAGCACATGTAGCAGAGACCTGTGGAGGAGTTATGGTTGGACGATTCAGGATATTAAGGATGTCGACGATCCGGGAATTGACTTTAGAACAATGTACTGGGATCAGACAAGCCGCTTGGTAAAATCTTAGCTACCAACAAAGAATCCCCGCACGTTGTTCAGTAGCGTAAGCGCAGATGAGACTTCGAATTGGCCTGGGAGATTCTGTAATCGCTCTAGCTCTGCCTTGATTAACTCGGCAAATCGGACACCCTCTTCGGGCCTCATGGTTTTGCTTCCGAGGTCTTCTACCGCGCCCAATCGGCCAGCCAATCGGGATAGAAAGAGCATGTCGCGCTCTGTGTTGAATGTGCGTGAGTGAGAGTGGTGTTATTTGCTGTTGCTCCATCAAATTTCAGTCCAGTTACAGTAGATAATGATATATAAGAATGATAAAGCGTAAGGGCAAGGAAATTTTCATGAAAGCTAAAGCTTAGTCAAAGTCAATTATAACAGAAGGGAATATAATTACAAAGGCAAAGACAAAGGGTCCTCGTACCAAGATAAATCGCCGCTAGCTGCTCTCGGCACATGTTCTCTAATGGCTTCATCCTATCTCCAGTTTTCAGCATTTCCTCATGAATAATCGAGAGAGCTTGTTGCATCTGCGAAGCTGCTTCGTCGAATACAGTACTAGAGATTAGAAGAGGAAGGGTTGAAGATTGTCTCGGTACAAGTTCTTCAAAGTGGATTATGAATAACCTATGTATGCTTATGCCATATACATTTTGACGAATACTATGGGTATGCAGCAGGTATCAGTATCTAGACTTTGGATAGAATCTTCAGACCGCGAGATGAGTATTTTTTGAGATGGTTTCCGTTGAATAATGCCTTAAGGAAGACGACGAAGACGAGGCTCCACTCGCAGACGACAGCACACTTCTCGCTTTTGTTTTCGCTTCCAGAGCTGACTCTATCAGCTGATGAATTGGGTCTGAGCAGCAGTCAACGATGCTGTCCCGAAATTCGTAGGTCGAGATAACCATCTCGGAGTCCGTTGGGCTAGATTTGGATGACTGCTTGGACGCAGTCTTGGATGCTGCAGACCCTCCAAGCCCCAGAACGCCTGCATTGTGGGATGCTCGCTTGAGCAATGGTTCGATTTCGGTAACCATAGACTGGTAGAGTTCGGAATCCTTGGAGGCAGCGGCAAGACGCTCGTAGGCGGATTTGCACCTTGTTTATAGGAGTTGATTTTTTGTAAGACGGAAGTGCTTCGGAAAGAAGATGTTCTTGGAACCGAAATTAATACATAGTACTTCTAGTACTCGTGGTTCATGAAACATTTTGCTATCAAGAACAAGTACAAGTGCCAAAAAATTCTAGACGTTCAACATGGAACATTTTGCTGTCAAGAACAAGTACAAGCAGAAGTGAACCAGAAGGAAGAGCAGTCTAAAAGTACTTTTCCAATTTGGATCCCGCATCTTGAAATTTTTCCTGCTCCATCAGCAATAGGGCTTCCATGTACAACTCATACGCTTCCGTTTGCTTCTGAGTCCTCAAATCACACGTGTGCTGCGCGAATCGGTTCAGCATGCGGGCACAGGTGCTCGCTTTGCGTAACTTCCCAGCTTAGAGAGAGTTCCAAACAACTCATTTCTTGCCTTCACTTCTTCAGAATCCCAAGAGGGAAACAGAAGAGAATGGCAGTTGGAAATGAATTGCATCAAGCCTTAACGAACGCCGTGTTGCCGAGTAGCGTAGCTGTAGTGGGCCTTGACGGCATTGTCTGCTTTGAGCTGTTGGAAGAAGCTCCAGTTTCTTTCGGTCTGGACTAAAATGATTTCCAAGTCCTGGAGAGACTTGATCTCCGTCACGGGAGAGTCCTTGAACTTGCCTTTACCTTGAATCATGGATGTGGGTTGTAGCGGTGCAAGATGGATATGGACGAATTGATGGGTGGAGTTGATGGACTATTAAACAGGATAACGGAATTTTTACTGGTTGTTAGCAACTTACTGACTATAACTGCCTCTCATTCATCTGAATACTTGTGCATATGTTCAACATCTTAATCTTAGTACCATGCGTCCTCTTGGCACTTTTGTACAATCGTGCGAGCCTTCTAGTGCAATATTGACGATAACGGTAGTGGTCGTTGTGTCTTAGCCCATTCGCGTCTTGGTTGGCACGCGCGGTCTTTAACACCTCAAAGGAAAAGATTTCTGAGGGGGGAGCAAGCTTATCCTCCTCAGGAGGAATGGGAGTTGACGCAGAATCTTCCATTTTTTCTGATATTGGATTCTTTTGTTATACTCGGTATCCGATGTTGTTGTGTGGCTGTGTAAATGTAGCTGGAGGTGAGAGTAGCTAGTGAGTGTAGACGTCGCTACTTGAAATAGTAGTGGCAGAAAGTCTCTCTAGTTCTTAATTTGAAACCTCCGTTTAGAGAACATTATAATTATTACGTCACTAGTTCGTACTATCATCCAAAGGGACTGGAGTTGGAAGACCAAGTAGCAGAGTGCTCATCAATTAACGGTGCTGTGAAAATTCACGATCAGGAGACAACGTCGCAGAGAGCAGTTGACATTGAAATTCATGTTGAAAGCTCACCAAAACCAAAAATGGAAATTCCTTTTAATCATGATTTTCCACCACCAGCATCGGGACTATTCGCATTCAGTAGATCAACACGTATAACTCAGCAGAATAGAATTAACCACGGTCAAAGGATCATCAAGACTTCATAGATTGCAAGAATTCATCTTGAACAATACCAAGTGAACACGAACTGTGTCATATCTTCACTTCTTCTACTTTTTCCTGGTAAATAAAGTAGAAGAAGTGAAGTGAAGATATGACACCACACAACTACCACAACTGGCATAATCTCCTGGAAGATGATGTTCTTGTTTGGAAAATCTTCTTCGTGGTCTATAGGTTAGGTTAGGTGTTGGTCCACTAGATAAACCAGCAGACTTCAGTAAAGCTAGTACATATGGAATTTTGTTGATTTGATGAGTGAATGCACAGTAGTTGTAGGTACTACAACAGTGAGGTATACCTTCTAGGACTTTTCAAAGTCTAAATTTCTAGAAGGAGTCGTGGACCTGTAAAGAGAAAAGGCGTCTTAGTTGGAGAAAGTCGTTGGAAATCTATCCGAGACAGTAACGACGCGACGAGACGATGCACAGTAATAGTTGTGAAAAGGCTTCTGCACAGTGATAGTTCATCATGATCAAAAATCTAGTTTTCTTCTACTTCTTCTTCGAAATCATATTCATACACACGACGTAGAGCGGGTAAGTTCGATAATCTTCAAGTTGGTAAAAATTGGGGTGGTCCAACAGTTCAACAAATTCAAAGAGTACAGAGTCAAACCATAACCAAACATTCTTGTAATGTGTGAAGTAATTACTCTCAGGTTACTCTCTCGAACCTCCAAGAAGCAATAGTACGATTTATTGTTCACCAAACTACTAAAACATTGATATCCCCTGAGGAATTTCAAACCTATTTTTTGTGTTCTTTCATTAGTGTTCTTTCAACCCTAAATTCTTGGTGTTCTGGTTTCGATACAACGGGCGCAACCACCAAACAGGAGGAATTCATAGACATATCACAGTCAACATGATCCTCATCACGACACATACGTATCTATTAGTATTACAGTCATCACCAGCTACTTCAACAGCACAGAATCAAAGCAGTTCCCCCAACGATTGATTGGCGACTACACGCACGACGTGGAACTTGCTCATCAAATCCATGTCCGGGGTCTCACAACTACTCAGGAGTATGAACTTGAAGTTTTTTTTATCCACGGCAAATTCATACTTCTGAAATTCAGCACCGTCTTGAGCAGGATCTACCAGCAGGTTGTAGAGCAAATCTTCCTCATCAAAGAGCCGTTTCGTCGTTATCAACTTCAAAATGCCCTCTTTCCGTAGCACTTCGGCTGCTTGCTGTTTGGCTTCGAATTAGTAGAATCCAGAAACAAGGAAACATCATCAACGGACAGACATACATTTAAGACACATACATTTAAGACTCTGTTGTACAAGATGAAGAGACCACGAATCAATCCTTTGTCAAGGTTGAAGAGCTTGAGCCGTAATCTACTTCCGGCTTACTTTTACTACTAGATGCTGGAGCCAATCCCGCAGCCACTTGTAAGGCGTTGTTGCCAATTTCCTTCTCATCCGCACCTTCCTCGGTTCCGCCAAGTATTCTCGCTCTGGCTCTTGGCGGCAATAAACTCTCCAAACAAATGCTCAGATGCTCAGAATCGATCGGCGCCGCGAGAGTGTCGAGGACAAAAGGGACGTCGTGTCGGACGCAATTCAACAACGCGCGTCGCATGTTCCGGATGTCGTTGTAGTTCCACATTTTCAAAGTGGATGCGCCACTATTAAAGGTCGGCAGTCATTGGTCAATGGTCACTGAACGGGAGCGGGGAGGGACCCCACATAACTGTCCCTAAACTTGTTTTCCCTCACTTTTCCCCTGACCGTTCTCTCAAGGGGGCCCTCTTCGATTTCAGTTACCAAGCTAAATGGTGACCGATGAAAGTCGAGCCTTAACACTATATTCGAAGAAGACTGCTGCTCTGCCTGTCGTGTCCCAGACTAAAGGCCAAGGTGAACCAGTTCCGCCACCACGTGGGTAGCAGACTATCGCGTGTGGACCAGCCGATCGGAGTACTGCATCCGAGAGGAATTTGAAGGGCAAAACGGAAAGATTCTTGATTTCAGTTAGAAGGGGAAGAAAGGGTGGATTTTGTTTTCAGTGAGGACTAGAAGGGCGGGGGGTTTTGATATCAGCGAGAAGGAAAAGATTTGTGGTAGTGGCTTCGGATTTCAGTAAGATGCGTTGTTTTCGGCTAGCCTTAGCTTAGACGACGTCCTGCTACTATCACCAGCCGCATTTGGGTCTAGCTCCTCCTGCAACTCTTGGTACCTGAGTTGTCGAGTTGTTCTTGCGATGAGTCAAGAACTCTCAGGAAGGTAAAGGTAATCATGATGGTGATGCATAGAAACAAGATGAACATGAGGAATCTGAAAAATGCGGTGAACAAGATGAAGATGATAAATCTGAATGTGGCCTTCTATAACGGAAGTAGAGTAACAGCTAACACACGAGCAGTAAGTTCTCTTCTTGTTTTCCCTTATGATCAAATTCAGGCTATACCAAATACCGGAAGCATACAACGTGAGGATCGAGTAGGTCTACTAAGAAAGTAGAGGTACTTCAACTTCAGCTCTTCAACACGATGCAGTGAAGTAGTTGTAAGAAAGTAGAGGTACTTCAACTTCAGCTCTTCAACACGATGCACTGACTCCTCCAATTTTCGTTTTAGCAGTCCCAATTGACTCGCCATCTCTCGGATATAGAGCTCTTCCTCCTGTGACGTGATCGAAGAAGGATCATTTGGAGCGGACGTCGAAGACGGTTTTTAGAGAGTAAGTTGATGAACAAGACTCCCGAGGATATTTAGCTCTAGGTCACACTGCAATAACAACATGAAGACATCAGTGTATCTCTGTGAACTTCAGTTCTTCGCCTTTCTGGACGTGAGGACCTGAGCAGTCTCGTCGTGACAAACAAGAATCACAACATTAATAACATGAATAAACCTCCTTGCTCGTTATCCTTCTTGCCCATAAGATGAAGGTGTCGCTCCTCCTGCATTCCCGTGCATGGTTGCAAATTGCGCCTGCATCATTCGTTTGGTAACTTTGTCAGACCACTCCCGCATTCGGTGACTGGCATCTCTCTTGGCTTCTGCGAGTTGAGCTTCTTCTAAATCGATCTCGGTCTGAACAGCTTCCAACCTCTCATTGGCTTGTTTGCGTGTTAGCTGACCTAGTTTTCTCCTACCAGCCTCCATCTTCTCTATCACTTGTTCTTTGAGGGCCTGCGTCTTTTCTCGCTTTTCAGGATTGTTTGTCCATTCCTGTAGCACGGCTTCGCTGGTGATGAAAGTGGGTTTGCTTAGAGTAGAGAGAAAGATGGTAGCAAACGTGTGTTCTTAGGGTAGAGACCACGATACAGATGATGATATCAAACACGTGGTAGGAGTCAATTAATTTCGTACTTGTAGATGCGAAAGTAGCCCCTTACGAAGCAAATACTTACTTACATCCTTTCATTCTAATCTCTTTCAAAAACATTATGATTCTTCTTCACCAACATAAATGCGCTATCCGCAGGTGCCACAGCCAAAGGCGTTTGCATGCTGTTATCGTAGAATGTTGGGTCTGCACCATGGTTCAACAAGGTGTCGACCGCGGCTGTGTTGCCTGTAAACGCTGCTCTCCACAAGGCTGTTCTGTGGAACTCACCTCTTGCGTTGGGGTTGGCGCCATAGTCGAGAAGTAACTGGATGAGGTCCACATTTCCTCCGTTGGATGCGGCAGAAAGAGGCGCATATCCATCGTTGTCGGTAGCTTCGAGGAGAAGGACCTGGCGGATGCGGATGTGAATGCTCATGTCAGAACTACGTGTATCTGTAAATACTGATCCGATAACATCAAATTCAGAGGATGGAAAGTAACTATGAGACCACTGAGTGGTTAGCGAAGGTTGAAATTGAATACCGGGTCCTTCTCCAGCAATTTCTTCGCAATTTCAAACTCCCCATCATAGCAAGCGTCGAAAAACTCGGTCTTTTTCTTCGTGATCTCCTTCTTCTTTCTCATCTCCTCCACTTTCTTCATCGCCTGCCGCTCGAACCTCTTTTGCTCCAACCTTGTTGCCGCTTCTATCGCCTGACGCTCTAACTCCTCTTGTTCTCTGTCGTACTGTTCTTGCTTCATCTTTAACAGTTTGTATTGCGCAGCAAACTTCAACAGCATTGCGTTGATCAAGGGTGCTGCATTTTTCTGCTGTTCTTCGATGGGTAAGGAGGAAGATGGTCCAGAAGAAGCAGCCTTGCTTGCACCACTTTTAGCTTTTGCACCTGCTGCCCCACCTACACTAAAACTTTTCGCCTTTCCTACAGCAAAACTTTTCGCACCTGGCTTAGCAGAACTCGAACTGCTTCCACCAGCTCCAATGGTCTTGGCTTTTCCAGCCAGGAGGCCTGCTCCCGGCGGAGCATTACTTCCTGATGAAGTACCTGCACCCTCACCTGGAGGCGGAGCGCGCAAGGCACCAGACTGGAGTCGTCCTGCTTCTTCGCGTCGGAACTGGGCACGAAAATTCGGTGGTGGCCCACCAGGAGGTGCTTTTTTACCAGAAGATGACATGTTGATGATGATGATGCTTTTTTCAAGTGCTTCTTCAACAAGGTAGTTTACTATGATCATCTTGGCCGCGGTACCAGTACCGCTCGTTTGGCTTTCCTCTGGTGCTTGTCTATGCCCATCGACCTCCACGGTCATCTAGTAACACTAAGAGGGTTCTTCGCACCATGACAGTTGGCGTTCGGGTTTCAAAAGCACAACATACAGACAAGAGTTCTTGTTCATGATGTTCAACATCAATCATTACTTTTCATCATTCTTTAATATTGTTTCTAGGAAACACAAACACAAAAATCAGACCCGAATCATCACTTTGACAAAACAGCAAATTGCTCACCCCCACACACATTACAGCGCACCTCACAGGTGCCACTACACGAAGGACATCTTATCCTGCCCAATCCGACGCAGCCAGCACAAGCCTTTACCTCTCCCCAGCAATCCTCACAGATTTCACGTCCGCGCTTCACCAAAACATGTTGTGCAGTCTGAGGGTCTCGGTCGTCGGCGAAATGAAAGAGGCAGAGGAGCAGGCAGGTTACTCGGAAACAAATGAGTACAGAAGATTAGTCTTAATGCAGTTTTGGAAAGATTTAAGAAGGACGAGGAACTTCTTAGACCACTAGATTTAGAACAGTTACAGTTGCAACAGTTTATTCACATGTTACTTCACTACCTAGCATATGTACATGATTTCGTTCCTCCAACCCAAGAGCATAAGCAGTAATCCCTCTCACGTCCTGCTGTTTGTAGCCCGTATTACCACAGCGCTCACAGGAAAAAGCGCCACGACCGTCGCATAGATCGCACAGCAAAAAACCATACCCATTACATGTCGTACATGGCATGTAACCCCTATTGTCGCATTTCCCACATCGCATTTCCACCTCTTCGCCAGTAGTCACGTTGATGTGGATTTCGTTGTCGGGGAGACTCTGAAGATTTCTTCTAGGCGTAGCAGTTGAAGTTGGATAGTTTTGCTCCAGGAGCTTGTTATTTTTTCTAGTTGTATTGCTCGTAGCAGGAAGATTCTTATTTCTATCAAGTGGTAACCCATCTTCTTGTTCTCTTCTTGAATTAGAACTAAGAGAAATCCATCTTGAGCAGCATCTTGGGTCTCGTTTTCCCTTTAAAAACGGGACCAAGATGCCTGTGAAGATGGATTTCTTGTAGCCTTAATTGAAGGTCCTAGTCCCTCTGCCCCGTTATTTGCGATATTCGCTGACAAGATTGCGGCATCCAATGGGTTATCGGATGGGTTCAAGTGGCGATACTGTGGATGCGAGCGCGCTTCCCTTTCGAGAAGGTTGGATTTACTTTGTTGTCTCGCGTCTTGTCTACCAGTGGAATTGTTCCTTCCTCTTAGGATGGCAGCATCCTCTCCAACAGCATCCCCAACATCCTCTGAGGACCGAAGAGGAAGAAGCGACAACCGTGGCAAAAGGTCCACAGAAAATGTGAGACTGCCACAAACCCGACCGTCTTGCAGGTACAGTGGCCTGGGCGCGAGGAACGAGAGCGTGGCGTCTCTGAGCCGTAGAAGAGCTGATGAGGCTATAAATCTCCCCGACGACGACATGATTGCGACTACGACCTCATAGGTATTTTGCCATTCGGTTGTACAGATGCCTTGAGACTTCTGCTGCTGTAGTGCTAGTGGTGCACCTGCGTCATCGGCGGTTTGCGGTTCTTGTTGGACGTTAGACGACATGAGCAACAAGCGGGACAACGGCTAGTACTGAGTTTTTAAATCAAGAACAAGACTAGACCTTTAAAATAATTTCCAAGCTTATAAGCGAAGCCATAATCCAAAGAGCCTGATATCTCGTTGTTTCTAGCGCCGTAGAACTCGTCGCACCACCGCTCTCTTCCGCCAAACTTCTGCTGGTCGCTTTTTTCATCTTAGAAGTTAGAAGCTTTCTGTGGTTTCTTATTTCTGTCAGTAAGTAAGAGTAAGTATTGAATTTAAGTATCCAAATCAAATAATCCACCACATAAGTTGCAAGATCGAATCCGATCTAGATCTGTACGATCTTCCCACACGTCGACAATATTAATTTGAAGTTGAACTTATTCTTCATAAACTCGTCCCATCTCCTCGTCCCAATCCTCCACGTCGTTTCCTCCCCATCTTCACCTCGTAGGGCACCAACATCTGGTAGTTGGTGGTGTTGTCGGTCGTTGGCGGATGATGGACTGGGTCGAGCGCGTCTCGAAAGAGCACACAAGCGACACTCTCATCTTGACCGGGTGCTGCAGTTCGACGTAAAAAGAAGGCTTAGATTCTAACCCGCGTCACAGCCTCCTTGAGTAGTACTAATAGCCTACCCAGTCTTTCTAGAGGTATAGAACTAAACTATGATCCTTGGAAGATGTCTTTGAGAGTGAGAGTATCCTTGCTGGATGAGCTTCTTTTTCGGGACATTGAAAAAGGGCCACCAAGGGACCAAAGGCTGAAAGTGCAGCTCTCTTGGTTGCCATAAGAGGTGAGAAACGACTCAAAAGGCGTGTGATCCAACTGGAGCTCGCTAACGGACAAGCGAACATGAGTCGGAGCTCCGGAAGATGAAGTCATGATTGTGTTTCTTCTTGTGAACACAATGCAAAGCAAGAGAAATGCCTTCGCTTTCAGTATTTTACTAGGATCCGGACGAATCAAGGTTTTTCGACGCTATCTACAATCAGAGAAAGGGAATTTCTGGCTATTTTGTCCATATTTTTTACTGCAGCTATTTCAAGAACTTTTTGGTCTTCGTGGGTACTCGCCACTGCATCTCTCACGATTAGTTCCTCCTGGTACACCCCTCCGTAACAGAGATTAGTAGAAGACATGCTTCTGATGTGTAAAAATATCTATGTCTGCCTCGTACGTCAATATCTTCTAATTATAGCCGAGTGACCGAAAAGTGGTTACTCACATCCACTGAATTTTGATTTCAGACCGAAAAACTCTTCTTGCCATAATTTTGACCTTGTTCGCAACCTTGTTTCTCAGACTGCGGTGTCTTCTTGAGCCCTTAACCTCAAACGGCCTACCACACTGCGATGTGGTGGAATGATTGTTGTAACACCTTTGGTCAAGTAGAATCATGCTGGTTTGCTGGTTATTAGATGCTTATCCGTATCCGTTCGACAAGGAAGATAAATTGTAGACTCGTTATTCCCTTCAGTGGCGAAACATCCCTTCGACAAGGAAGATGAATTGTAGATTAGTTATTCCCTTCAGCGGCGAAACCATCAGAAGTAATAGAATCAAGTCGTAGTCGATTCAGATAGTGAGGCTTTTCTTTTTCTTTCAGTACAATCGATGAATACATCGCTGTGCATGGTGGTAGAACGAAGATACAGGGGAAAAGTGAAGTTTGTTAGCCGGAGTAGTATCATCGCATAATTGACTGCTAGAGATAGAGTGCGTAGAAGTACCAAGAATATGTGCGAAGTACGTTCACCAGATATTTGTCTTAGAGAATGCGCTCAAAAATCTTTCCTTCCATCATCTCCCAATGCCTTTCCCGCCCTACGACCCCGCAGCCAGCGTCATCAACAATCGGCGTTGCTTAAAAAAATACTCCGTATTCGAGTCAGCCATCAATAACTCATTGCGTTTCTCGAACTCATTTTTTACAGTTGTAGGCACTGACCACTGGGATTCACGCGCTTTCCTGTAGCGTTCAGAAAGAGCGCGCTTTACGCGATCGGTAACAGTACCTAATGGGAAAAGGCAGAGGACGAGGCGCAGATGTTGTGGTTTCGGGATGGAAAAAAGAAGATGAAAGATGTTGAATCAGAAAAAGTAAGTCGGATTCAGGAAGCAGATGGAATCTTTCAAGAAGTGGATGATGATCTGTTCAATCCATCCTTAATTTAGAGGTTACGGAATTACACTCCTCAGAACATCCCCGGCTTCTTTTCAACTAGGAAAAGCGCCAGGGATGGTAGTCGTGAGGAATGCAATTCGGAAACCCTTAATTAGGATCTTCAACGAGTAGAATACCACTCTTCTCCTCCGACTGCGCGTCTGCTTGAGCTGCTTTGATTGATCTTAATGCTGTACGTAAACCATTTCGAAGCCTGGGATCCTTTTTTAAAAGCGTCTCTATCTGTCGCAGTCTGGCTGGTGGTATTGGTCTCGCTTCATCCTTATTTCCTGTCGAAGCGGCTGCGTCGGCTTTCTTCTTCTTGCCCTTCTCTTCGGGTGGTGGAGGAGGAAGGGTCGTTAGAGAGTGCACGTCCTGACTCAAGGAACTAGAAGTTGTACATGCATTATGATCTGCACAAAGAGTAACGAGACAAAGCATAATTACTCGAACCTGTAGGCGTACTAGGGCACAAGGAAGCTACGCATTCTGTACTTTCAGTCCTCCATTGAGTTGTCAATGCATCCTCTTATCATAAAGCGTGCTCGTCATACACCGTTCTACATGCGAGAGTCTCAAGCCTTGCTTTATGTCTCCTCTCTAATTCTTCTTCTGAAGAGGCGCGAGCCCACAACTGATTCACTTCATCCGTGATAGTAGCCGCTTGGACGATCTGAAGGTGAAGATGAAGACCCTTGGGATGTGGATAGACGAGCATGTACTACTCGTGGTGGTCGTGGCATTACTGTTGGTCGAACCATTCTTCTGGTGATGCTCGATATTAAATATATTTGTTATTCGTTTCCTCCTTGAGACCACGCTAGTATTGTCAGTCCATCCCCATCGTAAGTAGTCACAAATCCCATGTCCTTGAACTGATTCACTTCATCCGTGATAGTAGCTGCTAAATATCTATATTTGTTTTATAGTCAACTTCAACAAGATGCAGTAGTAGCAACAGTGAATGGGATCACGAAACTGTTACAGTTTGCAAGAATTGCATTCTGCGAAAGGAAAAATACCGGCTTCACATGAAGTCTTTGTATCCGCTCTTGAGCTTCACGGATCAAGATATCATCCTCGAAGACAGTCCTCAACTCGGATGAAGTAAAGAACAGCCCTAGCTCATCGAGTCGTCGTTTTCCGACCTCAATACCGACGAAACCGGGACCATCAGCACCATCTGCCGATTCGTGCGGGAATTAAAGAGGAGTACGGGAATTAGTGGAGGAAGATAGAGACGCAGTATACGGCAAGATTGCGATAGAAGAAGATCTAAGCCCAGCCTCAACCGAGACGCAGCATATGGCAAGATTGCGATAGAAGAAGATCTAAGCCCATCAGGAAGATGAATCCAAGTCATAAGGCAATGAAACTTGCTCACGCGCAGCTGTAGTTTCCGTGCCAGACGACGCACCGCTAGCACTCGCCTTCTGTGCAGACGAACTACTTGATTTCTGTCGCGAGAGCCCCAGCGATTCAGAGCCGGAAGGAGGTGCCGATGATGGGTTCATGTTGTTGTAGGTGTATTTTGAGGATCAGAATGGGAGATTGAAGAATGTTGAGCATGCAATGATGAAAGAAGTTTATGTTTAAGTGGGTATTTCGTGGCGGCAAACAGTCACGGTGGCATAATCATGATTTGTTAGTCGCTTGTCGTGAATGAGAAGTAGAAGCCAGTAGGACTCGTTTGAGCAGTACGGAAGTGTGATGATGTTTTTTTCTTTTCGTTTTCTCAATCTTCTACTTCTTTATTGTTGCCTTCGGTGTTATTAATGTGATTGGGACGGAGGTGGAGGCAGTACAATTTGTGTAGGAGGAGCCGCGCCGGGGGCTAACTTCTTTTACTTTTTTTGAAAAAGAGAGCTCTTAGTCATGTTCCGCCTCACTCTTCACTCAGTGCAGACAAGTAAGCACAGACATTCCGAATTCCTAGTGGTCTCTAGTGTCGCTCATGATGTACATGTCGCGTCATGGTACCTCTGTCATAGCGTTTCGCGACCATTCAGTAGTATGTGAGGCCATTCAGTATAGAGATACCTCCATAGGAGAGTGTTCGAGAAAGTAGGAAGTGTCCGATAAAATAGGAAGTGTTCGATAAAGTAGGAAGTGTTCGATAAAGTAGGAAGTGTTCGACAAAATAAAAAAGACAGGAGATGGCCCTCCGTGTTCCATTCTTTCCTTCTTTTGTCAGGTTAAAAAGTTTAGTTTCAAAACTATTGCATGTTGCCTCTCTTTTCATCCGCTTAGTGTGTTTCTGCGACAAGAATCACAGAAATGATTTCTATTCATCACAACTACTTCATCAATTCAGCTTCAACTACTAGCACAATTGTTCCCAAGCAACCATGATCATAAAGTTTACGACCTAAACGTTCTTATTACATTTTCATGTCTGAGTATATCTCCTGTTGGTCTGCGAACCACAATCTTCACTGAACACGATTCACCTCCACTGGTTTCATCTTCATCATCACTGGTTTCACTTTCATCTTCATCATCTACTTCTCTGGCTCACACCCACAGCATGGACATCCTGGATCCTTGCAGCAGGCACGAATCACGTGTTGGTGGAACGAATATCCAGTACGCTCGTCGGAGTATCTCGCATCCCAAGTATTCGTAGTGACAAAGCTAATACCATTAAAAGTCGGATCAGTGGGTAAATCATCGGTGGTTTCTCCGGCTATTAGAGAGGAGCAACTCTGTATCATAAACACTTCTAGAACGTCTGCATGACAAGAATGAAATTGAAAAACAACTCAAATGTAGTAAGTAAGTTCTTAACTTTCGCAGACGAATGCGATCCTTTCCTCCTCACTCCAAGATGAAAAATCGCATTTGTAAATCACGCGAGCACTTTCCTCTCATACTCGCAAATGGACCAACGCGTTGAGGCACGTCCTCACGAGTGGCAGGAGCAGGACCTTGTTGAAAAAACGCAAAATTTATTAGCAGTAGTCAGCCCTTTGGTGTTGTAAAAATCATCATCCTCGATGTCTTCGTGGTCAACATCATCATCATCATCATCATCATCATCATCGAAGTCATCATCATCTTCGCGGCCATCATCGAAGTCATCATCGTCTTCGCGGTCATCATCGAAGTCATCATCGTCCTTGTCTAGGTTCTCTTGTTGTGGATGACGAGGAGAAGACAATCTACCTGAGACTTGTTCAGAGTCAGGACTTTATGGGATGGCAACCGATCAACTCTTTTTTTAAAGGCCTGCACAGATCAAGATGTTATGTAGGGAGTTTAATGTTCACTCTTGCTCTTTGGTGGACCTCAGATACCTCCGTCATGCACATAACAGCATTCGGATTCGGAAATATCAGAAAAAGTTTCTGGCCACCAGACGGGGCGAATTTCGTTTCACAAGACAGATGATCACACGACTGGTTACATTTCATCGAGGTATAGTCTCTCTCCGGAATTTGCACAGATGGGACGGGTAACAGATCACTCATATGAGCAATAGATTGGACATCATCGGCATCAACATGACATTAGAACAACCAGCATGGCTAGTACCAAAGTACAGAAATGCAATACGGGCATCTCATCTTGTAGTTTCAGATTTCATAAGGTATCAATCATGCCTGGGGAAAAGGGGTAAATATGATCTGGGGAAATCGTAGTCCACGTATGCTGTTATGGGAATCAATATGTGGAAGATCATCATTATATGTGTGTATGATTAGGCGCGTAGACACTAAGGATGTCCGCGTCCGGCGTATTGTCGAAACCAACGTATCCTATAAGACAAGTTGTTGTTGTTGTTGTTGGTCCTTCATCATTATATTTTGACTAGCAACTTTGGGTTGTATCAAAATCAAGATGTTCGTTTTCGTTATCTGTGGTCTGTCCTATGTAACTGCGCTGGTAGAGATTATCAGATGGCTGAAGAAAAAATTCTCAGATTTTAGACCTAATGGTCCCCTTCCCCAATATCGTCATCGATTCACAACGATCGTCAAAGTCATCGAAATCGATGCTTTAAAAAAATATACGTTTCTTATTCTTGTTCTTAAGGATCTTCATGTTTGAGCCCTCTCGTTCTCTGGTTCCCTCGTTAACTACTTGCCCAGTCCCCTCTCTAAAAACCAGTCTCTGCATCCTCGGAAAATAGCGTAGACTCGGAGTTGACGATCGAAGACGGTCGACCTTGCTCGTTTTCCGAGTCTGAAAAGTTTTCTCGGCTGACGGACCCGCTATGCAGTGACAGGCTTTCTTCCTCATTCCCGCTACTTTCTTCTTCTAGAAGGTCTTCAAAATCTTCTTCATCTTCAGGGTCTCCCGTCTCATGAGATAATGCTTCCTCTTCTGGCTGATCTTGCTCGTTCGGAGCAAGACTTGTTGATATTGATGGTTCGACCACGAAGTCATCTACGACCACAAGTTGTTGTAGTTGTTCTTGTCTTTTAGTAGAAGTAGTAGTTCTTCTCGGTCTTTTGCTAGAAGTCGTAGGAAATTCTGGATCTTGATCTTCTTGTGGTGGGTCATCTGTTGACGTTTCTAACCCCTGTTGTACCTGGTGTCGTAGTACACCTGGCGGCCTTGGTGACATGTTGAAGCCCATTTTTGTATCCGCTGAAGACCCTGTCAGAGCATGAGAGTAAGTAGTCGTGATAGTAGATGCAGTTAGGCCTGAACAGGTGCCAGTTTCTCTTCCCTGACCTTGACCAGCACTTTGATCAGCACCCTGATAACCAGCACGTCCACCCCCTGGTCGTTGCAGTTCATTTCGTTGGGTGGTCACAACTTCATGTCCAACACTTTTTCGCTTTTCTGGTATCTCTGGACGATCTCCGCAGAAGGGGAAGGGTGTAGTACTATCATCGTCGCGTCGGTCACGAGTTACACAAAAGTCGCACATCAGGCGTGGCATGAAACTGCCTAAGATTGGGATGGCGGAGCTTGACGAACCGGTTGTAGAAGCTCGAGAAGGTCTTGTTGTCGGACCACCAATTTGTCCTTGGTCTGTTTGGCGAGGGAAATGATCTTCCGGAGATGCAGTTGACTGCTGTTGGGCGGCGAGTATGAAAGAGATTTTGAACTATTTATAATGTCTGTAAGAGAGTGTGAGTGAGAGAGTCAGAGACGCAATTAAAACCAAGAACAACCTCAAATGATGCAAGAGAACGGCGCAGTCATTTAGTCAACCTCAAATATTTGGCAAACAGTCAGGTGGCAGTAACTATCAATCTGAATGATCTTTTGTCATAAGAGTTGACCTTGAGGCAAAGAAGCCACTGCGGAAAAAACATGCCATGTCGGAAAACGACGTTCCCGCTTGTAGCTCATCTGTATCTTGCTCTCTCTCATCTGTATCTTCTAGGTCAGCAAACTTGTGGTCCCCTCCTCGTTGCGGCCGGTGAAGACCATCAAGTGTACTACTAGGTTGATGATTGTCGTTCGGCTGATGCTGTTGTAAGAGGCCCTCAGAAGTAGTTGTAGGTGCGAGGACCGCTGAGCCGCTCCTCAGATCGTGTTTTGGTTGCTCTATTTGATCTTGCACACCCATAGCAGCAGTGGCCGACGCGGAGGACCCACCTCCATAGTGTACGCCATGATCCTCGCTTCTGTTCAAATCAGCGTGATCTTTTGTATCGATTTGCAACTGGGACAGCTGCAAATCGGGCACCTCATCTTCATCGTCATTGTCTGTAAACTTGAACAGTGGTGTTGTAGTCCTTTCTCGTTCTCCCATTCCCAACAGCGGAAAAGCACCGACTGAGGCTGCTGATGTACTTGCCTTATTATTTCCTTCTCTTTTTACTACAACCACTGATGAAGCAGACCCTCGCCCTCCACCACGCATATTTTTCTTTGCAGATGTTGTTTGTCCAGCAGGATGATGAAGAAGTCCTCCATCACACGAACCTGCTGCACCTACTCCTCCAGTTTGTGTTCGCGCTGCTAAGGCTAGCACAGCAGAGGTACCACCCGTACGTGTACAACTAGAAGTAAAGTCACCTCCTACAACTTCTCCAAATATGGATGTTGTTTTTTCTCCCCGCTAGAGCCAGATCATCCTGGCAGCCTTTCCCCTTGAAATGAGTCCTCCCAGGAGGATGGAAGACGAGTGCCAGGATGACCCGTTAATTGAAGATGGGAGAAAAAAAATTATTCATATCTCCAAATGACTGATGTAATTCCCCTCTTTCTCTTTCATGAGTTTCAGTTTCAGTGCTTTTTTCCAACAAAAAGTTGAAGAATGCGTGTTTAAATCGAGCGATCTGCCGCATTGTTTCCCGGTCCGGCCGCCGTGCCCGACGTAGCGTAGGGCCCAGAGGCAAATATACCGGTCGTGAGCGTGATGACATAGTCGCTTCGCGTCTTGGTCCTCTTCTTGGACCGTCTTTGGGTTCACCACCGTCTAGAGGAAGATGGGTATCGCGGTCGACTTTTGTTGATTAGAAGATGCCTTAGCTTTTGGATTTTGTACAGTATGTGAGAAAAATTTTGATATTGTTACTCAAGGTGGGTGTTCGCGGTCGCGATTCTTGAGTGTATCAATATCATGCAATCGTCAAAAATAGGACGACTGGCAATGGGTGCTACTAATTTGATCATATATTTGATTCTAAAGTAGTTCCACGTGGTAAACATCTGGTGCTGGAGCCGCCGCGTTCGCCACAAGTAGTAGCAGACAATGCTATGTCATGATACCACTGTAAGTACCCGTCTTATCCAACAGATGTGAGGCCCTTCAACGACCTTGTGCGTACCTACCTTCATTAAAAAAAGCCTTAACTTACACTCCTCTTCACATCGCGACCTTCTTCCCGTCTCGTAGTTCGGTGTCTCCGGAGCCCAACTCTTTCCATATGCCTGTCTTCTCTTCGCTTGTTTTTTGGGTTGATGATGAAATGGATCTCGGGTCCCCGTTGCTGAGCAGATATCTGTCGAGAAAAGGATCTCGGAGGCGCTTGCTCTTGGTACAGCTTCTCTTCTGGTGCACTCTTTAGAGTTTTTTGTACTTACATGAGCATTAGTATTTTTTGTATCGAGGACTTAGATCTAGTTCTAGATCTCCTCATGTACGACTTCTTTCTACTTATGCTCCATCAAATTCAGACGATTTTGACATTCTACATCGCGTTTGTTGTAGTCCTGATAGTGATATTTTTTGCTTCCATTTGCAGTTCTGAGTAGTAATCAGAGTCAGAGTCTCAGTCACGCCATGAGCTTGACAGCCAAGGGAGGTTTCTGTAACTCAAATTCATCTGTGCCTTAATGTTAATCTCAACAACTCTGCCTGATCCCTTCCACTTACTTGCAGATCACCTGCTCCTCTGCTAGTGCTACTTTCTCGTTCTCCATCTCCTCCCGCCATCTCAGAAGAGGAGCCACCACCTCCGTCCACAAATGCAGCTGCCGAAGACATCGCGGCTGCGGAAGAGATAGGACCCGGCGTTGGCGAAAAAGCTGAAGGGGTGGTCGCGTGCTGTGACATCTCATCTGGGGTCTGGAACTGTTGGCTAGCCGATTCCTGTTGGCTAGCCGAACCACTTAAAACATTCGCGCTCCTATCAGCCAACATAGAAGCAGGCGCTCCCGCAGCACCTTGACCTTCTGTGTTGAGTAAAATGGGCCTAGTAGAAGTACTACTAGACGATGTCATACTACTAGCTCCGATACATGGTCCAGCACTTGCATCTCCTTCTTGCCGGTCCCGGTCTCCTGCTTGGTCGTCGTTATGAATGGGATGCATCTGCAACGCCTTTGCAGTGTGAAAAGGTGACATGGCGCCAAAGAGGTCCGAAACGAGCAGAAGAATTGAGAAAATCCTCCTGAGAAGGTCGAGACTTCTAAATACAGAGCCCTGTGGGAGGACTCTGCTTAACAACATGACCATGCTGGCATTCTGGTGATCATCCGATCTTGGACAGGATCTTGTAACTGGAGGATTTAGATGAATGAGGTAAGATATTGTTGATGATCCTGCTCAAGGATAGCCTGTTAAATATAAGATTATTCAGCGACGATAATGTTAGTCTTTATCTACTGTAATAGGAAATTATGGTGGATAATGATCAGTATCATATCAATCACGGTTGAGGTAAAAAATATAAGTTATCCTTTACTTCCAGGCAAGGAGGATCATTTATATAAGTTATCATTTAGTAAGGACATTTTCATTTACTTCCAGGCAAGGAGGATGCGGTCAACTTATTCCTAGTGTCCGTATCTTCCATTTTCTGACAACTAGAAAAGCAAAAAGCTACGAGAAGCGATAAGATTCAATAAAAACTTCCACTACTCAATTACGTGGAGGTCGTTGGATAAGATTAACGACTCACAGTCTCAGTCACTGTCAAGAACTCTAAGAACCCTAAGACCAGTTGTCGCTCTTGAATGAAACTCATGTGCTTGTAAAAGTACAATGATGAATCCAGATCTTCAAAGCTCCATATTGAGTTCCGCAATGTGAAGATGCCGTTTATAATGTTGCTAAAATTTCTGAATGAATGAATGAATTCGCCTAGCTTGAGGTGATGCACTGTTGACCACTGATGTGATTATTAATTGGGTCCTTCTTGTTGTTTTTTCATTTCCTCCTTTCTGTTGGAACACAACGATTGCAGATGGACCTGTGGTCAACAACAGAGCAGGTGGGGCCGCTTTGTGTTTGTTTTCTCTACTTCGTGATAAATAAATCTTTTAGAATATCTTTATATCTTGCTATGAATGCTTATGCGATTATGGTGCGAAGGGAATAGGGGGTTCCTTAATATTTGTTCAATATATGCTTATCCTTATGCTCATGCTGGTGGCCTGCATGTTGGTTTGTTCGGTCAATTTACTCATCACAATGACATTCGTCTCAAAGTCAATTTCTTGAAGTGTTCAACGAGGGCAATGCCACCAGAATTTTGACTTTGAGCATCTCCTCTGTCTCTGATAGACTTTTGAGCTTCTCCTTGTGACAAAAACTCATCAGCTCCTGTCGACGGCGTCACCAGGCGTCTAGTCTCCTTGCTGATTTTCCCCCGCTCTCTGTTGACTTCTTACGTGTGCAGCGAAGTCGTCTATCATCACTGGCCAGGCGCCGTCGTCGTCGTAGTCGCTCATGTCTTTGGCACAGGTTGTGATCAAGTCGAATACCATGTTCCAAACGTCTTTGGATATCGCTGGTTTCGTACTAGTATTCTCCACATAGTTATGAAACGAAAATCTGTTATCATTATCAAGTTTCTTAAGTACTAGAAAAGTACGATAATGATAACAGATTTTGGCTTCATAATAGTCAAGCCAATTCTCGGCAAGCTCTCCGTTACCGTACAACGGAAGCATTAACTTCCAGATTTCGATAGCCATCTGTTGTATTTTTTGGTTTCGGAGTCGTGCTGGAGATGGATATTGCCCGTCTGGACGTAACGGAGGAAGAAGAATATCGAAAATGAAATCAAATGAAATCGATAGAAGTTATGGAAATGCGGCGTGATGCCCACAATAAAGAATGCATCCTCATTTGAGTTAATGTTGATCAATATCAGAGTCACAGTCTCAGTCACGCCATGAGCTTGACAGCCAAGGGAGGTTTTTGTAACTCGTACAGGAGTTAAGAGAGTACCTCCTTCCCTAGCTGTTTCTGCCCAGGGTCTAGCGATAAAAGGAAGACATTGCTGTAGATTTTCTTCGATAATGGATGCTTCGGATGAAGCTGACTTCTCATATCCGCTACCCTTTCACGTAATTCTTCCACTGACTGTGCGCCTAGAACTGCCATGCCTGCCATAAAAAGTGTAAAAAGTGGGAACATCAAGGGACATGAAGAACATGAATGCTCATAATCTTATTCTTGTCCTTACTTGATGTTGTGATGTGGTTGCGCATACGCATAGCATAGTCAACATAGATTTTTTGAAGATCGTGGAACCATGGTTGGAAACACTGGTATAGGCCCCAATAGGAAGAATGACAATGAGGATCCAAATCAAGAAACTATACTGGAGCAATTTATAAGGTCTCACAGCTCACATGGCACGGAGTGCATGGATCACATGGAGTAGCATGGAGCTAAAGGGGGAGCTTCTTGCGCCCCTTAAAGCTCTGCGCTTCATGCACTCCATGCTACTCCATGCACCATGCGTGCTATAAACTACTCTGCTATACCATGAAGAAATTCTTGCTTCGTGAAGCTCCCCATCTGCTTCGCACCACAATGGTAACAAAGGACAAGCGCCACTGGGTCTAACGTTGAAAAACCGCAATCACCTTGTTGATCATGAGAAAGATGATTTACTACTAGAACAACAAAACTGTCTTATCGCTCGACGTCGACGTCAGCATTAAAATCTCAAACTTATCACAGCACCTAATAATTGCATACCTACTTTCGGCTTCGTACCTTCAAGAAACCACTTATATCAGTAAAAAGTAACACCACATACTTCGAAGCCAAAGAGAGTAAACAAGATGAATACCGCAAAGCTTTTCCGTTCCCTCTACTGGTATCGTGTCTTCACCACCGCTGTACACTTTAAAGAACGCCTCCACTTTCCCAGTGTCCCTATAAGAGGAACCTGTTGCGCCGCCTGCGGAGTAACCGCCTCGTGGCATTCTCATACCTGACCACATTATCTTGCGGATGGTTCTTTTATGTCGTTGTGGTCGTTGTTCTTGTTCTCTACTTGTAGAAGGCGAAGAAGATGTTGCTCTTGGGTCGTTGGTCGTTGTTCTCGCGAAGGAGAAGCGGAAGAAGAAGAAAGAGAAGCAGAAGGTATTATCGAGTTGTTTCTCTTGTTCGTATTAACGACTGAATATGTACTGGTACAATAGTAGTTTCGCTTGAAGGCGTATATTTGTCACAATTACTGCACCAGAATCACCAGTGCCGCTTCAAAAGGTGTTTTGATGACTGCAGCCGCACAAAAGGTGTCTCTTTCCCGTGCCTTCTCTCTAATAATGGGATATATTATGCGTGTCGTTTTTGATTTTGGAGCACTGACCTCTGGCGAATGGGTAGTCGTAAGACACACATTTGCAAAGACTGGCTTGACTTCAGCAAGGGCATGCCTTTTTTTACTCTGTCTATCATGAAGAGGGAAGTCACGAATACATTTCAAATAGCAAGAGGGAAATACGAAAAGAGCATCGTCAAGCTTCAGGGTTTAAGGTCCGCGGCTAGGCTGCGTTGTCCGGGACGAAACAAGCTATAGCTACTGTACTTAAAAAAACTAGTTAGTCACGATAAGGAGAGACTGCATGCTCATGCACATGATCAATCATGTCCATACGAAGAATCGCGTGATTCGCTTGCGTTTCAGCGCTGTTGTTGTCAGCTCTCTTCAAGCACCACGAACAGACCAGGTTCCGTATATGCGATTCATATAAAAGAAATTATCGTAGAAGAAGGTCGGGTGATCACGGTAAATCAAATCATAATTTGTAGGCATGATTTAGATTTTTCCTAGGCCGCGAAAGAGTGTGGAAGAACAAATTGTCGTGATCGTGACCTTCTGCGCTCCTACGCAAGATGATGCAACCACTTTTTGAGAGATTTTCGCATCAAAATTGATTTCAGTTTCTTGTTTGTTCAGCTTGAAAATATCTGGGAGTGTATCATTTCTCTAAAATTGCTTCTTGAAAAGTCTCGAAAGTATTGTCATTCGATTAGTACTTACATAGTTTTTTCTTGTAGAAATTGTGTACCTGTGTGTACAACTAGGCACGTGTTGCCAACAAGTCTCTTCGTGCTGAACGAAATGAACATGTTATATTGACAAACCTGAGGAAGAGGGCCCAAAAATGATTTCCGGACTGAGAAATTACAATTTGCCTGTGGAGTTCTTTACTACGAGCATCATCTTTATTGATAAGTGTACAAGCAGAAGTCTTTTTAGATGCTTTGTCGAGCTTGAGTGTACAAGGAAGTTTACAGCTTCAAAAAAATTTTCGGACAGTGTACAAGGGGTGAAAATTTTGTAAGAAAGATATCTTATTGATCGTATTAAAATTAATATTAGACCATTAGTATTAGTTTGTGTACAAGGACAAATTAGTATCAGACGCTTTGGCCCGCAAGTGAGATAAAAATCGTGTACAAGACGAGTAACTAAGAGTATACCATATCTACAACTTAGAGACTTTTTTAGCATGATTGTCATGAAAATTTGGCTCTGACGAGTCATTCGCATTCCTGACCGCACATTCTCACACAATGAACAAGGATAGATGCAAACGAATACAAAAAAGAACTTGGTATGTGAAATGCTTCTGGAGTGCTTGTCCTACCTACTTCATAAATTACTTTTGAATCTTCATGGTTGGTCAAATTTAGTACTGGTTTCGATACAGATTCTAACAGACAGAGGTAGTTTTGAGCCCTCATGTCGATGTCGTTCATAGTAGTTGAATTCAATGCATCATTGCCTCATTGCTAGGAGGGCGCTAAATTCCTGAAAAAATACAAATCGACTTCGTCATTCGACACAAATTCTGGGTATATGATAGACTTTCTCATTCACACGATCATAAGCAATCTCTTCGCCACCATGCATCGTCGTGAGAAAAACGTTACAATTCGTTTTCTAACAGTAACATTTAAGATGCTCTTGAAAGAATAATCGACAGTACCTGTTTGTGTTGGGTGGATGAAGTACGTCTGATGTGTTGCCACGAGGTGATCGTCATGGTGAGTCACGTCCTCTGTCGTGTCCTACTTGAAGAACAAAATCAAAATTTATATGGAGTGCTTTGTTCTTCATGTTTATCATGAATTTGGAACTACGGATCAAGTACCTTGCTCTTCATTCAGTGGGTGCTCATTGTTTCTTCTTCACGTTTACCGGATGCGTGACAGATTTTCGCCAAACTTCATCGTTCTCGGCAGGACCTCGCCCCAGCTTGAAATTAGGACGTTCAGGAATACATAGAACAAGCTTGCGCTTCTATTCGACATTCGTCTTCGTTTAAGTTGTACCTGTGTAAGTGTAGTGTTGAAATAAAACTAAGTTGTATAGAAGAGTTTGAATATGAAAGAATCTGAGTCTTTATTCGAGGAATTCGAATTGGGTGGGAAATTTGAAAAAAAAAGCGTGCTTGGTTTGGTGTCAATTTTTTTTGACTTTGAGTGTCTATGAAGCTAAAGATATAAATCATCGACGTCAATACCTATACCTGTAAAGGTGGAAGGGTGTTCGCTCGTCGTGACCGCTCCTCTTTATGATCTTCGAGTTAGGCCTGGCTGTTGCCTACTGGATCTCAGTCAGTGTCCGGTGAGGCATGCCTAAATCATTCAGGCCTGCGTCGATCCGACCAAGATTAGAATGTTTATCCTGCAACAGCATCCCACGAGAAGTTTGAATTTCCCTTTTTTTCATGTACTCTCTCAGTAAATACTTTCAGCAGTACAACATAATAAGCAGGGAATCATATCAGTGTTCTCTCGTCCATAAATATACGGGTGGAGCCAAGCTAACTAGGAAGAAAAAGGAAGGATAGTAGGCAAAAAGAATATAAGTACAGAATTATAGTAATGGCCAAGCTAAGTAGGATCCGTCTATTCTAGGCGCCCATAAATATATATAAATACCGCCCACGTGCCCCCGGCGTGTACACACGCCGGGGCAGGGCGGAAGGGTCTGGCAAATGCTACGAGTTACATAAAATCCATACGGCCTACCGGCGTGCTACGAATTACGTAAAGAGTGGCGGGCTATGGAATAAGCAAAGCAGCCCCGCGCTACAAGCTACTACGTGCTACATAAACCCCCGCCCTGGCAGCACCCGAAACGCCCAAAAGGAACTACTTCGAACGAATGAGGCAAACGGGTAACCAAATACATACGCCGGGAGTCAAATCCTTGAGCAGATCACTCCAGGCCTGCTGTTTTTGGTTCTCAGCGTAGTGGCTGGGCGAAGCACTGCAGTCGACTCCGCTCACCATGAGAACCTCGCGCGCCCCCTGGCCCGGGTTTTGGGCGTGGGTCCCCTACTCTTGGATTGTGTTGCGTCTCCGGCTGGCATGGCAGTGTCACGAGGGGGGCCCAGGCTTGTCGCTTTCGGTTCTCCGCATAGTGGGCGAAGCACTACGCCCGACTCCGCTCACCATGAGAACGTCTACCGTGGATCTTTTCCGTGGAGAGAACTAGGGGGCGGCTCCGTTCTACTCTCGGCCTGTTTGCGGGGTTTTACTCTTTGCGCCGTTTTGGGTTTTCCATCCAAATCACGCAGCTTTATGGTGTCGCGTTGCTGCCTGCGCTTCAGCTGCTTCGCGTGTGCTCTGTGTGAGCCATTTACCCTCCCAAGCTTACGGCAAGTTGCGCTCTATCGCTTAGCTTCCCTATCTGCTTCTGGCTATCTCGAGAGGTGTGGGCATGCGTCATCTCAGGGCTTTGATCTAAGTGAACAAGAACAACGCCACGCGAGCAGTGCTGTGCGGCTTTCATGTGCTTGGGCGATGCAATCTGTGAGCCGCTTGAGCTTTCTGATCAGAAAGCAGGCCCCAGCCTATGGGCTTGCTGGTTACTTATGGCGTACTCGAGAGGCCTTGTCCTTTGCGCCCATTCTTTTCTGATCCAAAAAGCGCAGCGCGATGAAGTTACTGCGTACTTGTGAGCTGCTTAAGAGGTCCCACCCTTTCTTTGGCTCAGTTCAAGACCCTCATCCAAACGGCGCAACGCGGTGAAGCTGCTGGCCCTTTTGACTTGTTGGGAAGGTCTCACCCTCTGACCCAGCGCAGGCACCCTACCCAAAAGGCGCAGCTTTATGAAGTTGCTGCCTACTTTTGAGTGACCTGCTTGAAAGGTCTCGGCTTTTGACTCTGCTCAAACCTCCCACCCAAAAATCGCAGCTGTATGATATTGCTCTCTACTTTTGACCTGCTTGAAAGGTCCCAGCCTTTCAATCAGCTCACTCAGAGGCCTTCCACAATCAAAGGGCGCAACTCTATGAAATGGCTGCCCACTTTTGACCTGCTGGAAAGGTCTCACTCTTTGGCCCAGATCTGGCCAGCTTGGTTATTCAAAGCGCGCAGCTTTCTGGAATTGCTGCCCACTTTTGACCTGCTTGAAAGGTCCCACCTTTTGACCAAGCTCGGGCATCCTATCCAAAAAGCGCAACGCCATGGGGCTGCTGTCTGCTTTTGGCTTGGCTTGCTTGAGAGGTCCCGCCTTTTGCCTTTCTTTGCTCAAGCTCCTTGCTCAAAAAGCGCAATCTACTTTATGAAGCTGCTGCCTACTTTTGGCCTGCTCGTAACGTCCCACGCTTTCACTCAGTCAAGTCAGGCGCCTTACTCAAAGAGCGCAGCTCTAGGAAATTGCTGCCCACTTTTGACCTGCTTGAAAGGTCACACCTTTTGACCCAGCTCAGGCCACTCAGGCATCCTATCCGAAGCGCGCAGCTTTATGTGATTGCTGTCGTCTACTTTTGGCCTGCTTGAAGGGTCTCGCCAACCTTTTCACTCTGCTCCAGCCTCTTACGCAAAGCGCGTGGCTTTATGCGTTTCCTGTCTATTTTTGACCTGCTTGAAAGGTCCCACCCTTTGACCCAGCTCAGGCCCCTTATCGTATCCAAAGAGCGCAACGCTATGAAGTTGCTGCCTCCTTTTGAGCTGCTTGAAAGGTGTCGCCCTTTGACTTAGCTCAGACCTGTTATCCAAAGAGCGCAACTCTATACCGTTGCTGTCTGCTTTTGAGCTGCTTGAAAGGTCTCACCCTTTGACGTCGCTCAGACTCCTTATCCAAAAAGCACAACTTTATGAGATTACTGTCTACTTTTGACCTGCTTGAAAGGTCTCACCCTTTGAGCCAGCTCAGACCTCTTATCCAAAAAGCACAACTTTATGAGATTGCTGTCTACTTTTGATCTGCTTGAAAGGTCCCACCCTTTGAGCCCGCTCAGACTCCTTATCCTAAAGCGCAAACTTATGAGATTGCTGTCCACTTTCGAGGTGCTTAAAAGGTCCCAGCCTTTTAGTTTGAGCCAGCTCAGACTTCTTATCCAAAAGGCGCAGCTTTATGAAGTTGCTGCCTACTTTTGACGTGCTTGAGCGGCCCCATCCTTTGAGTCAGCTCGAAATCCTTACCCAAAGCGCGCAGCTTTATGAAGTCGCTGTCTACTTTTGACCTGCTTGAAAGGTCTGACCCTTTGAGCCAGCTCAGGCGCCTGATCCAAAAAGCGCGCAGGTGCTAACTTGCTCAGCGTGTAGCTGCTGGGTGCTTGCCTCTGTTTGCGTTTCTTTGTTTGCATGTGGGTCCTTTTTGTAGCACATACGCAGACGCAGCGGATTTTCTTCATGAGATGACTGGCCCCAGGCTGAGGCGCTTCGCTCTTCGTTTTTTGTCCATGCAGCGCAGTCCTTGGCTTGTGCTGTTGGTTCAGGGTTTTGAGGTACTGCCGAAAGCCTTAGCAGGAGCAGAATCGCGGGAAAGTTGTACTCAAAAACGCGGCATTTTTACGGCGCGAGATGTATACATCTAGCCCGTACATCTTTCCCATGATTTCCGTACATCTCAAAAAAGTGGAATTTTGGAAACCTACTATGAATCGCCCCGGTGTAAGTACATCTCAAGAGTACATCTTTCCCGTGATTTACGTAGAAGATATATATCTCGAGATATATATCTCAGACGTATACATCTCGCCCGTACATCTTTGCCATGATTTGCGTACATCTCAAGCCGTAAACTCACTCCTGTTTAGCATTCAAAATAAGTTTTGGTTTATAATATAGATAATTATAGTATTTTGACCGTACTAATATTCAACCACATTCCCAATCCCTGGAAGATTGTACGCACTTCCCTGGTAAAAGCAACTGATATCGTTCACCTGAGGATCGTTCATGATCTTATCAATACGTATCTATATGACATTGACACTCCTTCTACTTACTTATAATTAAGTAAAAACTGTGGATCATAAGTGTAATCCAATCGAGCAATTCTTCGACGTCGGTTGAGTACAGGTTTTGAGCTGCAGCAGCCGCCAGCAAGCTCGGAAGTTTTTCCTTAGTAGATTCGTCAGGTCGCAGTCGCTCATCGACGTCGCTTTTCATCCAACGTTCCATGGTCGTGCGTACCTCGCTTTGCACATCACGCGTGACACTTGGTCCCCTCTCTGCCGTTTCCGGCTGATATATTTGCCTCAATTTGCCTGCTACGTCTGTCCCGCTGCTACGCGTCAAGAGCTTCCTCCACTTGTCGGCAAAGCCGTCAAACTCCTGCTGACGATTCTTAGAAATTTGATGCCTCCACTGGTGCAAGCATGGTAGATGAAGTTGATGTAATTATATCCTCATTACAACCGACCTTTTTGTTTTTCTATGTTCTATTCCTTGAGATGGAAGAAGGGCACTTCCTCAAAAGGTCATAGACACTTTTAATAGATTAATTTATTGTGATTGTCGATCATAAAGAGCCACATCTCTTCAAGGGCCTCTAGGTAGCGTTCGACATGTTTCAAACCCGGAGACTCGGCGGACAGATCTCGCTCTATGCCTTCCTTTGTCATGATCGTACAAACTGTTTCAAATTTTGTGCGATCACATAGTGGAATGTGAGCCTGCTTCTACGCCACCAAATAGTTCATGAACTGGCGCACGCTTTTCTGGAGCCAGGGTTCATACTCTTTCGTTCCTATTTTCGGTTCTTGGTCCACAGCGGGAAGCTCCTGAACACCGTGCTCTGCAAGGGTCTTGCCAATTTCTTGTTTTAGTTTGTGGAGCTTGCTTGATTCTTCTTGGACCTTCTCTTTATTAGAAATCTGCAGCTTCCATGTGAATGCACGAGACATGATATCGATATCCATCCTCACTCTGAATACCTACGACTACTTCCTCGTTTATAAAACGTTGGAACTAGCCATTAAGTAAAGTTGAAATCTTATCCAACAGCGTTCTCTCAAAGACATATCTTCCCTTCAGCTACCGACATCTCGTCAAGACAAATTCCTTCCTCTTACTCTATCTTCTTGTAAGAAAAAGAATGTTGACCATAATGAACTGGCGAATGAACTCGCGCAAAGATTCGAGGCAGAGTTTGGTATCATCCAAAGTGCCGCGAAGAGTAACACGATCTGGCTCACCCTGGTCGATGTACAGCTTGCATAAGCCAGTCTCCTTTTCCAGCTGCGGATTTAGATTCAAAGCGTAGTTCTGCCCGTTCACCAAATAGTTCATGAATGCGGCCAAGCTTCTGTCGAGCCATTCCTCTCGCTTTTTTTGCTCTACGCCCATTTCTGGTGCTGTTCCCAAAGCTGGAAGAGACGAGGCTCCTCCACCGCCGTCCGGGACCGGCTTAAACTCTTCATATAAGTTAACGAACTCTGTGATGCACTCGTCCCACTCAAACAGTCTATAGAGCTCCGTAACTTGATTAGAAATCTACAGCCCTGCTTTTCAGAACTACGCAA